AAATGAAAGGATCATATACGTTTGTAGAAGATTCTGTTTCTATGCAACAAGCCAAGAAAAATACCAAGACTCAGAGTGAGGTAACTTTGTCGATTCAAAAATTATTTTGATATAAAAAAAAAAAAATTGGCTAGCGTGGTCAAGATTATAAATTACTTGTTGTAAGAAAATAAATAAACTATGTAGTAAGAGAGATATCTCAAAAACCAATGTTAATAAGATTCTATATAATTTGTAGCATGCGTACAAGGAAGATTTTGAGAAAATGAAAGGAGCCTACACATTCGTCGAAGATTCTGTAAATATGAAACAAGCCAAGAAAAATACTAACTTACAGTCAGAGGTAAAATTAATGTTTTAAAACCCAGAAATATTAATTAAGATGTTAATAGAAATATTAAAACAGAACCTAAAAAACACATTGTTACTCAGAGTTTCACTCTATGCGATCTCCAGACAATTGACCTATTTTCAGCCTGCATCCCTACTGAAGTTGGACAAGTAGAACTTATTCTCATGTCTAAATTTTGAGAAGTGTTCAGAATATTGACAAAAAAACATTTAAAGATAAGTCCAGTACTTCTGGATACTCACTTGCATTATTGCATCTATCTTGAAACTCTACGACTTTACAAAGAATTAGACAATGTTAGATTAAACCACTTTATATGTGTGTTGAAATTTTTACTAATAACAAAATAATCAACACTAAAAGTTCCTGATAATTTGTAGCACGCGTACAAGGAAGATTTTGAGAAAATGAAAGGAGCTTACACATTCGTAGAAGATACTGTGGATATGAAACAAGCCAAGAAAAATACAAATTTACAATCAGAGGTAGAATAATTTTTTTTTAAAAAGAACATCATATTATGTTGTCAGTTGTTAAATATTCGAAATGAGAAAGATCAAAAAAATAGTTCTAATTTATCATTGCTAAAAATAATGGTCAAACTTTTAAGATCCATATTTTGTATCCAAACTTTAAAAAACTTCATCAAATAAGATAGAATAGGATTATTGAAAATGCATGTGCATAAAAAGTAGGTTAATCTTTACATCTTATTAAATATGTTATAAAAATTCAACATACCTAAATACTACAATGTACAACAATGTACTACTTCTATTCTTTTACATCCAGGCTATTGTTAATCTTGGCTCACAAATTTAGACTTTGGAATGATTTCAAAAATAAATAATACCTTAAATATCGTATTCTAACAAAATCTACTAAAACTAACATAAATTAATAAAAATTATAATTAAAACTACAGCATTCTTATAAAGAAGATTTTGAGAAAATGAAAGGATCATATACGTTTGTAGAAGATTCTGTTTCTATGCAACAAGCCAAGAAAAATACCAAGACTCAGAGTGAGGTAACTTTGTCGATTTAAGAATTATTTAATATTCAGGGAAAAGTCATAGATACTATTGTCTGTTGTCTGTTCAGTTTCCAAGGCCTATTTTTGTTTGCAGAATAGTTACCACATCATTACCCCAATTTTATCTTAGGACATCCAGTATTTTCTTCTTTCCTTCTTTGATTTTTTCAGAGTTCTGTCCCTTTCTTACTTTAGTAAAGTTCTGAGAGGAACACCTATCTTCCTGTTTTCAATTTCTCATTCTAGAGCATTCATTCATCCATAGCTCTCTTATGTAGATTATTTTCATTCATTCATTCATAGTTTCATTCATTTATAATTCACTTATATAGATTATTTTCATTCATTCATAGTTTATTTATTCATAGTTCACTTACATAGATTATTTTCATTCATTCATAGTTTCATTCATTCATAGTTCACTTATATAGATTATTTTCATTCATTCATTCATAGTTTCATTCATTCATAGTTCACTTATATAGACTATTTCATTCATTCATAGTTTCATGCATAGTTTCATTCATTCATAGTTCACTGATATAGACTATTTCATTCATTCATAGTTTCATTCATAGTTTCATTCATTCATAATTCACTTATATAGACTATTTCATTCATTCATAGTTTATTCATGTATGTCCTGCAATTCTTTTCTTCCTTGTCCATTCATTTATTCATTTCTTTTGTTTTTCTATCAGTTGAACATAGAGACATCCTTCGTTCATTCATTTATTCTTTATTTAATTCATCCCTCTATAATCCACTCTATTTTTCTCTCAGGTACAATATAAGGATGATTTTGAGAAGAATATTAAAGGGAAGTACACCCCAATTCAAGATCCACTCAGTTTAAAACAGGCCATGAAAGTTTCGAAAGAATTGAGTGAGGTACACAACTTACTTCGAGATTATAATGTGCCATCTCTAGCATGCTAGTCTTCGCCTCTAATTGGTAATTCCATCTCTATAAATGATCTTCTTGAAGTTTTAAATCTCGCTTTCAATTCTGTTTTGATACATAATAACTTGTTAAAATTTAAAGACCAGGCCCTGTATCCTCGAAACGATCTTAGCGCTAGGACATCCTAGGGTCTTGACTTCTAACACTGTTTTAGGACATCCTAGCGCTGAGATCGTTTCGAGAATAAGGTTCAGAAATTGTTCTTAATTTCCTTAAAGAATTAATTTCCTCATTTCCTCATTTCTTACTTCCATCAGTAGAATACAGTGAATTGAAGTATAAATCCTTTACAATTTTCAGAATGCTTACCATTATTCAGACGTGGAAAAATTAGGATCTAAATATTGTCAAGTTCCTGATTCCGTGGAGATGCAGAGACATCAACGCAATAAAAAAAATGCCAGCTTGGTATCACATCTTTTATTTTATTATGTTATTTTCACATTTTGAAATTGAGCAGGTGCTTCTAGATTTAATAAATACAGTAATCTGATTGGATGACAATCAATTTTATTGATTGACCAATCAGATGACTGGAACACTTAAGTCATCTTAAGTTATGTTTACTAGAATAAGGCCCTGTGGTCTTATAACACTTCAGCTTCTTTTCCTATTTTTTTTACATATTTGCACAATCCAGTTAAGCTTTTAAATTTAAACAAAACAGTTCATAGGTTTCGAAACTGTCTGCCCAATTAACTTACCTATGAAATAAAGAATGTTCTTAAAATAGATCAATGTGCATAGGTAAGACAAGATGCAGGTGTATACTGAAATGTATATCTCTAACGAATCTGTTGAAAGTTACAAAATTTGGAATAATTTTTGAATATTTCATTGAGTAATTTGATTGGCTGATGTTGAGATTTTTTCGTCGCCCCCTAGGTTGACTACCATCGAGAAATCGAAGAGGCAAAATATAAATCTGCCATGCCAAACAAGAACGAAGATATGGTAGAGTAAAATATCTTATTCAGCATGTCATGTGATCTGATCCAACCAATAAGAATGGCTTACAGCATGTCATGTGATCTGATCCAACCAATAAGAATGGCTTACAGCATGTCATGTGATCTGATCCAACCAATGAGAATGGTTTGCGTGATGTCATGTGGTCTAAATGATCCAATCAAATATTAAAGGCATGTGTTATTTGTTTTCCTATGAAACTTAGCATGTCATGTGATAAAGTATAACCAATGAGATTGCTTCCTTTGATCATGTGATCCTAAACCAACCAATCAGATTGTGTTTTGTTAGAATGTTTTTAAATGTAGTATAGAAAATTGAAACCTGTAATTTTAATTGGTTGTTTTGTGAGATTTGAACATTGATGTGATTTTTGGCCGTTTTGGGTCTGTTTGGGTGTATATGAGCTTTAACTAAATTCATTAATCAGTCATGAGAAGTATAATTATGTTTTATAATTGTATAATATTGGTTTGGTTACTATATGATTCCAATATAACAGGTTCTGAAGATTATTGTTTTTATCTTGTGTTATTATCTTCTATAGTATTATGTATATTGTTGTTATATTTATGTATAAAATGAGTTTTGAATAAATAAATACTGAAAACTGTGTTACCATTTATTTCTAGGGGATCTTTCAAATTTCTGATAATTTTGTTTTCATTTTATATTTGTAATTTTTTTTGTAATAAAACAGTTAAAATACAGAGAAGACTTGTGTTTTATTTTCAAATTTCATTCTAAGATTAATTTATAATCAAAACCCCTCCCCATCTAGTTGCCCTATCCTCCCAGTCTTGCTGTGTAACTCAATAATTATTTAGTTTTTGGGTTGAAATCCGCTAATTATGACCTTTTTCTTTCTTTTCAGATGTTAATAAATATTATTGCAGATTTTATTTTTTTGTTATACTTTGTAATTCAATTTAAGTTTTGCTTTTATTGGTTGATGTTACAATTTTTTTAAGCGATTAAGTTTTCAGATTATTTTCGCTTTCTGAATTTTTATTTTTCATCATCACACATCAGCTTAGTTTTTGTTGTTTGTTTTTGTGATTTTATTATGTTTATTTTTGGAAATGAAATATGTATGTGTTATTTTCTCTTTTGCTTAGATAGGCCAAAGACATTTGATGTTGTCTGTAGTATGATCTATTGATTGTGAAGATTTGTCATCCCTGATTAGAATATTTTCGTTAGATATTTGTGTTCTTGCATAGTTAAAGAGATTGTGAAGAGGTTTTCTAAATTTTTAAAATCAGTCTGTGGTTCCTGCAATTCCACTAAGTATTTTCACCTGAATCGCTTTATCACAAATATGGTCCTTCCCGATTAGTGATGTCATCAAACAATTAGGTTTAGTAGAATTACAAGAACCACAGACATCTGATTGAAAATTAGAATGTTGTAAATTGATACTATCAGTGTCACCTATATACATAAACAATTTAAAAAACCTCTTTACAATCCCTTTAATATAACTCCTTTGCTTCTTTAAGCGAAAGAATTTTTTTTGTTGTATTTAATTTTCGTCTTTATTAATTCATTTCTAATTCATTCTTATCTTAGTTATTATCTGAAATGTGGTTTGTACACAATTTAACTGAAAGCAGTGTGCTGTAAGAAAACACGATCATTTCAATAAATTAACCAATCACATCGCTTATATTTTTCAGGTTATGTATCATGCCGATTTCGAGAAGTCAAAAGGAAAGAAGACGTCTGTTATGGATGATCCTGAAATCCAGAGGATAAAAAAGAACACGGCCATCCAGAGTAACGTCCAATATCAGAACGTGGCTCAGAGAAAACATGACATGGAGGCTCGTCGTCCTGAACAAGTTATGGAAGGTTTGTTTTATATTTCATTATTTTTTTTAATCATTTCATTTTGCGAAAGAGATTTATTCGTCTAAATAGTTGTTTTTGTTGATTTATTTATATTTATTCATTTTCAATTCACTTCTCAAAAAGATAATGGTTGTCCAATTTGTACCATTCCAATTTACAATCAGACGTCTGTTGTTCCTGCTATTCCACTAGAACTAAGCGTTTGATGACATCACTATCACAATAGCCCCTATTGATATATAAGAACCTTTGTAATAGTGATGTCATGAAACACGTTGGAATTGCAAGAACCACAGATGCCTGATTAACTATTACTTTCACACCAAGTTTGCAAAAATATTATAGAAATCAGAATATTCCTATTATAAGTTTATAAGTTCCTGCAGCTCTCTGAAAAGTCATCTTAACATTACTTGCCAAGCTCAATTCCTAAACTGAGAGAGCTTTATTTTTCTCATCTGTAATACTTCTTAAATGAACTCGGAACCTGAGTTGTCTGTAATTTATAGAAATCAAGGGGATGGAATGGTATAAGTTTTAAGACATCTATGGCAATCTCAATTACAAATATTTAGACGGATATATCCCTTATTAAGATATCTGAAATATTTTAATTCAGACTCATAGTGGTTATGTTTTGAATATCCCCTTGGGGTGCAGAAGTATCTACATCGAACTAATGACAGCATCTTCAAAGACACCCACTAATCACTGACCCTGACCCCCATGCCCATCACAGAGCCCAGTACCATTCTTCTAAAGAGATTGTAAAGAGGTTTTCTAGGTCGGGGTATCAGGAACACTGATAGAATCAATTTACACCATTCCAATTTTTAATCAGACGTGTGTGGCTCCTGCAATTTCACTACAAGTAAGTGTTTGATGACATAACTTATTGCAAAGGGCCTTTTTGTGATAAAGAAACGTCATCGAACACTTATTTGTTGTTGAATTGCAGGAAGCACAGACATCTGACTGTAAATTGGAATGTTCCAAATTGATCAGTGTCCCAAATACACATGAAAAATTGAGAAAACCTCTTTACAATATCTTTAAGTGTTCATCTGAGCCATGTTTCACAAAAATAACATCTGATTTATGAAGGAATGTAGCCTAGAACTTTATATTTGCATCTTGGACTTTTTATCTGAGTTGTTTTTTTACTGAAACTTTTGTTAAAAGCATGGTAGATAATTAACAAGAGATATGAAAGGTGTCCGATACGAAGTGAGCATCGCTATATAGATTTTGTGTCACTTAAATAAAGTGAGGCTCACTACTTTTGGGACGTCCTTCATATCTCAAATGAGTTAATGATTTGGTGTATCATGTTTCTATTTGCATCATTCCAATTTTTTGTAAGATGTCTGTGGTTTCTGTATTATTCAAATGTTTCACCATTTTGACTTCACTATCATGAAAGCTTCAATGATTTATAAGCAGCCTTTGGGATAGTAACTTCATAAAATACGTGAAAATTAGAATGGCCATGCAAATTGATGCTATCATTGTTCCCAATACACATACAAAGATCATGAAAAGATGAAATATATTGAAGATGTATATTAATCAGTTTGTGTTTAATTTTGTAATTTAAAGGGATTGTAAAGAGGTTTTCTAAAAAATTTTGTGTGTATCAGGGACACTGATATCATCAATTTGTACCATTCCAAGTGCCTGTCATTCCTGCTATTCCACTAGAACTAAGTGTTTCATGATGTCATGAAGGATCTTTGTAATAGTGATGTCATAAAACACATTGTTTAAGTGGAATTGCAAGAACCACAGAAGCCTGACTAAAAATTGGAATGCTGCAATTGAGTCCTGTATACTTTTTTTTTGTTTTAGAAAAACCTCTTAAACAATCCTTTTAGAGTTAACTGCATGATTTTTAACGTATGTGTTTATTTCTGCATGTTTTTCTGTGTGTTTAAGGTTCACGTGGCCGAACTAACCCTGGAAAAATTAGCGAGTATGAGCCCCAAGCCTCTGGGCTAGAGTATCAGACATCTCACCATAGACCCGATAGTCAGGAGATTCGGGGCATGGCCCAACCGGCTGTTAGTGAATATGGTTATCAAAGCCGCCCTGGAGGTAGGTTGTTTATGTTTAAATTCATCTCCACAATGTCAGGCTATTATGTTCTTCTATAATACTCTTCATTGAATGCATCGATTGCATAGGCACTTATACCTTGATTGCTATAGGCACTTTTCTGAAATCATGGAATGCATCGATTTTATTGGATTGTATGCTAGATACTACAGCCAATCAGAGCCTTCAATATAAAGTATATAAACTTTATGGCTTAGTGACTTTAGGTCGAGGGCTCTGATTAGCTGTATTCGCTGGCGACACAGTTCGTAATGGCTTGACATTGTGAAGATGAAGTTGTAATAGCTTGACATTGTGAAGATGAAGATGAAGTTTGTAACAGCTTGACATTGTGAAGATGAAGTTTGGAATAGCTTGACATTGTGAAGATGAAGTTTGTAACAGCTTGACATTGTGAAGATGAAGTTTTGAATAGCTTGACATTGTGAAGATGGTGTTTGTAATAGCTTGACATTGTGAAGATGAAGTTTGTATTAGTTTGAAATTGTGAAGATGAAGTTTGGAATAGCTTGACATTGTGAAGATGAAGTTTGTAATAGCTTGACATTGTGAAGATGGTGTTTGTAGTAGCTTGACATTGTAAAGATGAAGATTGTAATAGCTTGACATTGTGAAGATGAAGTTTGTAATAGCTTGACATTCTGAAGACGAAGTTTTTAATAGATTGACATTGTCAAGATGAAGTTGTAATAGCTTGACATTGTCAAGATGAAGTTTGTAATAGTTTGACATTGTCAAGATGAAGTTGTAATAGCTTGACATTGTCAAGATGAAGTTTGTAATATCTTGACATTGTGAAGATGAAGTTTGTAATAGCTTGACATTGTCAAGATGAAGTTTGTAATATCTTGACATTGTGAAGATGAAGTTTGTAATAGCTTGACATTGTGAAGATGAACTTTGTAATAGCTTGACATTGTGAAGATGAAGTTTGTAATAGCTTGACATTGTGAAGATGAAGTTTGTAATAGCTTGACATTGTGAAGATGGTGTTTGTAATAGCTTGACATTGTGAAGATGAAGTTTGTAATAGCTTGACATGGTGAAGATGAAGTTTGTAATAGCTTGACATTGTGAAGATGAAGTTTGTAATAGCTTGACATTGTCAAGATGTAGTTTGTAATAGCTTGAAATTGTCAAGATGAAGTTTGTAATAGCTTGACATTGTGAAGATGAAGTTGGTAATAGCTTGACATTGTGAAGATGAAGATTATAATAGCTTGACATTGTGAAGATGAAGTTTGCAATAGCTTGACATTGTGAAGATGAAGTTTGTAATAGCTTGACATTGTGAACATGAATTTTGTAATAGCTTGACATTGTGAAGATGAAGTTTGCAATAGCTTGACATTGTGAAGATGAAGTTTGTAATAGCTTGACATTGTGAAGATCACATTCTTATTTGTAAACTTTACCATGCTGCTCAACAGTATCTTATCTTAGGGGTTGTAGGACGGGAATATTTTACCGTTCTTTTAGAAGTTATCAGAAGGTCAAAATATTCTCTCCTGATTGGTCGTAGAATTCCACAGGCAGGACAATTCCATCAATCAAAAATCTTGTCCAAAGAATGAGAGAATAGGGAATTTTAGTGGAGTAGGGGACTCCAAAGAGAAGTACCATCCATCAGATGTTTTAACAAGAGTAATCATGGTCACTACATTATCCTGATGGATTAGTGTGTTAATATATTAACTTGTAAGACCCATGGTGTGTATACCACTTAGATCAGATTTGATTTTAGAATAAATTCTACTTTGTACTCAGTTAATAACTTTAGATATTTTGCATGAGTTTAGAAGATACAATTTTAGCATGATATTACGCATCCTCACAACTTCATCTTATACCTTGACTATAAAAGACACCTTTCTTGTATCACAGAATGCAGGGATTTGATCCAACTGTAAGCTAGGGAATACAGCCAATCAGAGCACTTGACAGAAAGATTGCACACATTATGGCTTACTATTTACAGACTTTCTGTTGAGACCTCTGATTGGCTGTATTTGCTAGCATACAATCCAATCAAATCCCTAGATTAACAATCTTCTGTGATATAAGAAAGGTGACTATTGCTGTCAAGGTATAAAAGGAAGATCGTAATATCTTGACATTGTAAGGATGGGTATTAGATGAGTGTGCCAAAATGTGATGCTAATATTGCATGCAAGTTCGATCAGTTTTATGAAATCACAAGTTTTTAATACAATCATAAAATATTTTAATTCAGTTCCAGATGTTTCATCTCAAGAAGGTATTTTTCATTTCACTTTTCATCCAATTTTTAATCAAATTACTAATGCTTCTGAACATTCGCAGATTGAGTGAGATGGGTTGAAAGCCATCATTAGACTGACTCTCGAAAGCACTGGCCAAGCCATAAACATTCTTCTTGTCTCCTAGGAGGAAAGTAATCCAGAGTAGTTGATAGACGACAATTCAACTCGCTACCAACTGAGTTTTAAGATAATGAATTTGAGGCTAAAAAAGACTGTCCTTCTTAAAAATTTGCCGTTTGCATATAAAAAAAAAAGAAGAGAATTTTGCTTTATTTTTTTTATTTAATTCCAGGTTTTTGATGCAATTAATAATGAATATATATGAGACCCCCCATAGCTTAATCTAGGCATTTCCTGATGTTTCACATTCCATCACTTCCGAATAGTTAGCAAAAAATTATTTAGAACCAATCAAAACCCACGTTAACACCTTTGCTTGTCACTTCTTTTTTTGCAGGTTCTTAATTGGAAACCTGAAAAATATTAAAACTTGAAAATAATATTGAATCTTGGCATTGAAAAATTGCAATAAAGTAATTTCCAAATGGAATATTTTAAATGATTTTTAAATTTGAAGCAAAAATTTACATTGAAACTTTCAGATTTACTTATAAAAATACAGGAATTTTCTCAATGAAAACATTTCAATTTTTGCTGTAATTGCTTTTTTTTTGCGATTTTGTTTTGCTTTATAATTAACTTAATACAGCAGTAAAATATATATATAAAAAATCATAAAATACTAATACTAAGCTAATCAGTAATAAGTGTTCACACTTCACAGCTATTTTGTAATATAGGGAATTATGAAAAATAATATTGTCTTGTGTTTTGTTATATATGAAAAATAGAGACCAAATTGTAGAGAAATACCTCTCTTACACAAAAACTAGGTCAAACTGCTTACTTACTTCATATTTTAGAAATCTTCTCGTTTATAATTTACAATATACATACTGCCCCTTTAGATTGAGGCTTCCCCCTGATATAACTCATGACAGACTAGTTGGTGATAAAAATCACAGACCAAGACTGTTCATATTCATAGATTTAATTAAAGAATGAAATATTGTCTGTTATATTTTCAGTTCAGAATGGTCAGAGACGTCAGCCAGGATCAATCACTGATTATGACCCCATGGCCGGATATGGGGGTCAAGGTTATTCTCCTGCTCCTGCACCACAACCTATGTATCAAGGTAAATCCCAGTTTCAATATTGGCCCCCCTAAAAATAATTTGTTTTTTTAAAAAGTTAAATTTTTTATACGTTATTACCCCTAAAATATGTGTCAGAATGCACCAAATCAATTCAAATTTTCTTCTTAATTGTTTACTCCCCATCCATTTTGATTTATTTGCTATATATAAATTTTTGTTGATCTAATTTCAGGGGGGTATGGAGGTGGCAAGGTAAGTGTTTATTCTCTTCCTGTGGTTACTCAGTGACTTAAAGGCTAACTTGCTTGCCTAGGGGGTCAAGAGTTTGGATCCTGGCATGGGTAGAGCCAATAAATTTTGAATTTTCTACCCAGTTTTCAGTGATGTAACTGAGCTAGTAGAGCCTGCCTGTGGCTAACCTGAGGGTTCAATCATGGTATAGGTTGAGATTAGGCTTTGCAATTTTTTCAGTCTGGTTGTTCAGATTTGACAGTGTCCCAGAAACACATAAAAAAACATAGAAAACCTTTTTACAATCCCTTTTATTCCACTTTAGTTAATTTGTAAATCGTTTGTTGTAGAAACCAAGTTATAGAGCGATTTACGATTACACTGCAGCCGATGATGATGAGGTTTCCTTCCGCGAAGGTGACGTGGTCATCAACTGTGAGATTATCGATGCTGGCTGGATGACAGGGACTATACAGAGGACTGGCACTGCTGGAATGTTGCCATCAAACTACGTAGAACCTATTTAAATTTCTTTGAATTTGTATCAGTTTACTCCTATTGTTCAAGTTATTTTCTCTCTTTTCAAATGGTTTTATGATTGTTGTTACTTGATTTCCAGAATCTTTAAATATATTTTCCTCTTTTGCGAGATTTTGGAAAGATGCGCTTAGAGTTATTACAAGAAATCTGACAATGTTTCGCCTCCATCAACTCTGTAATATTCAAATTTTTACTGAGATGGGGGTTGAGAAAATTAGGATCTGAACATTCATTGCGTTTTCTCTCAAGGTTCAGAGAGAAAAACGTGTTAACAATTTAACTCTTGTGCTTATAATTTTGCAAGTAAAAATCTTTGTAAAAGATGAGTTTAAATTTGGAAGAATTCTGGAGAAAATGTGATTAAATAACCACCATTGAAATTAATTTTACTATTATAAATCTCCCCTATCTATACACATGGACTATTCTAAGTGTAAATAGAATGAATACTGAAGGAGATTGCATGTTACTATACAAGGGGTGTAAGGAGTAGAACTATGTGTGTTATTATGAATTATAGATTTACTAGTTTCCGAAATATTTGTATTTTTCCCCTGTTTTTTGATAATAAAAATTGTTATATGTAGAAACTTATTAAATTGATGTTTTTAGAATTTTGTGTCAAAACGCAAAGCTTGCTGCTTTTTTGGGAGTCAAATGAAAAATATGATTATGTATATCATCAATTGCATTTCTTCATCAAATTAAATTAAGCAACTTGTCAAAATATTAACCATGAGGGCAGTCGTTTGCTTGGTTATATCGAACAAATGGTGGTGGTGTTTTCTAATCTCTGTCAGCAAGTTAAATCTATCCAGATAAATAGAGATTAATGCCAAACATTTTGTCGAGGACACGCTTGTAATAATATATACAGGAAAGCTTTGTCCTGAATTACGGGCATTAAATGTATTGATTTCATATTCAATAGTTGTCCTGATTATACAGGTTTTAATAATGTCTTTATTAATAAGGTTCTACTGTATGTTATATATATATATATAAATGTATATAAAATAACCCTGATATATCTTTATTTCCTGTTAACTACCATATTAGGACATAGAATCTTTCAGTTTTAAAGTTACACACTTAGTAATTTTCATGCAAGTATTCAGAATAGGTACAAAGATTTTCTAGTTAAATTCAGAAATATTTGGAACAAGAAAAAACAATTGCAGTTAAAAGTAGACGATCAGAAATTGATTCCAGTTTTTGTTAAAAAAAATGCTATTTCACAATGCAAATTTTTATGACCAGATATTTTTATTTTTGAAGCTAGACCTCTAAATATTATTAAACATGTCAAAATATTGAAAAATTGGAAAGATTGTTATCAAGCATAATATATATTTAATCGCGTTGCAAATTGTTTCATGTATTTATTACATTTTGTGGCTTGTTCTATTTTTGTGTTAATTGTGCAAGAATTTGTGCCGTTGCATCAAAACATAAACACGAGCAGTCTAGTCTAATCTATTTTAAAGGGAGAATAAATAGTAATAGAAACTATCAAGACTGAACTTACATAGAGCTGATCTAATTATACTACCTAAACAACAAAATAGACTGGCCGTGTTTATATTTTGAATTTGACGCAAATGTGCAAAATATCTTAGTTTAACTATAAATGTGCTTTTGTTTATGTTAAATCAAACCTGAATTAATTTGTGAATTTGATTGAATAAATGATAAGAATTTTTTTTGATAAAAAACAGATCTAATTATTAGAATCAGATCATAACTTTTGAATTAGAAAAATATCTTGATGGGGCAAATTAGGTTAGACTATGTATATTATTTTTTTTTTCAGAACAGTTTGAATTTGTATTTTTTGAGAGCTTATTTATGTTTTTTATATGTTGTTTTTTCTAAAAGATAGATTTGCTTTGGATTAAAAATTGTAAAATAATCAAGAAATAAATTGCTTAAGAACACAAAACTTCACACAACGCTATCCTGCACAGAATATTATATGCATTTCCTAATGCCATTTTTAATTTCTTAAAATGGCCTTGATATAATTTGCTCATTTTGCGTCTTTGAAGGAATTAAAAGAGTTCTGGCATTTTTATGTGATATGGGAACATTTAGAGTTTCTCAACACTGCACAGCATTGCCAAATGACAAACGACAAACTACAGACATTTTATTTCGTAACTGGAATGTCCCACAGTAAAGTTGTGGAAATTAAGAATGGTGCAAAAGTAAAACTCTAAATTTTTTCAAATGTATAAATGCTGGAACTTTTTTAGTTCTTTTTAACTTCGTTAATTGCCTGATATTTCAAAGAAATTTGTTTTTTATGAAGAAATCACTTTGCACATGTACAGCACTGAGCACATTTTAATGCAATATGGCTACCTTGTGAAATACTGACAATTTTTTACAAAAACAAAATGTTTTCATTGTTATAATAGTGTTCTATATTTCAATTGAGTGATAAAGAAATATTATAACCCAACCTGAAGCATGTTGTTACACAGAGTTTCACACTGTACGATCTTCAGACAACTAAAACAGAACCTAAAACAGAACCTGAAACATGTTGTTACTCAGAGTTTCATGCTATCTTCAGACAACTCAAATTTTGTATATAGATTTTTGATGTAGTATAGTTTTCTGGGCAAATATCTGTAATTGTGACTGAAAACATGCACCATAATCGAATTAATTCTAGGGCAAAATATAGATTCTTATGCAAAACTTTGAAACTGTCATTATGGCAAAATGTAGTAATCCGAACACAATCATTTATCATTGCAAATTGGTGTAAACTAGGCAAAAATATGTCATTTATCCAAAATGCTATTTTTGTCGTTGAAAACCATACAAAGTTTGTGCAATGAGTAGTTTCGTAAAGGAAGCATAATTTGCATTTAATGTTTAAAATTGAACTCAAATTACAATACAAATTAAAGAAGAATTTGTAGATTCCTGTATATCAACCTAGTTATTATATTCTACGCACATTTAAAACTATTGCTTTCTGCATCTTTTCTTGTAGATAATTTTGAGAAAGCCAAATCTAAATAACTGCCATCAATAGAAACTTATAGTGATTTTGTGGTCAAATCGAACTAAATGCTTCTATAAGCCTATTCTCTGATGAAATGAACACATTTTTCAGATTGTTGTATTTGGGTTCAAGTAGCTGATTGTTATTGCTATAGTGTGACCTACAGTTTAGAGCTCTGGTCAGACATGACTGGTAAATACACCCATATCAACAGTCTAGAGCTCTAGTCAGACTTGACTGGTTAATACAATCAAATCAACAGTCTGGAGCTCTAGTCAGACATGACTGGTAAATACAGTCAAATCAACAGTCTGGAGCTCTAGTCAGACATGACAGGTAAATACAGTCAAATCAACAGTCTAGAGCTCTAGTCAGATATGACAGGTAAATACAGTCAAATCAACAGTCTATAGCTCTAGTCAGACATGACAGGTTAATACACGCAAGTCAAAAATCCTGAGAAAGGTTAAGAGAAGCATTTAGTGAGAAGTTTAAAAATTAATTTTGTTTGTTTAGGTTTTTGAACTGTTAATAAATATTTTTTCTGTTTCTATACATTAGTGAAATTTAAATTATTTTTTGTTAAAATTCTGTAATTAATAATGAACTCTAAAATTTCAAGCCACAACAATAAAAATACTTTGTATTTAGATTCAGTTTTTATTTTCTAATCCTTACACAGGCCTGTAGCTCCCCCTGTATCCCCCCTTCCCATGAAAAGTTTATATGACTTGAATGTCGTGTTGAGCTCCCCTTAAATTTTTTAAGAGACACTGGGCTAGATATTGCCCTGTCCTTACACCATCACCATGGGAAGTCAGATAGCTCAGTGGTTAGAGAGTGGAAATAGTCTCATCGTATCTACTGTGGATGGTGGGCTCAGTTAACTACCTAACCAGTCATGGACCTACTTATAAAAATATACATTTTCTAGTGCTGCTTCACAACCCTTCTTATCACAAGTCAATGTAATTAAATAGATTACAAATTGGATGGGGAAATTAATTGTAGTCTTAGAAACATTCTAATTGGTTAATGAAGTATTCCATTTAACCAATCAAATCATCCCACGAAAAATATTTCGTTTTTGAAAAACTGTACAAGATTTTAGCATTGAATCCACATATTCTACCAAATATCGAATATTCACAATTAATTTTATTTCTAAAACCGTCAAGACTATTCGAAAATCTTGAATATCAAAATCCTGTTTTACGTCATGCAAATATTCTCATACTTTTTGACAGCAAGGTGCGTTATTTCCTGTTAGGTAAAGTTCGTTTTATCTAGCCTACTAAACTTATCCAAAATATGAAATCTTCCCTGAAATGTTTTTCGAAATATCTCTTAAAATTTTGTTTTCGTATTCTTGATTTAATACTGATCATTGAAATAATGATAAAAGTAACCTTAGTAGATAAGAAAATAAACGAAAAAATGTTTACACGGTTAATTCTTCGGAAGTAGACTGAACAAAACGAACCGACTATCAAACAAAATTGAGCAATGGCTTCGGATTCAATGACAGATAGCAAAACAAATAGTCTTTCAAATAAATCTTCGAGTCAACCCGACGACGAAGATATTACACACAATGAAATTAAAGGTTGGTTATTGAAGAGGGCCAGACTGTCAAGAAAATGGAAAAAACAATGGTTTTTGTTGAAAAATTGTGACTTATTTTATGGCAATAACCCAGAGGTAAACAACATTATATTTTTGAAACGTCAATAAAGTATTTTTTTACATTTTGATTTTCACCTTGAATGTTCTGAAGGAGAAAACAGGTGTAAGGTGTCTGCTGTAGATTAGATTTATGTGTAAAATTACTTGGCAGATATTTTTGACACTGCCAGTCTTGTCCACAAACAACAAAAACAGAAGGCTTGCAAAACTGAATTGACAATATAATAATAATATTAGTAGATAGCAAAGTTTGCATGATGCCATTCATGTAAAAGACAGAACATACAAATATAAACATTACAACTTATTTTAGGTATTTGTGAATATAAAACAGTTATCTATCTCTGCACCATTGTCTTACGATACGAATATCATTTTTATAATAGGCCTATTAGTATTATATGAATATAAAAGTTTTGTAAATTGTTTGTGTAGATTATTCTCTAAAATTGTGGTTGATGATATTAAATTAATCAAGATTTGAATTCAGAAATGAATGTTAACTATTATAAGAAGCTCAGTGAAAGTAGTGAGATTAGATTTAGAAATAGTTAGTTGTCTAGCATAAGTTAAAAACAATCTTTTCTGTGGAAATGGAAGGCAAATATTAAACCACTCCTAGATAGCCGTATGATATCTATTCTCTTACAATGTAAATAGATATTGTTAATACAGGTACAAAATACGTTGATACAACAATGTTATACATGTGCTTAGTATTTTAATAGAAACACCTGCACTGTGTTTTGTTATGTCCTTAGACATGTTAGTCATATTTTGCATACTGGTACTTCCTTGTTTAAGGGCAAGCAACACAGATTTGATTCAATACAACATTGTAATATTATGTTTTGTGCTTCATGTGTTTTTTGTCCACTCTTAGCCTTGTTGTTGATTTTTTAAACTTTAATGTTTTTTGCCAATATGTTGTTTGGATTTCGGGTTTCGTTTGCAGTTCCTTTTGATAGTATTTGGCTTATTAAATTATTGTTCATTTAGGGCAAACAAAAATTTCAAAATTGATTTTCCGGTCACTTTTTCAGGATTCAAGAAAAAAGATTCCACTTACAAATGCCGATATTTCCGAAACCAGTGTAGACAAAAAACAATATGCCTTTAGAATAAAGAGTAAGGAAGGTGGAAGGACTTATTACATACAAGCAGAAAATGAAAGCATACAAAATGATTGGATGCAAGCAATATGTTTTGCGAAGGCAGCTGGAATGAATGGATCAGCATCTCAAGCCTGTGTCATCCAGTAACTGTTTAATGGTGGTTGGTTGTATCTTTTGTTTGCTGCATTTTAGATGAAAATTTTTAAACACAAAGGAATTTAGTCATATAAAAGGTAAATTCTAACTGCCATCATTGGAAAGTGAATCTCAAAATAATTACAAAAATAATTGACAAAATTCAACAAAATGGATAGAAACTGAAATTTCAATAACACTGAACACGATATTTTGATTTCAAAATTCAAGATAGATTGAAAAAGAAATGCAGCAAACAAAAGAATCAAATCTGACAACAAGTGGCTCTAATTGGTAGAAAAAGTGATGCAAGGACTGGACAAAAGAGATGTTGTGATTGAAGTCGTGATCAGTGACACAAATTTGTGTCGTGAAGTGAAGCGAAGTCGTGATACAAAGTTAGTCGTGATACGAGGACCAAAGTCGACAACCTTGTGATAAAAACCATGATATTGTGATACATTGTGTACAAAACTAACAGTTCGACTTTGAATTGTTAAAATATAAAACTTGTTATCGTAATGGTGTTGTGAAGAGGTGTATAATTTTAAAGCAGACTGAAGAAAATTTAAAATAAGGGGGAGATAACATACTCCCCTATTCAGGCGTATAAGCTTATGTAACTTAAAGCAGGCTGCAGTAAAATGAAAATAAGGGTAAATAAGAATGACCCCTATTCAGTTGTCTGCATGCATAAAATGATTTTAAAACATAATTCATAGACACATGTTTTGGGTATATAAGCCTTATCAGGACACATTTTTTGGGTACATAAGTCTTATCGGAACACATGTTTTGGGTACATAAGCATTATCAGAACCTTTATTTTGGGTACATTAGCCTTATTAGGACAGCTAGTTTGAGAAATGGGGGTAAACTTTCTAAAATTGAAATTAAGGTTATGGTGTATTTAGAGGATTTAAAAGCACTGCCTAGAGATGTATGAATAAAGTAATATAATATAATATAATAAAAACTATTACCACATTCGATTATTGAAAATAAGGTAAAATTCAACAGAAAGGAAAATTGTGTGTCATTTAAATAGAATATATATTTTATCACATAACTGAATACGATTTTATACCCCTTAATGTCGCTACTAGCCCCGTCACACCGTACGGTGACCATTTGAGATCTAACGTCTAAAAGTGTACTTGGTCGTCAACAAATACTGAAACCTCAAAATTACAAATTCTACAACAGTTGCTATCAACCTGTGACCATATTAAATTCCAAAGGTGCATTTCTCTAAAAGATTTGTACGTTTTTTTCACGTTATGTTACAACGCTTGTCCAAATTACATTCTTGATTCCGTGGCAATCTCACTGGCGATTATTGCGACAATGGTGGCCACCATACGGTATATGATGCTTTCTTCACGCTTGTGCCACCTTATCATTCTCTGAGCTAATTTGCCGTCATGCAGCAGCTCAGTAAGGACGCCTTCCAGAAGTGATGGGGCTATTCATGATGATGTATTTTATTGAGATTTTCAGTAACTAACTTCAAGTTACATCACACATCATTAATATTAATATTTAATTAGAAAATACTAATTGATGTTCTTTAATTGTGTATAATTTGAAATTTATGATTAATTATGATATTTTAATTATTGTATATTACCTAACAGGAAATTACCTGTGTTTTTGTAGGGACACTCATCTGACTATCTCTGAACTTGTTGATAAAAATCCTTGTATCAGTTTCTATATGGAAGGAAACAAAATAAGTTCAAACATTTATTTTGATTTGGGGTTAAATAAATAGTAATTGAAACTGTTTCTTGATCTTTATTGTGTTCATTATTACTAAAACTCAAAATGAAGTGGACTTTCTATGTCGATGTTTTGACATCTTCACAATGTCAAACTATTACAAACTTTGTAGGGTGAAATAACTATCTTTCTTGTTATACAAAAGTTTGTAAATGCAGTGATTTGGTATCTTAGCGAATACAGACAATCAAGTCTCAAAATAAGCCCGTCTGTCAAGGACTATGATTGGTAATAATTGCTGGCGTACAATCCAATTGAATCGCTGCATTCCATCATACAAGAAAGGTGGCTATTGCAGTCAACGGTCAAAGTTTGACATTGGGAAGATGATTTTTTGAATCTGTACAAAAATGTCTTGGCTTGATTATATTCCCTTAAAATGTCCTTGTTTGTTTTTAATTGTTGTTAATTGTTTTTTGACACCCATTTGTTTGTGAGATTCTAGTTTATTGGTCACAGATTTTAATATTTTAAAATTTTCATTTGCCACCAGATTTAAGGTGCTAATAGACAGGCGTACAGTGTTCCGTGTGATGTATGATGCAGGATTGTGGATACAGTTGAAAATAGAAGAAATGAACAAAGTGCGGACATGATTCACGGACATGATTTGCTTCTATTTTCTACTTTATCAATGATCCCCCACTATACACCTCACCAGACGACGTACCTCGTCTCTTTCCACCTTTACTCTTCCTTTCACCCTGGGCCTGGTGTCACACCAAATCTTGCTATTAAAATTCTTTTTATATACATTTGGAGCAGAAGTCAGTCATAAGATATTTCATGATATACTTCCTCATTTATAATTGATATACTTCCTTAATATGGAAAGTTCATTAGCTGCTACCACTATATTGCCAATATGTTGTTTTTAATGTCGCTGTCCTGGCAAAATTTCACTAATTTCACACTGCATGGCTTTGCACGTCTTCATTAACAAATAAAGTACTAAATAGTACAATGTAAAACTTCATCAATTTATTTTTCATTGAAATATCTATGTATTAAGCCGTGAATACACGAGGTACGATGTCCAGTGCTGAGTAGCGATACAGTAGAAATTAGAATAACACACGAGGTACAGTGTCCGGACAAGATTCGTTTTTTCTATTTTCTACTGTATCGGTAATCCTGCACTGTACACCACACCACCTTATTCCCACCTGTGGTCTAAAAGCAGAGTAAAAACTGAATATTATGATGGAAACAATTTAAAATTTGACAGTTTCTGGAAAAGCAAATGAAGATCATATTTAAAATGTGACATAATAATTGAAAAGTGCTCATGTACAGATTTTATCATCATTATTATTATTATTATTATTATTGTAATTATGGAGTATATTATTTTCATTTTAATCTCTATTTTATCACAGTAAGAGAATTGTACAATTTTAATATCTGAGAGATATTTCTTCATAAAATAAATTATTGTTAATGAAAGTCTTGTTTTCTATGAAGCCAGACATGACTGTTAAATACAGTCAAATCAACAGTCCAGATCTCTAGTCAGACATGACTGGTAACTAAAGTCAAATCAACAGTCTAGAGCTCTGGTCTGACATGACTGGTAAATACAGTTAAATCAACAGTCTAGAGCTCTAGTCAGACATGATTGGTAAACGGTCAAACCAACAGTCTAGAGCTCTAGTCAGACATGACTGGTAAATACAGTCAAATCAACAGTCTAGAGCTCTAGTCAGACATGACTGGTAAATACAGTCAAATCAACAGTCTAGAGCTCTAGTCAGACATGACTGGTAAATACAGTCAAATCAACAGTCTAGAGCTCTAGTCAGACATGACTGGTAAATACAGTCAAATTAACAGTCTAGAGCTCTAGTCAGACATGGTTGGTAAAGAGACAAAGCATTTCTTTTTACAGTCAGTTCCCTGTGATTTACCATGTTGCTGAACAAGTCCCTGTGATATCAAGTTAGGTAACTCTGACGTCATGTCAATGTTTACAGGTGGCAGTATTTTTGACGTTTCTAATGCAGACGACACGTGCTTGGAATTTATGTCAAGGCAGTAAGTGGTAAATCGTCTTGACATTGTCATCAACGAAATCTATTTGAAGTTGTTAGAAGTTTCAGTCAAATTTCTAATCATCCTCTCTAGCCTTGGACGCTGGCCGTCTGTCGTTAGGCACCAGTGCAGAGGAACTTGGAGTTGCCAGTTCTTAGTTGGGGAAGGAAGCCTTGAACTCGAGTTTGACTTGATTGGATTTAGGATATTATTAGGTCTACTGCTACTTAAGTTCTACTTCAAGTAGGCTAGTTATTGTTTGGCCATTGTCATCTATATTATCTTGAAGAAAATGTCTCTGTTGAAGCTTGCATCAAGTGAGTGAAAGTAATAGCGAAAACTAAGGAGCAAGGATCAGACACCAAATGTCAGTCACCCTTCCAAGTTTCTTTGAAACTTTTGTCCAACCGAGATTACAAACGACTTGGTACCAATACCCGACCCAGGATCCAGTTTACTCTGCTGAATATTTCACTCCAGTTCCTGCTACAACATATCAGATTCACAGCCAGTCTGCTACAGACCCTTTGGCCTACTGCTGCCCTCCTTACATTCAGTACCCCCAACAACCAGTTTACTACAGCCAGGCATTCATTCATTCAAATTTGTACAAACCATACCAAGTTCCTGTATCACGAATGAAGCGATTAAGGACAGTGGAAAATCTTCAAGAGCTCTCCTCTAGTCATGAATTCACCAAGATTGAAGTGCCAGATGTTCCAGAGAAGAAAGTCAAGAAGGCGAGTTTTATCGTGAAACCCAAAGAAATGAAAGCTTTCTTTGGATTGCTGGGTAGGTACTTTGTTGGTCTATAAAGTATAAAATGAGAGAACTTGAAGATCTAGACTCATATTAGATTAGGCAAGGTGTTCTTCTGTCAATGAATTTTTTGTTGGTTAGGCCTAAGCTACTGTAATTCCTAAAGATCTACAACCACTATGTATCAGTAATTTTGGCCAAAATCTAACTTTTAATTTGTTAATACCGGTAGTTGTTATTAGCACAATTACTTAGTGCTTTTGTTCCAAACACAGTTAGACATGACAGTTTCGAATCTTTGTCTGTTCTAAACTTTCAGCTGATGAGCTGATACAAGATTTTTTAGAAGCTGATAGTTGTATTAAGATTTCAGATAAGGTATGATAATATTTTAACTCATTTAATGCTGAAATTTGAGAGGCTCTTTATAGAACTGAAATGAGGCATCTAAGCCGTATGGTTTCATTAGAACTTTGTTTTGTTTTGATTAATGCTGGCGTGGTATCATGCAACATTTCTGGGAAGACTTCTTGAGGATTTGAAAAGAAAAAGTTTGCATTTGAGTGTTTTCAGGTTTCAAGAATTCACATAAAGTAAGCTTATTCTGTATTAGCAATAAGGTTTTATCCTTATGTTAATGGTTTAGATAGGATGACTTGATCTTGGTGTACTTTGTGAGTTTTTAGATTTTAATTTTGTTCCTTCTTTATTACAGTACCTGCTGGCCATGGTATTTGCGTATTTTAAACGAGCATGTTTTTCTATCAGAGAATATACCAGAACTAACTTCTTCATGGCACTGTGAGTAGTTTTCAAATTCTTAGCCTGACAAGTTTACTGTGAATAAACATGCTTTGGATATGACTGAAGCTTTAATTTAAATCCCAGGTCCCCCTTTGTACCTCTTTCTACCTAGCCTACAGATGTGTCATCAAAAGTATTGAACTGTATTACAAAATATTATTATTTTAAAATAGACCTCTCAGGTAACCCCTGTGGTGTGAACTGGTACCCTCAGGTGGTACTAATATCCTTACAGGAATGCCCATTTGAAATTTTTTTTATTGATCCTAAATTAACTTTATTTTTATCCTCAAAAGAGAAGCCAATTTGAAATATTTTTGCTGACCCTAAATTGACCCTATCTGTAATTATCTCAGATATTTAGCAAATGATGTAGAAGAAGATGATGAAGATTTGAAGTATGAAATATTCCCCTGGGCTCTGGGACGAAGATGGAAAGATAAATACCCCCAGTTCTTGTTACGTCGAGATAGATTGTTTAAACGTATTGGATATAGAGCCGTTGTCAGTCGACGGTGCTGTGATGAGGTATGTAAATGGCTGGAAATGCCAGGAGTTTTGATTATCAATACCTTTTAAAATGAACATAAAATTACATTTTCAAACTTTGCCAATAAGAAAATATATGAGCTTTACTTTGCTGTAATTATATGCTTTAAAGAGACGAATACGAAAATACGAATCGTGCAAATTTAGTGTCTGTATACACGTAATAATTTTTAAAAACTTCTAAATCATCCCTTTAAGTCCTATGTTAAAAGAGTTAATCTCCATTTCTAAAACTATCTGTCCTGATGCGAATTAAAACCAACAGCATGAAACAAGCTCCGATCAATACTGTCTTTTTCAGATCATGGCCCTGACACCTAGAAATCTTTACTGGAATCGGGAACGTCCAGTCCATCATGCTGGTGCTATAAGAAACTATATGAGAGAACCTGATGATGATGGCTACCCTCGGGGACCTGGGGCTTCCCCGAGAATCTGTCGAGATTGTGACATCAATGACAGTCAATATGATTCAGCCAGTCCGAGTGATAGTACCGTTTGGTATATCTCATCTCATGAATCCACGCCCAGTCAAACTCATTCAGGGAAACCTCTTCATCATTCAACTTCTGATATTTTCTTTAACATGCAAGGTAAGAAAACACATTTTGACGTTTTGAAATGGGTACTTTCCTCTTTATGTAAGTGGTAGATATGTCGAATTGTTCGATGTTCAAATTCCACGGTGTAGGCCTATACACCCCTCAGATCTGTTCTTTTATTTTGAATTTCAGATTTTATCTATCGATCTATCGAGTATGAATCTTTTAGATCTGTGTACCAAGGAAATTTTTGGTGATAAATTTGTCGTAGCCTACATCTCATAAAACCTGAATACCTTCACTATTGAGTGCATGAATACAAATTTTAATATTTTTAATTTTAATTTTTCAGGATTAAAACAGAATTTACCAGCCAGTTCTAAACAAAATAATGATGAAATTTGGACAACAAATAATATGGAAGAATAAACACCTCTTAGTTTCTTGTGTTAAACTTGGATCTTGCTGATTGTGTAAAAAGCTCATTTGAAGGCCAATATGGAAGAATAACCTAAATTCTCATTTTTAATTGATAAATGGATGATTAGCAGGGCTATTGCTTTATCATTTTCCAATATATACAATTTAGTGTATAACTTTGAGTTGGATGTCAAATGATGGACATGAAATTTTAGTTTCCATCAAACAGTGACTTCAGTATGATCAACTGCTGGGTTGATGAATCTAAAGTTGGTAATGGACCTTATTCACGCATCGGCCATATTGAATCCAGACTCATAACGCAAACTAACAAAGGTCACATTGTGTCACTGCATTATCGTAGTCATCTATTAATAAATGGCGTAATTTGTGTTATGAACCTTGCTTTCAGTGTCTCAAAAAGGAGTTGTGAAAAAGGTCTCTTAATGTACAGCTTATAGCCTAAAGATAATAGTGTTCCTCTTGGTCTGAATCAAAACAACTTACATACAACACCAGCTTACTGTTTCTGTGATATTTGTACATAGATCTCTATTTTTACTTATTCTTGTCTATTTCTCACAAACTTATTGGTTCTTTACTGGTTCCTCAAAGCTTTATTGGGAAGGGTTGGGAGATATAAATGCCATTGTCAATATCTCTATCCCATCATTCCACTTTTCACTTACGTCAGTCAAATTCTGTTTCATGTGACGATATTTCTAGTCAGGAACTGTGGGTTCAATCTAAAAAAGCTCAATTTTAGCTATCTATATCACCTTAAAGAACTAAAATCTAAAGTAAGGTTCTTATACAATTCAATCAAAAAGTACCTCAACCAATTTAGACAAGCATCATATCTATCATGACTTTTTCGCTTGCAGTCATTACAAAATGAAGTCATGATAACTACAATAAGAAGGTAGCTAGTCCAGTCCAAATTAGGCAAACTTTTTAAAGTTAAATTGAAGGAGAACCAATTGTCAGATTTTAATTCTGAAAAGGGATATGGATAGCTAAAATTGAGCTCTATCTATTCTGTGTGCAAATATTTAGACAATAACTTTAATATTCCTTTAAGAGACTGTATTTAGGAAAACTGTCTTCCTTTGATACTGTCTTAAAGAAACCTGGTCATGTATTCTCGAAACGATCTTAGCGCTAGTATGTCCTAGAAACAGTGTTAGAAGATAAAGACCTAGTACATCCTAGCGCCAAGATCGTTTCGAGAATACAGGGCCTGGAACAAAAGAATACCCACATGACTTGAGCCTCTCTGGAACCAGTAAAGTGTTGATAATATGGAAACTATTTGTATTATAATATTGTACATGTATTTTGTTTAAATTTCTCTAATCCTGTTATACTATCAACTATCAACTTTATTTTTCCTATTTTGTAAATATCTTGACTTTAAAATACTAATGTTTTCATCTTATAGCTAGTTTTATTTGGCCTCACTTAGTCATGGGTGTAGGGTATGTCAGACCATGCAGTGTGTCATGAGGGAAATTTTGCCAGGACAGCAGCATTAGCCTACTCCTTCCAACTATCATAGTGCCTAGAGATGAGCAATGCCTGTAGCACAGTTTATTATTCTGTACGAACAACTAGATGCTTTTTCCATGTCCAACTCTCTGGCCTGCATCACTGACGATGTCAAACTGGGATGAATCTCAAGGTACTGGGACAATGCCCATGTCTAACCCTGGACCCTAAGTATCCAACTCACTGAGCCTCTGCAATTTCCTTCTCTTTGTGGTAAGTACTGTAGCTAACGAGCTATTGTATGATAAAAACAATATTATGCCAAGCATATTATGCTAGTCCACAACCAAGGCTGGATATAATTTGACAGGTGACAAGAAACACCCCTATTTTTACAAATGAGCTCCTCTAATCATATACAGTATACAGTTTCATATTGATATGCATGTGAGGGATAGTTCATTTTAAAGTTGAGGGGTGTCTAATAGATGACAGGCACACATTATCCAGCTTTGTCCACAACTATGATTATAAGGCAATACAACAGCCACAGACGACACAAGCTCATATTTAGTCTTTGTTTTTCACATTGTCAGCAAGTTTCTTTAAATCTTTCAAAGACTCATCAATGTCTGATTCTAGCCTCTCTTTTAAATTGTCGTCTGCATTTTCAATCATCCAGCTATATCTTTGTAAGGGAGACAACTTGCTTCTTCTTGCTGTTCGAGATGCAAAAAACTTAGCTTTGTCTTCTGTGGAGGGTTCGGAACTTCCTTGAATTAGATTCTCTGATTTGGGTTCACTTGAAAAAAACTGTGAACTCGTTTCTGAATTACCTAGAACTGACTTCTCCATACCAGATTTGTTTTCATTTGAAGTAAACTTTATATTGCCTGTGTATGTTATAGAATTGTTGTTAGGGGGAATCCCAGCTTCAGATTGATCTTTCATGGATTCCACTTTCCCATTTCTTTCAAATTCTACATTAATATTGTCAATCTTTACATTCTGTTCACCTAACATGGATTCAAGTCTTGTAGATGGATCAAGTTCCCTTCTTAAATTCTTAGCATTTTTATTTCCATGGTCTGGGGATTTTACAGGATTGTTTTGAGGGGAATTCCCAAATTCAGGTGAATCTTTCATGGATTCTGAGTTCACATTTCTTTCCAATTTCCCACTTGGTTCTCCCAACATGAATTCAAGTCTTTTTGATGGATCAAGTTTCCATCTAAGCGAACTTCTAGCACTTTTCTTTTCCACGTCTGCACTTTTAGACTTATTACTATCATCACTATTACCTCTTGTTGTCCAGATTCTAGAGAGTTTCGCCACATTTGGTGTAGTCTGTAGACGAAATTTCCTGATTAAATTCAAAGCAGACATTTCTAAGAAAAGGAGAAAACGTTCAGAAAAATCAGATATGAACGATTTGTTTACTTTCAACGAAATTCGTAAATTTTGGATATATTCTTCTCGACTACTTTACAAGATAAACAAACTGAAAGTAGAATATCCTAAAATAGAGTTACCTCCCTTACTCCATTGGTGCGCTCACCTGTATCACGATTTCTTCTTTTATATTATAATTTCAAACAGGATTGTTATTTGCACAGATCGGACTGTCATAGTACGAGAAAGTTTTGATCAGAAAGTAAACTAAAAAGTGTAAATACTCAAAGAGATTAGGTAATAGTGTTGACAGTGCACTAAAGGGAGATAATTTCGTCTTCAAACACTATTAAAGTATCTACTTCTCCCACATTTTGAATGTTTGAAAATTACAGGATTGATGGCCGAATAAAAACCCTTACTTTTCTGTTCCTAATGGGGAAAATAATCCACACCATGCAATGAGGGAAATTTTGCCTTGATAGTGACATGAAACTGATTTGTGTCAATGGGGACAGATCTACAGAGGGATATTTAACATGCAGACTGTAGCACATAGGGCTTTGCAAATAACAAAATCAAAGCTGAATATAAAAGGTTAAAAAGAGAAATTGGTACAAGAAGTTTAAATATTTAATGATATAAATAATAAAGATCATTCTAGAAAAATATATATCACTGTATCAGTTCTATCACAGAAGATATTTATCTAGATCCAGGGTACGATTCAAAACTTAAATACGAACAGTCCAACCTATTTTAGGTAGTGTAAGAAGTAATGAAGACAATATCAATCTGACTAAAGCTACGAATAGACTGGTACAGTGTGGAATAGTAGATACAGCAGAAAATAGAAGAATTTAAAACAGGTACAGGTCAAGACACAGTGTGGACACGATTCACTTCTGCTATCTGCTATTAATTCGACAATCCCGCACAATATGGCACACTGGACACCATATTTGCTTCTACTTTTTTCTACTGTATCAATAACCCCATACTGCGAACCGTACATCATCTTTTCTCACCTCTACACAGTTTGTTACTGTTTATTCTAACTAGAAATAAGGTGAACTAGTCGTGTTTTTGTAGAGAATCCTCCCAAGATGTTCATTTATATCATTCCTTAACTAAATTAGTCTATCACAGCAAAATATTTCTAAAAACAATAACATTAAACAATAAATAGATAATATAAGGCATTAAAATCATCGAATAGAAAATAAACAAAATTAATGTCAAAACAAAGAAAAGTCTTTTTCCATAGAAGTTTAAAACAAAACTACTACAGTTGTAAATTATACTTTTGGTTATATTTCGTTTTATTTTGGCGTTCGTTGTTCTTAAGTTATACCCTTTGAACCAGAGACAGTAAATTTAATATAAAATGATAATTTCTTGTAAAAAATATATTAAGGCAGATTACTGATTTGTCAACTAAGAGATGTCCTGGGATAACATTCAATATAGAGAGATACAGATCACATAGTTATACAATAAAAGGACAGGAAGGGGGTGTGGGGGTCCTATAGTTCTAATTTTAACATGAGTTGACCAGAATATATCAGTGTCTTGCTAAAAAATTTTAATCGCTACCCGAAAACACAGCCTTCTTCCAGTCCCTTTGTCAATGTAGAACAGTTCCTCATCAGGCACTATAGTTCAAGTTTGAACAATTTGATTCAAGAATAGATTAAAGTGTTCGAGAATGATTAGCATGCCCTGATTGGCTGAACACCTCAATATGTAATCATAACAGATCTCTTAAAGATACAATAATAACAAATATAAGACAGATAGATATACAATAACAAAACAATCACAGAAATTAATATCAATCTGATCAAAATACAGACTTTTAAACTTCAATTTGTTGCACTACATGGCTCTCTGTCACCCTCCATGGCTACAGGAATCATTAGTAAGAATAAATCACAAGATATGAGTTCTTTATTTTGATCAGATTGCTTTCAAAATCTGGTTCAAACAATATCACAGATAATTAATGCTGATAGTGTCCAATCCTAATCCAATGCCCCTCCGAACAATCAAGTCTTGCTACGGGCCTAATCCTAGAAATACAAACTAGTTTGTAAACATATAATTCACTGTTTTTTTTTAACAAGATTTGTAACACCTATCCAAATATAAAGCTAGAAATACAAAAGAGGTTCTGATATATAGATTTATGATTGGCTACATTTTCCAAATCAAATTTTCAATAAACTAATTCAAATTGTCAAGAGCAATATTAAATACCAACAAATAATAACAATTTTTCAACTAATTAATGGCTTCTCTTTCTTAAAACCATTTGCTTAAAGTTCTAGAATATTAAATCATCAAACCAGATTGTTTCAAATCGAGAAAAATACTTAATTAGTTTGCCTTCAACTTGAATTCCACTCAAGTTGAATAAATCATGAACTTTTATTCTACAATATATATGTGAGTTGACATTGTTGGTAATTTTTCTTAATTTTACTTGGAAAAAGAACGAGGTAATTGCCACTCTATTTCTTCATTAGGTTGATAATATATCGGTGCAGTATTATTCGAATCATCTGATGGGTTTTGGGTGTATTCTAAAGGCATACTGGGATTTCCTAAGGCCCCTTTAGTGAACTCTGAAACCCCATGTGGATTTTTCTGAGGTAATTTCCACTCTATTTCTTCATTAGGTTGATAATATATCGGTGCATTATTATTTGAATTATCTGATGGGTTTTGGGGGTATTCCAAAGGCATGCTGGTGTTTCCTGAGGCCCTGTTAGTGTACTCTGAAACCCCATTCTGATATTCAACAGTATTGGGGTAATCAGATGCACCATTGGGGTGACCTACGTTATTCTCTAGTTGACCTGCCGGTAGTTTTGATTGACAGACTTGTTCAGTTTCTCTCATTACTGCTGGCAGTGTTTCTGGAACATCATTGAAATGAATGGAATTCGTTGTTGGTTTAATCGATGATTTCTTTTGACCTTTTTCGTTGTCCTGCATTTCGTTTAAACTTTGATGAAAATCAATAAAATTTTGTAGTTTGTCTCCTTTCATTTCATTCCAAACAAAATGGCCTTGGCGCTGTAAAATAAATTTATTAGGATCATTTTTTAAAAAAAACTTGCATCAAACTGTACCTCTTTAGAACAATCCTTCACCCTTTTTATTTGTCTAAAGAGACTTATTCCAGCTATCTGTTTCACGTTCAGAACGAAGATCTAGAATCTTATTTGTCTGCAATTAAAGAATATGCTATGTAACAACAGTTTTAGCATAATGCTAGTTTCGTATTCTCAAAACGATCTTAGCGCTAGGATGTCCTTAGTTCTTATCTTGTACCATTGATTCTAGGACATCCTAGCGCTAAGATCGTTTCGAGAATAGGTGGCCAGGTTAATAATGGCCTGGTTCATACTGTCAAACAACTAATAGATAATATACCTGACCACGATTAGGATAATTAGGATTATTTCGACTGCTATACTGATGTTCATAAGACATTTTCTCTGTAAATAATCGATGTTTATGTTTTCTACCTCCTAGTTGATTGACAGGCACTAAGACATAAAAAAAAAAACTTGGTTATCAAGTATGAACAATTAGGATATCAACTTATTACCAGACGAAATCCTTTTCCATAAATTTACAGGAATAAAAACAAACATGAAGCAAATTCTGTAAACATACTAATTTTTCAAATTTTTGGAGGTTTGGAGATTTGATCCAGCCATAAGTTCTACATAGCTTCCTCCTGTCAGTGAAAATATTTCATCATTGAATTGGGAATTGATTCATTTAAACTTTCCAATCTTACCTATTCCATAAGCCCAATCTGTATTTGGGTTTGAGGCATGACGAGTTGAAGCAGGTGGCCATCGATCTTTTCGATACTGAAAATCTTTACGATAGCTAGTATCATTAGAATAACTTGGAAGGTCAAAATAATCTGACTCTCGTTCGTTGTGCCACCAGAATGGTTGATCAGTAAGTGTTTTCTTCGTTGTTACGGTACAAATTGGTTCGTTTAATAATCGGACATCGTGACAGAGAAAGGTACAGGTATTAGGTTGTGGTTTGTTGGCTCTATAATCAGGCATGTTCCTGGGTAGCACCCTAGTTTCCCGGCCAGGTATATTGGGTAGAGTGTTGGACCCACTCCATGGTCTCCTTCCAGTCCCATGAAAAACTGAGTTGGTATATTTTGGATGGTTTTCTTCTGCAGCTTCACTAATCACTCGAAAAGAATCGGGACTGAAAATTGTTAAAAGTTGATTATATTTCCATAAAGCTAAGTAGACCCACATTAATAGAAATATTGGAGAAAATCTAAACTTACATATTGAAACAAGTTAGTGAAAGCTATATATCGTAATGAAATTTGACACAAATATGCCTTCTTTCAGTTTGTTTTTGTTTGTATTTGAAAAAACAGCATCTTTGACATAAATGGCCAATTTTGTTGTACTAATGCTAATAATACTAAATCTAGTAGGCTTATAGTTAGAAGAACCTTTGACTTGAGTAGTTTGAGTTTGAAGTAGAATTGAAATGGATTTTTGACTACTATGTAAAAGTCAATCACTAGTCTATTTTCAGTCATAAATATCTGACAGATTTTAAGGCTACAATCATAGTAATATAATAAATGTTTGATGAAAATGATGAGATTGATTATCATGTTTTCCACCTGTCCATAGATCTACTGTCACCTTGTCCTTCACTTTGTGACTTTTTTGTCAGATTCTAAACATTTTCAGACCATCCTGTATACTCACTGGAAGTGTCCAGGAACTTTTTTCTTCCTAACTAATGGTGGCATATAAATAGCCATGGTCAATTTTTTTTTATCGAAACAGGTAGTGATAAACAAGTCGAAAACCTTTCATTTGTTTACCACTAAAATATTAAAACCAACTTTGTCGGCCATCTTGAAACAATTGATGGTTGTCAAGGGGGACGGAAGTGAAGTTATGTCATGGCATTCGACAACAAAAATCTGTTTTGTTGAAAAATACTTCACCGTAGGTTGTCTAAAATGTATGTAACAGGAAGAACCATTAAATTTTGATAGAAATTTCCTCTTTTCGCTGCCATCATTTTGCTGGAGAAAGAGTTTGACTCTTCGCGAATTTTGACATTATTGAAAGGAAGCAGCATCTCGAACGCTCCTCTTGACAACAATAAACAATATGGCGGCGATGGTTCGACTTCAACGTCAGGTGAATAATATCGTTGAAGAAACCTATGCCAGGAAAAAGTAAGTATCTTAATTTTAATGAAAACAAATATCAAGATTATTTCATTCTTTACAACCAGTTGTCATAAAAAAAAAAGTGTGAAAACGACGGCAATTAGGCCTAGCAAGGATATGAATGATGAAAAAGGGGGGTGGGGGGATTTCTGAGACAAATTAAATGTAAGTCTAGACCCAAACTCATAAACATTCAGAGGATAAGTGGTATATTCATAGAATAGCAGATCAAATGAAAATCTCCAACCAGTTTTAAGGACTTTTAACCTTTTTTACCTGGAATTTATCTGCAACATAGGGTTTTAAGCTAAGCTTCTAATCTATTTTACCCCTCTCAAAACTGTTTTTTTTGTATACATGCATTAGCAAGATGTATATTTTATATATTTGCTCCAATTGATCATGTTAAGGTCAGATTTAGGTTGTTCCTCCAGATTGCTGTAATGATAGTCCTACTTATGAATAAAACACATTGACATAAACCAGTAATATTCTAGTAGCTCTAAAATTTATTTTTATAATTTTAGTGAAGCCGAAGAAAGAAGGAACCAGGAGTTTTTAGCAGCAGTTGAAATTCAGTCATGGTTCCGTGGTTGTAGAACTAGGGGCTATCTCAAGTAAGTAGCTCTGGTATTTCTCAGTAGCCCTTTGTTTTTGTTTTTTTTTAAAAATAGCCTGCTGACAGAATATCTTATTGACCTTGATGTATATTTTTCTTGGTAATAAATTTTTGAGATTTGTCCTCTAAAGCATGTCTGCTTGGCACATTTAAAAATTTCACCTGTTTATTACCCCATTGTACACTGTTTAATATTTGTTGTTTTGGTTATTTTGCAGGTTTTTAAATCGATGTGCTACTAGCGTTCAGAGGAGATGGAGGGGATTTTTGGGTCGAAGATTTTACAGAGTTCTTATTCAGGTTTGTATGACATATTTTTTAAATTGTTTATGAAATAAATTGAAATGAAAGAATATGGCAAGGACTGCTGAGTGAGTTAACAACAATTCTATATGGATAAAGTTATTATACACATTACAAAGTATCTAACCTTTTATTTACACTGTATTTGTACCTGCTTTGATCTAGGTAAAGGTCTACTTATTATTGAACCTTTAGATGATGTGTTTGAAAAATATAAAATCATCAAGGGGCCTTCGTTATCACATATAGAACTATAAAATAAGGTATGCTTCATTTGATTTTTTCAGAATAGCGTGTTTCAGGCTAAACTACGATTTTATAACCAGCAAGCTAGTAAGGTAAGAATGGCACAAAGAGCTCACCTTGCACTGTAAAACATATATATTCATATTTGGAGCAGATGGTTTAAAACTAGAGTCTAAATTCTAGGAAATCACAAGATAACTCATAACCTTATTAGGTAAATAGTTAATAGTTAATTAACTTATATTTCAAATTTCAGGGGGTACTAATTGATTACCTCATATTTTTCAAGATTTTAGTGTTAATGTTAGTTTAACTTGTATTATAGATTCAGAAAGTTTGGAAGGGGTACTATGTTAGAAAGTATGTGTTTAATTATTACAGTAGAAAACACTATCTAGAATCTCTACAGATTAAAAATGAAATCATAAGGTAAGATCAATACTTAATTAACCTTTCAACCATCAATCCCAGTCCAAAAACTTTGTTATTTTTATAAGCTTATACATCGAGAATGGCAAGACTTGACATTGTATGACATCAATTGAAGCTGTTTGTTTTGAACTGACATTATGTATGACAAGATTTGACCAAATCCTTATTTCAATTTAAGATCTGAACTAGAAGAATATGCAGAACAGCAATCTCAGATTCGACAAAAGCAAGCAGACGAGGAAGAAAGACAGGCTCGAGTTTATGAGGCTCGTAAAAACCATTATTTAATCAGTACTGAGGTCATACCTGGTGTCTATAATTCACCGTTCTTACCGTAAGTTTCCTTTGAATAGGATTTTAATAACTACTGTTCTCTTGACGTTTGTGAAAGTTTATTTTATTTTTGATATCTTTATTGAATTTGAATGTCTGTTAAAAGACCCTTTGGGCTTTGCGTGCACCCTTAGCACTAATAGTCAATTTGTATTTCATCTAGGTTTCCCTCAGCCAATGAGTATGTGTTACGTAACGTGAAACCTCTAGATAGAAAGAAAAAACTAACGAAGAAATCAGATCCAGGATGGAAGAGTTGTGAATTCCCGAGACCTGAGAAACTTCCTCCTTTAGTTAATAAACCACAGGTAATTATTATTCTGTTTTGAGGCGTCACTGGGGTCATGAGGGATGCTGATCCTGTTTGACTAATATTATTATTGAATAAACTATCATTCGTTTTTATTAGCTTTTATTCCAAATTTAATCTTTCAATTTGAATTATATTTACAGGGACCATTCCGAGAACCTGCAGATGTTCAGTCTCAACGATATAAAAATTTCCAACCTTCATTACGAGTTGCTACCGATTTCTTCTCTCTAGAGGAGGCCAGAAAAACCATGAAAGCTGAAGAATGGGTGACCAGAATTAATGATGATCTGTAAGTATTGGGGGTGGGGGAAAAGGGTGTGGGAAGGGGAGATATTGTGGAGAAGAGTAACTAAATGTCTGAGGATGGGGGGAACTCATGAAATCTTAAGAACGGGTGAAGTATTGAGGGGACATGGAAATTTATGAAAGATGAGGAATGGGTGACAATAATTAATGATGATTTATAAGTACAGGGGGTGAGGTGGAGGAGGGACAGTGGGGTGAATGCTAATGTGAGAGGTTGGTAAAGGTCTGGGGATGAGATGTCACATGATTGCAGACAAATTGTACAAGTTAGGAACATTCTTGGCCATTTTCTTGGTTAAAATTACTCTTAACTCAATTTGTTTTTTTTTTCCAGATTTTTACCAGTCGGTAAGAAAGAGGCTAGATATCAGCCGTTACTATACACTACTTCTAAATATGGTCATCTTCCGTATGGTACCAAATATTTCCGTGAAGTACACATTGATAGACATATCACACCACAGGTAATGTGACCTTTTCATTCAATTTATAGTCCTGTACGGTTATATGATGTAGATTATTATATAGCAAGTAACACCATGAATAATATTAGAGATATTCTGACAGAATTTTTGTTTTAGTTTTCAATTATTGTCCTTGACCACAGCCCTGTCGTTAGGCAATTTAAAAGTGTCAATCAAAACCAACTTTTTTTTCTCACATAAGTTTTATTTTACATTTTATTCAATTTTCTGTCTTTTTTCAGCCATTTAAAACGCTGGTTCCACCAATTCCTGTCTTTGATAAATTAAACAACACATATTCTCAAGGTCAAGTCTGAAGGTCAAATGTGAAGGGCAAGTGAAAAAAGTTTCCAGAAAATCAGTCCCTTGTTTTGACAATTTGAAGCCTAAATACTCTTCAAGACTTTATGACTTCACCAAAACATATTAGCAGTCTTTTGTAGATAATTTACTTTTAATGATCGTGGTTCGTGGTTCCTAATGTTTCTCGATTTGCGGAAAGTGCAGAAATAGTACATCTATTAATAAGATGGATTGTTAGTTTCTTTTTGTAAAAATGAGATCAAAATTCTGACGTTTTCTTGTCTTGCTCTCTTTATCCTAAAATCTGTTGAATTGTAAATGTTATAATTATTGTAAAATAATCTATTTATTATATTATTATCATGATTTTAAATTCTGTATAAACCATATATAATATGTAAGACCTGAATCAAATCTAAACTAAGTAATGTGAAGAAACAGTGTTTTTTCAAGCGAAAAGAATAAATTGCCCAATCGAATTTTAAATATGGCTGATTCCTGAGAATATTTAAATATGTAAGATATTGAAGATATTTTTATTGTTAATTATATATATAATCCTTTTCTGTGATATTATTTGTAACCTTTGAACTGTGATTTAGAATAGACCAAATAATAAACTTTTTCTGTCATATACTGTAAACAGTGATACCTCTCTCGTAAACCAACATCCCCTAGTAACTAGCAAGAAAAGTCTAGTCAAATTTCTATATAATCTGTAGAAGATTAGCATTACCTGAATTAACTAGCACCCCCTATGCAATCTGGCATTAAAACCTGGTTCTGAAGTGACTTATCTATAATTATCATCTAAAAAGGGCCTACGTTGAGTCAGAATGCTAATTTTCTAAATGATATCAAGATTAGGTATTTCAATATCATTCAATTGTCTTGATTATAGCTAACCACACACCAATTTATATATCTTCTTCGAATTACAAACTTCAGAATTTAAGAGAATGGAAGGTGAAAGATATAGATACACTTTCAACTAAAAAAAACCCAACAAAATGGGGGAATATGTTAATAAAAAGTGTTGTTTGTATGAAATGAGTTTATTACAGGACGGAATAAATAAACTATGATATAAATAACACTGATAAATACAACAAAAATATTCCAGCATTCAAGCTTCTGATTGTTTACAATAAATGATAATAACTTTTGATGCTGATCTCATTAGCTCATGAATGGCAAGTGTAGTAGCCAAGAGAAAAAATAAGACATGAAACATCTAGATCAGGCTTTGTTCACTCCTTATGTTCAAGAATGAACCATTGCTCTAAAAATCAAATTTTATATTAAAATATGAAAATTTACAAATCGAATCAGCCACATGCCATAACTTTGATCAAATATGTATTTTTTAAAAATATGGAGTCAACGCCTCACAAAAACAGGCACAATTAATAACAGTACTTAAATAAATATATAACAAAAATAGAAATCTTTATTCCTCCTGTTTTTCTAGCAATTCTTCTTTCTCCCATTCTGTGATAAGTTCTGACGTAACTTCAGTAAATAAACGATCCCAGTCCCACGGCTTGTCATCCTTGATAAAAATAGATTGATAAAAATAAATTTGAGGTAGAAATTGGGAGACAGGACCATTTAAACTACCCCTTCAATCGGGATATCTCTTTGTTAATTCGAATTACAGCATCTTATCTTAAAAGAGACGAATTTCCTACTCTCTAACTAGAGCTTTCAATGACGATAAATTGTTTTGTGATCTGTGGCAAGGATCGAAAGTTTACACCTTTCAAAAGCACTGGCAGGGCATTATAAATGTTATTACTGTCAAGGTGATTCAAACTCACAATCCCCTATCAAGTGACAAAATGGAGGTTTATCGTATTTTACTAATTTGTAAGAAAAATGATTAAAAGATAACCTACCTCAATAAGATCTTCTTCAGGTGAGAGATTTTTAGTTAATAATTTTAAATCTATTTCATTATCCTGTAAAATAAAGAACATTAGATTTAATATTAGATAGTCATTGCCTAGGAATAGCCAACGTGTTGTCACTAAACATACAGTCAATGGAATAAATGAACTTGAAACTGATCTCTCTCACAAATATGTGAATGCTCTCTTCATCTCTGTAACTATGGCTGATCCATGAATAAGTACTGTAAGTCGTAACAACCTATTTTTAGCTGTCACTAAACATACAGTCAACGGAATAAATGAACTTGAAACTGATCTCTCTCACAAATATGTGAATGCTCTCTTAATCTCTGTAACTATGGCTGATCCATGAATAAGTACTGTAAGTCGTAACAACCTATTTTTAGCGGTTTTAAGTCTGAAATTTTAAATGGAAATCGCAAGAACACTAAGCTTAGAATGAATTTAGGTGATAACAACTTACTAGAGTAAGAAAGGCAACATGGCGTAATAAATCATTATCTAATTCTCGGAATGTAGCCACTCGATTTACAGATACACTGAAAATAATACATTAATAGAAGTAGCATTAGATACATTCATACATAGAAAACTGATGTGTGGGTATATATCTAATTTCTGAGACTTACAGTCAAAAGGTCAATGAAAAACTGGATTCAAATTCAATGTAGACGTACATATTTCTATGTTTAAATAGTCAAAAGCTTATACAGCAAGTCAAATGGAAAAAATACTTAAGTGATGTAAAAACTGATCTTAGGGGTTTTTTTTCTTATAGAAAAATTTTAAGCCAGTTCTTCAAAGTATGCACTGTAACTGAAAACAAACGTGACCATGCAAGCAAACCCTATCATAGCTAAAAAAATACAAAGAGAGTCTACTAACTTGGGAGCTATGGCAACTTTAGTTGATAAATCTTCTTCATGTTGTTCTTCTAATTCAGGAATAATTGGAATGTCTAGAAATAACAGGAATTTACATATCAAATTAACAATGTAAGATATCATGTGGATGCATTAAACATGTATAGCCAACAAACAAATGTTCTTTTTTCAAGATTTCAACCACAAACACCAAAAGAAACGCCTAAAAACATTCAAACATGTGCTTTTAAAATCATTTGTATAATTCTATCTTATATTTCTAGAAATATGTTGACCTATATAGTAATGGCGGATGTCATAAGTGAAGCTGACCATGCTTACTCTTTTCGAAACACCTGATGGTACTTCTCTTTAAATGAGTTCACAAATATACTTTTACTTTCTATTTTTGGCCATATTTTAGACAAGATTTTTATTAACAGAATTGTCATGCCTGTACGGACTTGCATGAAAAATGTTATGTTTTTCCTGGGCCAACAATTATATCATAATACAAAATACAAGATAAATAAGTCTTACCTGATTCTGAGCCGTCACTATCGACTGGACTTCGAGGACGTAATCTTTCACTGAAATTTCAAAAATTGTCAAAAACCATTGTTACTTGTAAATTTATGATAATTGATACTTATTAAAGCATCAAATTGATCTTTCAACATGAAAAAGATTTGGGGTAGGCTTTGAATAAATAATCTTGCTTGCGATATATTAATGAGTTCATATATTTATCATACATGGCAAATAATAAAACAACCAAAAAGCCATATGTTTGCAAAGTAAGCAGTTTTCGTGGCTGCATTGTACTATTAGATAGAATCTCTGACTTTAAAGATAGACAAATTAGATGAGTCCACTAGCTATCTAGGATCATTAGAGATTGAGAAAAGAAAAACCAAAAAGTTAGTTAAAATGAGGAAGAGTAAACCAGTTCATGCCTTGAACGCTGACCAAAACATCCTGTCTGTCTTCAAAATGAAACAGCCCGTTCAGTTACTGTTACTTCAAGTGTAAGATAAACTAGATTCATTATGAAAGTAGGGTTCAAATATAAATGAACACCTTTATTAAAAATAAACTTGTTAGAAATATAAATATCTAACTATTTACATGCCTAATATCTGAAAGAGTGTGTGTAATAATAAAAACTAACTAAAAATCAAATTCTAGTGAAAATAAAATTCTAACAAAAAGAATTTTGAACAAGAAACATAATTAAACAATGTGATTCCTATTAGAAAGAAAATTAAATTGAAAAAAATTAACCTTTTCAACACAAGCAGTCGCTCTTCTGGCCACATAATTACACAATATATACCTGAGCAGCATGTGATGCAGCTTTTACTTAGTGACGTCACATGACATTAACGCAACGTGCCTTAGTATATATTACTTAGAGTTCAGGGGATATAACATTTTATTTATACTCAGTGTTCAAAGTGTTAACATAATAAATTAAGGTGAATCCTGTATCCCAAATGAATCTAAATTTTACCCAAAAGCTGTTTTCAGTTCGGTGAGATCATTTCTAAATAAAAATAAGTGAAATTTGCTTTAAAAAAAGTTTTAAATAAAAAAAAAACAAGAAATGAAAAAACACGAGCAATTCTATACAGAAATATATAAAGGAATAGAAGAAAACACACTGAGAGAAATTGAAAAATAAAAATCACTCAAGAATTTCTAAGAGCTGAAGAAAACAAAGCTAAAAATTCAACAAAAAAATAAGTTGATATAAAAATCTAAAAGGAAATTTTAAATCAGATGGTGACCGACTTACTCTTCGTAGGTTTCAAACCCTTCACCAAGCTGCCTGTTACTAAATATAGATAATGTACAACATGCTGTTAGCTACGACAATAATCACAGAGTTATAATAATCAATGTTATCCTCTCACTTGCGTCAATCAAACTCTGCCAATTATTTTAATGAAAATTGAATTTTTACATTTGAAATATTTTCAATCTATATGAAATAGTGTTAGTAGAGTTTATTGTCAAATTGGGTGTTTTTGTTCAATCATACTCAAACTTGTCAAACATGCTTTCTGGCAATATTTTACAACACAAAATATCAAGTTGATTTCTTAAACTGTTATGGGTTTAATGAAAAATTATCAAAAGTAGGCTACATACCGTGGTCTTCTGCCCCCTTCTTCTCCCCACCCAGACACAGCTCTACTAGGTCGTCCAGGTGGGCCTTCATCAAGCTTAATATAAGAAAACAACAGATTAAGTAAAACCAAGAAACAGAGCTAGAAGTTAAGAACCTTGGTGTCCTTGCCAAAGATTATGAATTTTCAAAGTATATCATATCATTCAAACTAACTGCACAAAAAATATTCTCTCACTAGAGGTAAAGCCTTCATTCCTGTGCCTGTGCTTTCGTAACATTACTTAACAGCAATTGTACACCCCAAATTCATTAGATCATTACAAGAATACAAAGTCTGGCCTATAATTTTGCATCAACAACTTTGACTAACTTACATTTTGATTGGAAGCTTCAGGTATCAATTCACCCTGGCCCTCATCGTCTAACTCAGGGGGTGGGGCAGCTGATTCTTTTCTTGCTTTTGCTCTTCGGCCCTGTTTCACATTCTGAAATTGAAAATAAACTACAATCAAAGAAAGTTGATTGTCTATCACACATCAAGAAACCCTTTTGGTGATCACAGAATGTCTCCTTCATATTTTTTCAATAGGTTTAACTTTTGACTACCTTAAGTGGTCCAATATAGAGCCCTTCTTGCGCAGAGAACCCTTTAATTTTAACCTGATCTTATTAATCTTATCAAATCTATTGCAATATACATCCAACCCTGGGAACATTTTAATTGTCATCTGCTTGAGAATGTGAGGGATAGCGTGAGGAGGGAGGGTGAGCGGGAGGGAGGGAGGGGGGATGGAGAGATGGAGGGAGGGATGGAGAGGGAGGGATGGAGAGGGAGGGAGGGGGGAATGGCGAATACACTGTTCGTGATCAAAATATAAAACCTGAAAAAGAGTAAAAACCCCAAACAAACAGGGATATGAGACACTTACTCTTGGTTTTGATTCTCCCAAGTCGAAAGATTCATCATCCATATTTCAAAATCTTAAAAACAAATTTATTTTGCAGAAATACTTCGATTCTGTATTGGTTTGTTTACCTTGGAATTCCTTAAGGGGACCGGTTGTTGCTTACAATACTTTCAATTCTACTACAATTTGTAATTGCTTAGAAACATATCAAATGGATCAGAAGCAAACAAGGTATGATTTAAAATAAGCTGGAATAAGATAAACAGTTATTTAGGATAATTTAAGTAGTTTTTAACAAAAAAACACATTATTTTGAAAAAGAACTTAATAATTACTCCCTGAGATTTCTGATAAAGAAGTTACAAAAGGTCTACAAATGGATACGTACAAATTTGTGATCAAAGTTAAATCATAAACGCAAAATATGTTAGTTCGTCGAATTCTCTCTTTGCCTATAACTGATTAATCGTTTCTGCTTTGAAAAATATTTCAGCAATAGTCCTCAAAATTTGAAATTATTCACTTCATTATCAGGTTGATTAAAATTTTGACCTCAAAATGTTACTGAGCAGGGCAAGTCACTTTGTTGGACAGTTACCTAACTGTAAAAACATTACACAATTTCTTTTGACAAGAGTATGCATTTTTCAAAATGGAAAAGTTGGATACAGTTCTAAACCATTTCACCCCCGATTTAAGGGTCAACAGACGTCAAAACCTAAAGTTTTTCGGATGGAAGACATGACAGTGAAGGAAACAGTCCATGTGTACTCGGATAAGAAAAGTAGTGAACGATTCTATAGATTGTTACCAGCCTTCGGGTTGCTTCAGGGGGTATTTTTCCTGGGTGTAGGGATAATATCCTTGACCTCAAAAATCACAGACGAAGATATTGTGCAAATTAAACAAGAAAGTGAATTTTTAGAATGGTTGACTATACGGCAAAAACGATACCAGAAAGTTATTGTTGGAGTTTATCTATTTGCCGGTAATTTTACCCTTTTTTTTTAGCTCTTGGATGATGGCAGATTTTCAGGTCAGGTGCTCATAGGCAATTCTGGGACAGCCTTAATTCTGCCTCCCTCCCTCACCCCCTACCCCCTTTCAATACCATTGTGTTGGAGGGCATTCTTTAGCATTATCTTTGAACTTTTGCATTGCAGTCTAATATTTATTTCAGCTCTACGAGAATGATGGATTTTAAGGGCACCAAATTCATTAGAAATAATTCAAATATTTTTTTCTGTGTTTCAGCTGTGATGTGTATCGCCGTCTGTTCCATGTATCCAAGCAGAATTATCAAAAATATGTGGTTATTGAAAGGAGGTAATCATATCGCCGTGGAAACATTCTCACGATTTAATATGTTCAAATATTTAACAATGCCGTTAGATGAGGTGTCGGGAAAAATCATGAGGAAAGAATCCACACACACTGTTCCGCTGAAATTTAAAGATAGGTACGCCATGTATGTTATGCATTTAGATAAAGGTGTGTTACATCGCCCGGATCTCTTTGATTATCTCATAGCCTTAAAAAGAGAATTTCCAAAAAATTAGATGTACATTGACTAGAGCTCATCTTGTGCTGCTGACAGGTGCCTTGGATATACAGTCCTCATCAGGGCAGTTAGTGTCTCTGATGTAGGACTGATTGTTAGAAAATCCACTTGAGCTTGTCTCATGCAGCCGACACAGTTTTGGACAAACAATCCTCATCAGGACAGCCAGAGTTTTCATAATAATTGACTGAATGTTAGATAATTGGCTAGAGCTTATCTTGTGCTGGCAGCTTGTGTTTTGGATAAACAGACCTGATCAGGACAGTCAGTGTTTCTAATATAGGACAAAATGTTAGATATTTCACTAGAGCTCTTCACGTGGAGCAAACATGTTGTGGATAAACGGACCTTACCCGGACAACCTTGTTTACAATGGGGTGTGTGTTGTAATAACATGGTGGTAGATTTGAACATTGATTTCAACTACACTGCAGCTTAATGATTCAACGGTTCTTCCTTGAAGGAGGAAAAGATATAGAAAATAGCAGTGAAATATATAATAAAATAACGAAAATTACAAAAATCAAGCCATCTTAAAGACTCCAGTCCGATAGGCCCCCTGCCAAGTAGTGGCATTCATATGAATCAGTAGGTGAGAGGCCAAGCCTGGCCATCTTCAGTTTAGTGTGCATAATCCAAGAAAGATTTTATTTTGGACCCAAGACCAGCTCCAATTTTGGATCCTTGGAAACCTATTGTCTTATCCATGGAAACATTTTTTTTTAACAGCAATCTTGAGGATTGTTTAAGGTATTGTTAAGTTCATTGAAGATTGAAAAAAAGATAAATTCTATTAAAAATCACTGTGTTTTATTTCATACGAATTCATAAACTCAATAAAACAATTTTATCTGTGTTGTCCTGGCAATTTACATTCATGTAGTTAACTGTTGTCTGGTGTAATTAAATATGCAGGAGTTATAAAACTTGATCAACCGCTCTTCAATGATAAAGTCTGTTTTGCTATTCCTGATGTAAACAAACATTTTTTTCTTTCGTTGCCTTGTAACTAAAATGCTATAATTCAAGGCAGCTGCGGCATAATTCGAGATTTTTGTTGATGTAACTTTCAACCATGAATTCCGAAGAATATTCTTCAAATAACCGCAGTATTCGCAAAACATCAGGAATAGCAAAAGAAAGATGGAAACTTCTGGCACAGGTAAATTGCCCTTAATTTAATCTTCTCTAAGGCTTCTGCTTTTTTTTTTTGAATATTTCGATGGATGTCAACCAGCTTGTGTCGAAAAAGAAGAACTATACCATGGGAAATTTGCCTTTGCAAAACTGAAATGAAAATGATCCCCACCCTTTCTTCAATGCTTTTAGATTTTACAAAATGGAGAGAAATCATATGAAAACAACATCAAGAGCTCTGTATCGATTCGAAGATTTCAGAGTTTTGGTTTATTTGATGTAAAAACTGTATCTGCAGATAAAGATGTATTATGGCAAGATTATAGTCTTTCACAACATTCCACCCAATTCCAACTCTCTGTCAGGTAAAAACTCTTTTAAACAGTACAAAAAATAAGGGCAGGCATTTAGTAAGCTGGAATTTAATGTAGATTGACATGATTTTTGTAATTTTAGGTAGCTTACGCTTTGTAGTAGATGTTTTTCTCATCAGCTATAAAGCAAGCTTCTTGTTTCAAATGTAGAGCAAGAAAGAAAGATGGTTATTATTTCTAGGATGCAAGAAGTTAAGAGGTCCTGACACCATAGCGATCATATTGTATAGTTGCATGTAAGAATAGCAACTGAGTTGTGAGTTGTGTTCAGAACTCGTAACCACTTTAATCATTTGCTACTACTCTACTGGTAATTAATATGGGATGAGCTCTTGTTAACTAGTTTACTTCTGACATGCAGATAACATAGCTAATAGTGTAAATTTGGCACATTTGGCTTATTTCCCTTTGAAAAGATATATTATAAATTGTATTTTCAGTGAGTTAAAATGTAAAATAGATGCTGATAAACTACAGGGTTTTAACAACACTGGCAATATCTGTAAGTTATTTTTTAATTTTCACAGTTCAGACTGCATTAAAGACTTGATTCTCAAAATCTTGTCTTGGATAATATTCTGATTTTTAGGAAATACTGTAACGTAATTGGCTTTTAAGAAGTCCATTTATGGAAAGTTAACTCCAATTTCCAATGAAACACAAGTTAATTGGATTATCATTGGGTTTACTTATTTGATGAAATGAATTTGTTTTTATTCTGTAGGTATTTGGCCAGCCGAAGAAATCATGGCGTACTACTGTTTAGTTAATAAACATTTATTCCAGTAAGTTTTTATTTTATTTGCCTCAGACAGGAACTTAGCCAGTCCAAGGGTTCAAAGGAGGTTGAGATTTTTCAAGAAGACTTAATCAGTAGACTGCACAGTTCAATAAAGACCTCATTAATGACTGCATTGTGGTGATCTGTGATGTAGAACTAGACATTATAAAATACATAAAGAATTTTCAAGATTTCAGAAAGCATATTTGATGTTTTATTACAGTAAAAAGAATGTGATAGAGTTAGGAGGTGGTATGACCTGTTTAGCAGGTTTCACTGTGAGTATTGTTATTATATAAAATAATATTTGTCAGTCTAAATCATAAAACTAACAATATGCTTCAGGGAAATAATCAAACTAAGTCCCACAGATTCCAATATTTAAACAGTTATTAATGTGAATATTTTTTTTCTTCCTGTAGATAGCAGCTACCTCTGAGGCTTCCTTAGTTCAAGTTACCGATGGAAATGAAGATTCCGTTAAAAGTAAAAAAAACTTTCATTTCCTTTGATATATTGGGATTTTTTAAAATAAGTTTTCTCTTGCCAGTGATGCAAGTCAGAGTATCTGAAAGCATCTAGTCATGTTAAAGATTCTTTGATATTGAAAAAGAGTTTAATTTAGCTGCTTAACTAGCAAAGTTTCCCTCACTGCACACTGCATGTAATTAGACTCTCCCATTATTAACAGTTTATTAGATTCTTCAAGGCTGTAATTATGGTTGTTTGTTGTATATTATTATTTAGATTTATCAGCGATGGTAGACCGAAATCAACAAAGGTTTCATACAACTGAGGTGATCTCAAGGTAAGACATCAAATTTCAAAATTTTTATTTTCAAATATGGGCTTTTATCAAATATCTTTTTTCAAGAATTTAAAGATTCAGACCTGGATGAGTATTGATTATGATAATGTGATATTTAAATTAAGAAATATACATCCTCAAAGGTTGTAAGGTTGTATATTTTGTAGTTTATTTCGCTGGGGACCAGGTCCACTAGAAGATTGTTTACAAGAAAAATTTGATATTGTTTTATGTTCTGATTGGTAAGTTGATTTTATCTTTTTTAAGAGAACAAAGACACCAAATAGATTCTCACTGGTCTCAATAAGAGAGTAAAAGTTAAAATATGATCTAGAAAGCATTGATGATAGAATTAGTTTACATGTGCCACTAATTAGCCTAGTTCATGAAGATCAAAACTGCTTACCAACTGATGGTGTGCAAGACTACAGCAGTATTTAATGTTAATTTGAGTAAAATTTACAAGTTGTGATTTTTATTTTAGTTTATTTTTTGAAGAAGGAAGAAAGGATCTAGTAAATTCCATGTTTAATCTTTTAAAACCTCAGGTATATTATTAATTCCCTTGTTATATTGTCTGCGTAAACACTTCGCCAATATTTTCATCATTACTACCCCCCATTTAAAAAATAATCTTATGGTTTTATCACTATGTTCCTTGTCAAGATAAAAAGCTGTGGTGGCTCAGTGGGTTAAATGTTTGGCTAACTAAACTGAAAGCCCAGGGTTCAAAATAATACCAGGGGCTGACATGGAAAAAGCACTAGTCTTCGGATGGGACAATAAACCGAGGCCCCATGTGCTACAGACTATGAATGTTAAAGATTGCTCAACAGTTTCAATTTGAAAAAAAAAGCAAACTAACGCCTTTGTCCTGGCAAAATTACCCTCATTGCACACTTCATAGTGTTGCCTGCCTTCATTAGCCCAAGTAAGACATACTTCTTGATTTCATTCTGTTTCCTATCCCAGATAATTAATACTGATGTAATAATTTCAGGGGGTAATTTTAGTATTTGCTCCGAGTCGAGGTGGAACATTCGACATGTTTAAATGTTTAGCTGAGGAAAGTTTTGATACAGAAGTTATAGAAAATTATAATCCCACAGTTTGGAGTCTACATCAAAAGGTTTGTGACAGTTTTATTCGCCCAGAATTCTTCCTTTTCACCATTTCATGATGCAGAAAAGTAGAACGTAAAACTCCATTCATTTCATTTCATTTCCTTTTCAGATAATAAGGCCAAATGTAGAATAAACCAAGTACATAACAGTATTTCCCATATCTGAATTTTTATTATTACTTTTCATCCATGTTAAGATGTTGCAAATTAGTCCCTTCATGATGAGAGCCTCATCATATGATGAAGGATGTAAAACTCCATTGTATTTTGTTGTGTTTTAGAATAAAGAGTCAAAACTGTACGATGAAAATATTCATTATCCATTACTGCTGAAACTGGTGAAAAAAAATACCTAGACTGATGAAAAATACCTAGACTGATGAAAAATACCTAGACTGATGAAAAATACCTAGACTGATAAAAAATACCTAGACTGATGAAAAATACCTAGACTGATAAAAAATACCTAGACTGATGAAAAATACCTAGACTGATGAAAAATACCTAGACTGATAAAAAATACCTAGACTGATGAAAAAAGAGGTCACAGTTTAAACAAGAAGAAGACTTAAAGGAATTCTACCTCTTAGAATGAATATTAAATTCAAAGTATCTTGGCCAATAAGAGTATATATTCATCAGTGGACTTACCTGGTGTTATAACTATACAACAGAATTCTTGTATAATCTGATAAGCATTATAAGTACTTAAGTTGTTCTCACACTGTAGCCATCACAAGTTGCCAATAAGAATAGGAATCATTAAAGTCAAATGTAACTCTCATGCAACTGAGTTGTGAGTTGCATCTGATCACATGACCACTGTCTTTATTCGCAAACATACACAACTGACAATCGCTATGGTATGAAGGAACCTTTATATGGAGTTTCATAAACCACTGATGGACCAAGTTTGAGAATTTATATTTTATGTGCATTCAAAGAAGTAGTATTCCTTTAAAAAAAACAGTTTGAGATAGTTGATAGATCTGTTTTGTTTACAATAGTTTATATATATATTATTATTATTATTATTAACTAATAATCAGGGAACAACATGGTAAAAATACTACTTACGATATTACTTAGTTTGCAATATCAGTTTCTATTGGAAGCAGACGTTAATTTGTCATCTACGAACCATTACTTATTACTTAATAACATACGATATTATATAAGCTTTACTTAATAGCTTACTAATAACTTATAATGTGATAACTTAGGATAGTATATAAAGATATTACTTATAACTTGATAACTTACCTCGGGCAAAAGCTTAATAACTTATAACTTGCTAACTTACTTAGGCCAAAAGCTTAATAACTTATAACTTACCTTGGGCAAAAGCTAAATAATTTGTAACTTATAACTTGCCTTAGGCAAAAGCTTAATAACTTAACTTAATAACTTACCTAGGCCAAAAGCTTAATAACTTATAACTTTGTAACTTACCTAGGCCAAAAGCTTAATAATTTATAACTTGATAACTTACCTAGGCAAAAAGCTTAATAACTTGATAACTTGCCTAGGCTTAAAAGCTTGATAACTTAATAACTTACCTAGGCCTAAAGCTTAATAACTTAATAACTTACCTAGGCCAAAAGCTTAATAACTTAATAACTTACCTAGGCCAAAAGCTTAATGACTCATTGATAAATTATAACTTACTAATTACCCAGGCCACAGGGTTTGTTTATTGTTATGAATGTTACTTACAGGCCATGTTTAAAGGTGACATCCGTTAAGATGTTTTGGGAAACAGGATTCTTTTTTAAGAAATAAATATTGATCTATTGATGTATGTTATATATTATTTTATTTACCATTCCTTATTTACTTATTTATTTAACTTTAACTTACTTATTCTAGTTATTTATTTAGTTAATGAGGATTTCTCTGTACCTATCATTCTGAGTTTCCACATTCAGTTAGCTTTCCCAACAACTTTCCACATTCCCTTGAAAGTTCCAACATTTCTTTGAGTGAAGATTGACCACATTCCCTTTAACGTTAACAGATTTATTTCTAGATTTCCAAGTAAAACAGGGTTAGATATATTGTTTAATCCCTAGGTGTAAAATTATAACTTTATTTAATTATAATAGATTATATTTATATAGTTTCTATTTTATTTTCATTACATTCCATTTATTATAGAGAGTTAACACTTTAACGTATGTCCCAAATGTGTACAAAACACCTGCAGCAGGGTTTTCCAACTCTATTTGGATGTTAGAATCCTTTTCAGATAGTTCTCTCTCATAGCCATTAATGTTAATTTTTTTCTTATTTTTTTATGAACAACAAAGAAATAGTATGCCTAAAGTGTAATTGAAATTTGTCTGATATTATTTATCAAGGCGACCAAGACTTAATTAGTGATTAATGGCCTTGTTGAGAATTGTTTTTATATGCATCAAATATTTGACTTTGTTTTACATTGTGTTACTGTGTTTTATATGGCTTATGTTGTACTGTTAGGCTTCATTAGTCCAACAAGATGCAGAACTGTAGAATTTTAAATGTATTTATTTGTATGTATATGTGGGTTTTCTTCTGGAAATTTTTGATAGATGAAAAAAGTGGGTTTATTTTATTGTTTAATTTGTAATTTGTTTTGTTGATTTTCTGTATTTGATTATGATCTGTCCATTCCTTGTTTATATTAAGTTTAACAAACATATTTATTTATGCACTGTTGGGTCAAAAGTTTGTACCCCCCAATTGTACCCCTAAAATTTGAAAATATAATTTTTTTTACATTCTTGTCCCAAAAAGATTCATCATGGGAGTGAGCCTTGGGCCTATAGCACTTCCACAGAACTACGGCATTATGAATCTCAACACTGACTATTGTCCTCCCATTAAGACAGTCTCAAGAGGTTGGTGTCGCCACTGGTCTGGGTATACTAGACCAATCTTTTCTGAATTTGATTTGGGGTAAAAACATTGTACGGACCTTTAAAACGGATATATGCTCATAGAAATTTGTTTCACCAGCTGATAAAGCTCATTTTGCATGCAGCTTTTACTGAATATATATTGAAATTGGTATGACTTCATTGGTATGACTTCATTGGTATGACTTCATATTGTACTTGAAAATGTCAATAAGGCACTGCAAGTGATGACAGTACAAATTGGTACTGTACGTTTGAATTTAGATTGTAACAGAACAGGAATCAGATTTTAATTTTGAAGAGTGATACAGATAGGGCTCTATCAGCTGGTGAAGCAAGGATATTTATATCCCTTAATCTGTCACTGTTATGTTTCTCTCTATATTTTGGTGTATAAAAGGTTGCCTTCTAGAAAGGAGAACAGTATTTGCATTTATTTTGAACTAATATTTATGATGTTTAAAGTGTTTGTTTTTTCACTTAAGGGGCTCTCGCATCATAGTGTTTATGGTTGCAAATATTGAAACTGACCATGAGTTCTGAAAGCATGAAGATCAAGCCCTTGAAATGCTAAAAATTCATCTCAGATCATTTGAAAACTGTTGGCTTCTGGCAGCCTACAGACCCGGCCTCTTGGGCTGTAACAGAGACTCTCATCTTGCACTCCCCCTGAAGCATAGAACACTAGCGACTCTTTATAGTTTCTATCATGTTACAATCTACTAGCTAGTTGAACACGGTAGTTTATATCAATGGTGGCTCACTGCTATCTTGTTACAATCTACTAGCTAGTTGAACACGGTAGTTTATATCAATGGTGGTTCACTGCTATCTTGTTACAATCTACTAGCTAGTTGAACACGGTAGTTTATATCAATGGTGGCTCACTGCTATCATGTTACAATCTACTAGCTAGTGGAACACGGTAGTTTATATCAATGGTGGCTCACTGCTATCGTGTTACAATCTACTAGCTAGTTGAACACGGTAGTTCATATCAATGGTGGCTCACTGCTATCATGTTACAATCTGCTAGCTAGTTGAACACGGTAGTTTATATCAATGGTGGCTCACTGCTATCATGTTACAATCTGCTAGCTAGTTGAACACGGTAGTTTATATCAATGGTGGCTCACTGCTATCTTGTTACAATCTACTAGCTAGTTGAACACGGTAGTTTATATCAATGGTGGCTCACTGATATCATGTTACAATCTACTAGCTAGTGGAACACGGTAGTTTATATCAATGGTGGCTCACTGCTATCTTGTTACAATCTACTAGCTAGTTGAACACGGTAGTTTATATCAATGGTGGCTCACTGCTATCGTGTTACAATCTACTAGCTAGTTGGACACGGTAGTTTATATCAATGGTGGCTCACTGCTATCGTGTTACAATCTACTAGCTAGTTGGACACGGTAGTTTATATCAATGGTGGCTCACTGCTATCATGTTACAATCTACTAGCTAGTGGAACACGGTAGTTTATATCAATGGTGGCTCACTGCTATCATGTTACAATCTACTAGCTAGTGGAACACGGTAGTTTATATCAATGGTGGCTCACTGCTATCATGTTACAATCTACTAGCTAGTGGAACACGGTAGTTTATATCAATGGTGGCTCACTGCTATCGTGTTACAATCTACTAGCTAGTTGGACACGGTAGTTTATATCAATGGTGGCTCACTGCTATCGTGTTACAATCTACTAGCTAGTTGAACACTGTGGTTTAAATCAATGTTCTCTGAAACTTACTGGCTCTATATCTGTTCTCTGATAGTTATTATTGATAGAGTATGCTATAAAGGTTATTTTGCTTGGGCAACGGCATCAGCCCCCTCTTTGTGAATTTGAGCTCGGTCAATTGTACAAGGGACATAGCTTATAGTAGTTATAGTCTAGTCATCACTGTAAGCCTGTGACAGTTAACTTTCTTTGACAATGCAGGGATAGAGCCCCCGACGCTCAGAATAGAAAGCGAGAGACTAAAATCTTTTCAAAATGTTTTATTTCCTTCTGTTTATGATGGGTTTACTCTTCTGAAAAAGGTACGAAAACGAAACGAAGTAGGGTATGATGTATGTACTTAGATGTGATATTAAAATAATTCACACCCTACTCCTACAGGCCTATTATCATTTACAGATCGACTGGTTTAGTTCGATACCTGACTCTTAATACCAAGATGTAAATATATGGATATCGGAAATTGACGTCCTATCAATTGTGTCCTAACCTAACATAATCAAAGTCAAATGTCACTGGCAAATAGGCGGGAAAAGACTAAACAAAAGTTGATCAAAGGACGCATCAACAGTTTGATTTGTGGTCTTGATGACCCACGTGAACGCGAAATTTCTTTATCGTAGCCCAATCTGGGTTCCAGGGGCCACCATGTGGAAAGCTGTTGGTTTCAGAGGAACGTGTCTGTACGGCACAATCTCTTGCTCGTCTGCGATCTCTTGGTCGACAAAAGACATTCGACTCCGTGTTGTGGCAGAATGTTCCCTAATCTTAGCATCAACTTCCATTTGGTACCTTCTGGACATTGCCAGTCGAGAAATCAACCGTCTCTCCATTTCCGGTCTTCGTTTGGCAGAAACATTTCTTGACGTCATATACGAGTCGATGGCTTTAATGATGACGTCATCGTACATGTCATTCATTAGATCTATTTTAGGAAGTGGCAGCTCGTGTCTGTTTCCATGGTGAGATCGAGATGTTGTCTGACAACTGCCAGAAACTTCGGACTGCTTTTCTGGACTTCTGATCCCGAATGAATCGTCATGTAATGAATTGACGCTTCTGCTTCGTTTTGATAATCTGGAGGCTTTCGAAGATCCTCGTCTAGGAAATTCGTTGTCGTGATAGAAGGAACATTCCGAAAATTGGACTCTTTTCGGTTGATCTCGCTCGGAAGGGAAATCAGTGGCGGAGGGAATCCGAATTGGTTTGTTTTTTCCTTCTTTTAAAGACAGTTCTAGATTTATAATACTGTTCGCTTTTTTGACACTTTCCACTGGCGTCACCACATCCGGATCCTGAAATCCTTCGTGGTCTTTTATTCCTGAGAATCTGGTCTGTTTCCTCACCTCCGGTTTAAATTTATAAGGCTGTTCTGAAAGTTTATACATGGGATACAAGTCCTTAGTACCGGAAGTTGATGATAGGCCTATAGAAGTACCCTCTTCGTCTTTTACTGGTCCCAAACACAAACCAACCATCAAATTCTGTTCCTGAATTCTTTTTTTGGTTTCTTCTAGATATTTTAACCGTCTTTTCTTTTCGTTGAGAAAATGTTTTCTGGCCTTGATAGCGTGCTCACAAGATTGTCCGGTTCCTTCCAACATGCTGACTTGAACTGGGGGTTTGTTTTCAGCGACCACAAAATACACAAACGGCATGTGAGCCGAGGTTTTTGGCTGATTGAAGTCCAATGGTGGAACAATCGGTGCAGAATTCTCTTTATCCGTGTTCCCCACCATTTTAGTTTGACTGTCAATGTTGGAAGAAAGGCTATTATTAGTAGAAAATCTCTTTCTTCTTGAGTTGGTCTCCATTTTGTCGAGGGATGTCAATATGGGGTAATTTTCTAAATTCTATATTTTGACATCGCTGAAATAAGAAATAGAAACATATAAGTTGCAAAAATGAAGGTTTACCAGTTAATACGTTAGACATTTACTCCTCCCACCCAGTTCCACGTCATTCAAGACACCAATGAGGTACGTCACTTTTTCTTGGAGTGTCACGTCATTCAATATACATGTACCAGATACGGCACATGTTTATCAGTACTACGTCACTTAATCTATCAATCACGTCACTTGTTTCTCAATGTTACGTCAGTCAGTACACGAGCTACGTCACTTTTATACGTCAAATACGTCTTTTGTTAACATAGGTCTACGTCTCTTATTGCGTCAGTCTTTCTAAACGAATGAAACGTGACTTATTTACCGGCGCTACGTCAATTGTACAACCGGTGCTTCGTCAGTTAATAGACGGTAGGCCTACATGTATATCTTTCTGCAGACCTAGTGAAAGATCATTAAAAACGCAATAATATAATAAAGTGAATTAATAAGCCCACATCAAATCAAACCCAGAAGAATAAATGATATTTGAAAGTAATCGTTGATGTATTATGTAGAGGTTAATATATAAAAAGAAATAGTCTGCAATATTCAAATAAAATGCAAAATACCTGATATAATTTTTTAGGAAATCCTTCTTTTCCTACTGTTAGTGAACTAAACTGGTTGCTGTCGTGGAACACGTGATGGGATTATCAGATTAACCACAAATCTTAATCCGAATATCCATTCTATATTCTGAATTCAAACGCCACGCTTTCATTTGTTGATGTTTAGCAGTAGTCCAATCATATGAAGGGATCTTTATTCTGGATTTGGGATTAGATAGAGGAGATTAATAAAAGATAATCGGTCGTTGAGTGGATTAAAGAGAAAAATATATTACATGAGAGAATTGAGCCCTTTGGTGTGTAAAATGAAATAGAGCTTTACGCTCTGTATTCTTAAAAGTGACATGACACATTTAAAAAAAATACAACAAAAAACGCCCATGTTCCTTATTGAGCCGACTGAGCTAGCGTACATTGCTCATCTACCCTAGGGCCTGATTCTACTCCACGGGCCCCCACCTGTAAGGCCCCGCCCCCACCAACACAAAATGCGAGAGAGCTTATGTTAAAAGCATTCCCATGCATATTCAATTTGTTACATACGGAAATGACAACACCAAAACGTCATTAATATCGTTAAATGTAATCGATGACGTCATTAATAGTGTCGTTAAGAGGTAACAGGCGACTTTTGTGGAAATCCAGCTGGAAGCGAGGCTAATTATGGGAGGATTAGTCTAATCTAATTTAATCCTTTTCTCTCATTCGGTCTCTAGTTGATATGTTCCACACGTATTCTGGCTTTAGTCTGACAAATTCCCTCCATTTACATATTTTCTACCTTTGCTCGAGCGAACTCTGGAAAATTATTTGATATAGCCTTAAGCACAGATCGCAATTTCAGTGTCGTCAGAATCTGTCCAAGTTTTTGCGTTCTTACAAAAACATCAGACAGGAAACTTGAAAATCCATTTTATTTCATTAGTCCAATAAGATACAGAACAGTAGAATATAAAACTCCATTTCATTTCATTAGTCCAATAAGATACAGAACAGTAGGATATAAAACTATATTTCATTTCATTAGTCCAATAAGGTACAGAACGCGGAGCTTCATTTCATTATATTAACTCAATGTCATTCAGAACAATAAGACGTAAAATTCCATTTCATTCCATTCACTACCTTGTGGGCGTATAAAAATCATTCATCATGATGTGACGTGATAATCTGGTCACAATGTTAGAAACAATCTGTAGAATCTGTAGGGGATAAATCGAGATTATCAGGTGACGAGGTATCAACCTCCAGAGCGAACGTGGTCAGAAAGATTATGAACATGTTATAAAATTCTGGTGACAAGAATTTCTTCTCAGTGGGGATAAGACTTCCGTTGGTGGAACATTTCTATCAGGTCAGTTTTTTGAGTAATTTTTTCCTTACCCATCTGAAATCTGCTTTTTTTTTCTTGTGTAATGCTTTCTTTTTATTATTTTTGCTATGTAGGGATTGCACCCTGTACCTCCAGGTTAGGGAGCAAGTATCAAACTCAGTGATGCTTAGTTTTGAATATGCCTTGAAATTTTTATATATTTAGTTAAGCACCGAGCAGCTAGTTTGATCAGTTTGCAATATGTTCCAAAACTTCAGAACAATGAGTAATTCCACAATGTAACAAGCAACACAAAACAGTCAATAGACCATTGAAACATAGCGTGTTCGGCTAACCAAATATTTTTTGTGATACATAACGTCACGTTCCGGGAAGCAGATATGGTTTGTTAAATATGATGTCCGGATCCTGGAAGATCCTCAAAGATCCTCGAAGTTCCGTGCAACAAAAATCGTTCTGTGAAATATAACGCCGCGTTTCAGCAAAAAAACCGTACTATGAAGCAATACGATGTTCCGCGATGTAAAGCATCTTTCTATGAAGCAATACGATGTTCCGCGATGTAAAGCATCTTTCTATGAAGCAATACGATGTTCCGCGATGTAAAGCATCTTTCTATGAAGTAATACGATGTTCCGCGATGTAAAACATCGTTCTATGAAGTAATACGATGTTCCGCGATGTAAAATACCGTTATATGAAGTAATACGATGTTCCGCGATGTAAAATACCGTTATATGACGCAATACGATGTTCCGCGATGTAAAACATCGTTCTATGAAGTAATACGATGTTCCGCGATGTAAAACATCGTTTCTGTGAAGCGCTGAATTGTTCCGCGAAGCACTAAATCGTTCTGTGAAGCAATCAGCTGTTCCGCGAAGTACTAATTCGTTCTGTAATGCAATCAGCTGTTCCGCGAAGTACTAATTCGTTCTGTGAAGCAATCAGCTGTTCCGCGAAGTACTAATTCGTTCTGTAATGCAATCAGCTGTTCCGCGAAGTACTAATTCGTTCTGTGAAGCAATCAGCTGTTCCGCGAAGTACTAATTCGTTCTGTGAAGCAATCAGCTGTTCCGCGAAGCACTAATTCGTTCTGTGAAGCAATCAGCTGTTCCGCGAAGCACTAAAATCGTTCTGTGAAGCAATCAGCTGTTCCGCCAAGCACTAATTCGTTCTGTAATGCAATCAGCTGTTCCGCGAAGCACTAAAATCGTTCTGTGAAGCAATCAGCTGTTCCGCGAAGTACTAATTCGTTCTTTGAAGCAATCAGCTGTTCCGCGAAGCACTAAAATCGTTCTGTGAAGCAATCAGCTGTTCCGCGAAGTACTAATTCGTTCTGTGAAGCAATCAGCTGTTCCGCGAAGCACTAAAATCGTTCTGTGAAGCAATCAGCTGAAGAAACAAGCGTTGTAGCAAACAGCTTTCTGTTTGGACATGGATTGTTTGCGGAGTACGACTTTTTTGTATTCGATTCCTTTGTTTCATGACTTAAATAACACATAAATTGTTGTCTCTTTCAGGAAAAATTCAAAATGTTACCCCAAAACATATTGATGTGGTTATCGGTGTTAGTGGCCAGTGTTGGAATAACGGTGTTCGCCGACGAGTTAGAATTCACAGACGCCATTGAAGCAGTGGATGGTCCACGGCTGATAGTCGCAGAGGGAAACGAAATTCTAGATAAAGAAGATGCCACCAAGAGACTATTTGGGGACAAACGATTATTCGGAGACAAACGCATATTCTTAGAAAATCCCGAACACAAAAGACTGTTTTTGGATAAACGAGGTTTCGGCGATAAGCGGGGATACGGCGACAAACGCGGCTACGGCGATAAGCGAGGCTTTGGTGATAAACGTGGTTTTGGTGATAAGCGCGGCTTCGCAGACAAACGTGGGTTCGGAGACAAACGCTCATCAGCTTCCAGCCTCCGACCATTTTTATTAGCAATGTTGGACAATTTTGGAAGTCGCCGACCAAAAAATTCTTATGCTTATTGGTCGCATCGACCGGGACTACTAATCCGAAACGGACGCAGTGCTTAAATAGGACAGGAACGATTTCAAACAAACGATTTTGTGTTCGCAGTATCATCTACTCATATGTTAATAATGAAATCTAGTCTGCGACCCATTATCAGTGGAAAAAGAATTTAAAGGCGATGACGGCAGCTGTATAGGAGACGAGGAAGCAAAGAGCAAAACTAAAAAAAAAAAAAAAAATTAAATGAAATAAAAGAAAACTGAAAAACGCAAAAAAAAAAAAAAATTGAACTTCAGGGACAGTGGGAAGGAATACAATTTTGATTTTTGGTAAAATAAAATGAAATATGAATAGAAAAAATGGCTTGTTTTCTTTCCTTCTACCTCCAACCTTTCCTGACAAACGTTTAGGTTTTCTGAGATCTCTCACCGCCTGTACACTCTCACCGCCTGTACACTCTCGCCTGTACACGCTCACCGTCTCACCGCCTGTACACTCTCACCGTCTCACCGCCTGTACACTCTCACCGCCTGTACACTCCCACCGCCTGTACATAAAATAGTCAGTTTTATTTGCAGTAAAGATACCCTGGAGGGCTGAATGAAAAGTTCCCTAACAGAGAAATTTAATGGTTTGTATTTATTTCTCTACACAGTCCTTTTTCAGGTCTACATACCCTACATACACGGTCTAGATGTCAGTCAGATTATTTCTTTGGAAGTCTGGAGTGACCAAATCGAATGATAAAAGCATCGGAACTGCTTCATAATTAGCATAAATTGCCACGGAACGTCAAGCGTCTGACACTTTCCTGGTCTGCTGCGAGAGCTTTGACACCCATCGAGGACAAAATTATTTTCATAGACACCTGCAATAGTCACATTTCTTGCATCTTCACAATGTCAAGCTATTACGAACTTCGTCTTATACCTTGACTGCAATAGTCACTTTTCTTGCATCATTGCAAGTTTGCAAATGAGGCAATTTGATTGCATTGTACGCTAGCAAATATGGCCAGAAGTCCTTGACAGAAAATCTGTGGAAAACAAAGCCACCATATTTACAGCCTATCTATCGAGGGCTGTTGGTAGGCTGTATTCGCTGGCGTACAATCCAATCAAATCGCTGCATTCCGTGATACAAGAATGGTGGCTATTGCAGTCAAGGTATAAGTACGATACGTACGGAGACATTGTGAATCAAAAACCAAACCAACAACACAGAATCATCCAATTTGAACCAATCCAACTACCAACTACTACGACTACCAACAACCACCTAGTCTATGATATCAGCATCCGCTGGAAGCGAACGTTAACTTGTCACCTACCAACCAACTAAGACATTGCGAAGATGTGCCAATATATGCTGACATGACAGAACAGTTTATTAACCTATTGAAGGATTGGATAATTTTTCTGTATCGACGTCGTAAGACCGCATTCCTTTAACTTCACCCAGACCAACAATTTACATAACCATTCTCCATGTAAAATGAACATGCTAAGAATCTCTATACATCAACGAGTCCATGTAAAAGTCAAATATACCATCACTTAGACGTACCTTTTATAGGGGGATCAAATCTGACCTATCACTGCCTGATACAGATCGAAAGGCCAGCTACACTAAATGAAAAGCAAACACAATTGATTGAAATTTGGTAAAAAGTCGCATTTTGTACATTTCTGTCATATTCTTCTACTCGTTTCATTTATTATAATTAAAATATAATTACTATAAAATACAACATCCGACATCAATTTTCGCTTGGAACCCATGCAATCTAACATTTTTTAGCATTTTGGGGTTTTCAAGACTGCCCATCTGTTTTCCTTTTGCCACTGTCGAACGAACAACCAAGATCCTTTTGGAACGTACACGTAGTTAATTGGTTTTCAGGCCCGTGGCCATGCGACAGTGGGTCCGTTCGCCTTATTACACGTTCGCCTCGGGGAGGGGTGTAATATGTTCGGAGGGGTAATGGGGTGTGGCTTTTGGTTGCAGTGACTTTTTTTGGGTGGCCATCCATTCTCTTTCCCTCTTCCCCCCTATGGCTTCGGGACTGATGGTTATTAAGGTAAGTTTTGGCAAACTCAAGATGGTCAGCGGATTTTTAACAATTAAACAATTGATAAGGAGTGGAAATGTTAAAATAATTCACAGTAAAGGGTGAAAGTTGTTTTTAATTTTCTCGTGAAGATGTGAGAATATCTGGTTGACATTTCACTGGCTCAAATATCCTCTCCTCTCTTCGTTACATTAATATACCGAGTCGTTGCTCGGTTATACAACACGTTCTTAGTTTCACCTACGTATTAGTAAAACGTTATAGTCTGTGTGGCGTTCACAATGCATTCTTTATTAACTACTGGATTGTTCACTGCTTTAATAGGTAGGATCTTTTTGTGTGTTTTTTTCTTCTTCACTTTTTAAAATGATATAGAGAGGCTGACTGAGACTGATATTCAAACTGCAACCATTATTCATCAGTCAACAGGCCGACAAAATAAAAGCGAAAGCAGTAGGCTAAAAGCTTCATATATATGCTGGTTCGTTCGTTGAAATGAAAGTACCAAATACACTTTTACCTCCGAATATTTCTTGGTTTCCCCTTCTCGGTAATGCAGGTCAGAGTAGACCGGGCGGACATGGGAATGAAACGGACTATCAAACGGGATCCCAGTTGTGCGACTGTGCACACTAAAGATCCCCGGATGGTCAGAAATCTAAAAAGAGCAGGCTTGTGCCGCTGTCCTGACAAAACGTCCCTCTGCATGGCGTTGTGCAGGTGCAGAAAAGTAGGCTTTAAAGAACATTCCACATCAATATTTCAGCATTGGTCACCAGTCAACAATACAATAGATTTGGTCAGGCCTACCCTTACCAAGGTAACAACCAGGCCTGGAATGGTGGCAACGACAACCAATATGGCGGAAATGATAATAATAATTTTGGTGGCGGAAACGACTTTGATTACGGGGGAGGTGGTAACAACCAGTTCGGACGAAGTGGCAACGAAGTTGCAGGAGGTACGATCATTAGCAGAAATAAATTTTAGCTCGAGTCTTCCTTTATTCTGTCAAAACGTCATCTAATTTAATTTTTTTTAAATCATTTTTTTGTCAGAGAATATAGTCTGGCTGAATTGAACGACTTAAATTATAATTGTTCAAAAATTTTATGCTTGGCTATAACGCGCATCATTATCCCCAGCCTCGAAATTTTTCAAAATTCCCTAGGCTGAAAACCCCTGCTTTAAAGGCTGAGATAACCAAGAATACGTTCTGCAGCGGAGGTTACGCTTGCGCTGTGCAAATTATCACCCAAGAAGACAACGATTCGTAGATCCAGCTTTACGGAAACTGCCGAGGATTGCCGAATAACCAAGTATATTTGTATTTTCAGTACCCTGTACAGGATTTGAGCTCGCCATGACCTATATTCCCGACGAACAAGACTGCCACTCATTTTACCGATGTGCTCTACCCAGGATGAACAAAGTCCAGTTTAAATGTCCAGATAACCAGGTCTTCGATAAAAACTACCATAATTGCCGCACCCTGATCCCAGGAGAATGTTAGAACCCGGTTCGAGGGTGGGGCAACTAATTAGGTATAATTTCGTCAAAGGTGCCAGAAATGTCATTAACGTGTCACCATCTAGCATCCTTCGATATAAGATCCTCCAATAATATGTTTGAACATCCAATGTTTGGCACCTTTGACCTTTACTCGGAATTTAGACGCACCATTCTTTCCTTATCCCTCGATATGAATAAACCCGTGGCGTTATCTCGGACTATGAACACGTCGAAGTATTACTCTTTTCATGATCTCAAACTTAAGGCCTTCCCCTTCACAATTATGTTAGCTTGTAACCCGCCTGTGAATGTTTTGCGTTTTCTCGGGATTTAGACGCACCTTAAATTTACAAAATTATTAGAATTAGTTGCCCCTATCCCCCATTTTTTTTCTAATCAATTGCCTTTGCACATATATTGTTAGCTTTATATGTTTTTATAAATATCGCTGCTTGTTCTATTTATTATCATCTTGTGATTTATAGTAAAATGTGATAATTATTTTGGTTTTTATTTGTGGTTGTGGGACTATAATAAGTGTCCCCAACTGGCTACGACTGCATATAAATTGGCTTAAACCTATTTGAAACAACATTTTGACGTTCAAAAGGTTACTTGGTTTCACAACACATTCGTACTTTAATCATGAAACTTGTTTTACGTTTCCATAATACACTTCAAAATGACATGAAAACAATGTACAACAATATAAAAAACATATTATATCATCTGATTGGTTAATAATGTTCAGAGTTATTATTTCAACCAATCAGAGGTCTGTAAATCATACAGTTGAGAGAATGACGAGAGCTCATCTGATTGGTTCATAATAATCAACCAATCAAATGTCTGTAAATTATACAGTTAGGAGAATGGCAAGAACTCATCTGATTGGTTGAAATGTTCAGTCACTTTTATTACAACCAATCAGATGTCTGTAAATTATAGCTAAGAGAATGATAATCCAGTTGATGAGAGCTCCAATTTACACCAATCCGACCAGTAGACAGTGGGGTAGGATGTAAAACTCCATAAATTTCATTTTATTAGACAGTGAGATCGAGGTGGGGGAGTGGCTGAGAGATGGCTTTAACAAACATTTGGAGAGAATAAGTCATTTTTTGTATTATTCTCTTTTGATGTAAACAAGACTCCTCACTTGATTTGAGCATTGTCATGCCTTTCCACTATCTGCCCCCTCCACCCCCAAAAAACCCCACCTTTTTTAAGAATTGTTTCCTTTTGATTAAAATCGAACAGAGCTCCTTAATTGATCTGATCAGGGTCAATTCACCAATGCCTTTCCCCACCCCTAATTGTCCCTAACAACTCACTAATAAATTTTTCACACCTCCCCACCCCTTCGATTTAATATCTATAGACCTGACACCAATAACAACCAGATCAAGGATATAAAATATCATAATGCCCTGGCCTGTACAGTAGAAAGATATCAGGTTTTGAGCCATCAGGAAAATCATGTTGGTTACATTTGTCGGAATCTCCTCGATCCATGTATTCCACTCGGATTGTGACCCCCAAGGCAGCCGTTAACGCTGTGATATGAATGTGATCACTTTCTTTATGCATTGGTTCCACTTCCTGGAAATTAATGACACATGTGAAAATTGGAATTCGTACCAACGGATGCCAAAATTACAAACCTAAATACCAAATTAACATTGCTAGCTCTGTGGACTCTCTGAAAGGGATGCTGAGCAGAAAAACCTAAAGACCAAATTAACATTGCTAGCTCTGTGGACTCTCTGAAAGGGATGCTGAGTAGAAAAACCTAAAGACCAAATTAACATTGCTAGCTCTGTGGACTCTCTGAAAGGGATCCTGAGTTGACAAACCTAAAGACCAAATTAACATTGCTAGCTCTGTGGACTCTCTGAAAGGGTTCCTGAGTTGATAAACCTAAATACCAAATTAACTTAATAAGCTGTCAAGATGACACATCTATATACCAAATAAACACTGTCGTTAAAGTTATTAATTCAAAATGGCTACCTGGTTACAGAATTCTTTAACAGTTCTTCCTCCTTCAACAAAATTCATAAAAAAATCTTCTTCTTTCTGAAGATGTCCAGATACTATTAGTCTAAAAATAGTGAATATTCAAAATAAAACTAAAAATTATTCTAATGATCAAACTCTGAAAATAAAATTTGATTAAATTTGGCTTTTAAATCCTACATTTCTCTACCTGATTGGGGTTTTAATGACAGGCAGCATCATGTAGTGTGCATTAAGGAAAATTTTGCAAGGACAGTGGCATTAGCCTACTCATTGCAAACTACAATACCTTTAATACCTACCTAAGATAGACCACAAAGTAATCTGAGATACCCTGATCTGTGTACAACTGGAAAAATTCTTCATAACTGATTTTATTACCTACTTTATCAATCACCTCCATAAACTAGAAATAAACAACAAAGTAAAAAAAAACATCTAAAGTGAGGTTTTTGACTCATTTGTCACTAGAGTATTAATTAGTCTACCCAATTATCCAATAGTCAACTATTGAGAATTAGGGATCTTTACTTTGCACAGCCTGTAGCACAGCCTGTAAATGATTTTTCTATGTCAGTCCCTCTCACCAGCATCACTCACAATGGCAAACTAGGATACACACACACAGTACCAAAGATTTTTCCAGATTTGGTGCCAGAGATTTCCTTAAAGGTAAGAAGGGTTCAGATTATACATGAGCACTATATTTGCAATTATACAGTATCTGAAGATTGAAATGAGAACTTACTGTATCGTGAAAATCTTCGATAGTAAACTGAGGGAATCCCAGTGATACCAGTTCATCTTTACTTTTACTGGCCACTTCTTTAAACCTGTTAACAGTAAATTAGGTAAATATGACATAATTATAACATTACGGTTACTAATTAGGTAGGTAGATGACAAGTTAACGTTCGCTTCCAGCGGATGCTGATATCGTTACTAATTATTCTTTGTTCCTTTTTATACTTGAGAGCCATTTTTCTCTGTAGAAAACAAAATATTCAGTCCTTTAGCTAATAGATTGCATCCTTTTTGTATATCATATGTTTACAGAATACCACAATGTTGTGAAGTCATTTTTGAAGGAGCCCTGAAAAGCAGAAAAATTCAGCATCTGTGGGTTCATTTAGTTTTAAAGTTTGATATCTCTTCTATAGAGTTCACAAAACTAAAAGATGTTTATTGGTATTTATGACAAATATTAGATATTCTCTTACCTTGGAAAGTCTGAATCATCCTTTAATAGATGTTCTAAATACGCGAAACCAAACGCTCTGAAAAAACAGTTCCCATCTCCTCGAGTTTTTCTCATGTGTTTATATCGACTTTTTATATCCTAAAAAAAATATTTTTATTTTTTTAAATCTCATTATGGGTCTTCCAAATTTTATATTAGAGAGGTCAGCTTTGCTTTTCTGTAACTATGGAGATGTCTATTTACCAGCTGGTCATTGGTTAAAATTTGTGGTACTGGTATTAATCTTTCTAATATCTTTTGTAGCTGGGTCTACTGGTATAATGAAGAAAGATGACAACATGTTCTGCATGTTTCATTCCGTGGAATTTAGATGAAGTTTATAATATTTGGAGTATGGGTATCTCAAGTGAAGATGGTATATTTATAAAATAAAAATCTGACCTGGATTTTATTCTGGAAAACTTGATCATCTTGATATTCTGTTTTTAAAACATCAAATGATAAAATATTACTAACTAAACTTTGTTCATCAGTTATCTACGAGGTTAAAATATAAAAAACAATCAATATCTCTTAGGTTAGGATTTTTAGGTTGTAACATTGCGGTTAATCAATGTTACGAAAGCACAGGCACAGGCATTTATACCTGGCACAGACGAGGATAGGAATTTTAGGTTGTAACATTGGTTAGGGTTACGGTTAGTTGTATTTTTTGGCATGTTAATACAATTCTTCGCTCATCCAATAATCAAAATAATTTATTAATAACTTATCATTACAGATTTGATAAAGTGAAAGATGTTGAATTAATAAAGCATGTCAAGCGCAGGTATTTCAGAATTATTTGTGTAGCTATGCTGTGCCAGACGACAAGGGTCAAGAAAAATAAAATGACCAAACCTGTTTTTCGATATCTCTCTGTTGAGCACAAATTTGATCATCATAATTCTTCGCTGAAAATAAAAATATTCGTATAATCAAATAACAAATACGACACAATGATGCAACATAGACCTTACTCATTCCACGTTCTCTGAAGTCTGCAAATCAATTCATTTTTTGATAAGCATGAAGAAAATTTGGTGTCTTAACAAGTCAAATACAAACAGCATTTCCTCAACGGCCATCAAATGTATGGATCAGGATGGTTTACCAAACAATCCAATGTTTAATATTAAGCTATATTGCATATTTCTGTCCGGTTTAACGGTTTAAAAATGGCATTCTGAACTTCAATTTCAAGTGCTAGATTTAATAGGAAATAAAAGATGGAATGGAATGAAATAGGAAAGAGGGGTGGGGGGCATTTTCAGTTTCACGTTTTTCATTCAAGACTCTTAGTCCACCTATGCACTCATATTCAGAGCAATCTGACCATCGCCCTGCGCCTAATTTTGTGCTACATCATGTTCAGACACTGAAATAATCTTTAAAAAGAATGAAAACCGAAGATTACAAGCAGAAAACAAGATTTACTTGGGTCATAGTTAAAACCGCTGTCCGCCTCCGCCATAATGGAGATTCCCTAAACGACGTCATCAATACCGTGGAATCCCTTTCTATGACGTCACAATCATATCTAAGCTATTTTAAGTCACCTTAGAAACTCCGCTTCTTTGACAACATCGTTTTTTCATTATTTGATCGCAACAGAAGAACTTCGAGTGCAAATGTTGAAAAATGGCCACTGGAAGTAAGTTTGAATGTCTTTTTGCTTTCACTTTTTAAAATTGCATTAATGGAAATTTGTTTTTTAAGTCGGAGGCTCTGTGCAGGGTTTTCATCTTGTGGGTAATACCAATGCCAATGCAATCGAGAAAAAGAAAAAGGTTAAAAACCCCTGTGAGAAAGAATATCCAATCATTAAAGATTTTGCAAAGTTAAATAACCTACATTGGATGGGTAGTTACAATTCATTTCTTTTAGCTAATCTAGGTGGTGGCAGGGAAGGGGAAAAAACCTCCAAAAAGTTTAAAATAGACATTTTATGCCTCTAAAATTTATTCCTGTTTCGGGAAATTTCATGTTAATGCATAAAATTGTAATAAAGTAACCCCCAAAAATTGTTTAAAAACGTTTCAATAAATTTTATAAAGTGAACATTTATCATTTTTAGATTTTGCAAATTTCGCCCTGAACTTGATGAGACAGAACCAAGGAGATGCTGACAAGTTGGATAAATTAACCCTCCACCTACCTGGGCTGGTTACATTCGCAGACCATGAAAAACCACTACCCTGGACTGCCGAATATCAGGCAGTGCTTATGTTTGCCGATATCTCAGGTAGGAGAAGTTGGGAAGCTGCAGGAGAGGCTGCAGTGGCGGCACCAGACTCCCGAGACCGGGACTACAAATAGGAGACAGGGGGAGAGGGTTGGGTGGTAGGGTAAGGAATGGCTATATTGCGCCTACTAGTTTTGCATCCTGATTACATTCTGAATAAGAAATCTGCCGACTTTTTGGTAATGGTTCAACGTCGTCAGTGACTATAATCCTGTTTAATTCTCCAGCTATAGCCTACATTTTTTAATCTTATTTCAGGATTCACAGCCCTGTGTGAGAAGTACAGTTCTAATCAACAGAGTGGGATTGACGAACTGGCTAGGATCCTCAATAACTATTTAGGCGAACTGGTTCAGGAAATCATTGGATCTGGAGGCGATGTCATCAAATTCGCTGGTAGGGATACAAATATAACAGACCTACTTAGGTGTCTTTAGTGAACTCTGTTAATCATTTATTCTGTTGTTAATGTTATACTGTTGTCGTCCTTTATGTTGCTACTGTTGTTTTTGCCATCGTTGTTGTTATTTATGTTGATGTAATAATTAATGTTGTTGTTGATGTCATCATCATCATCATCATCATCATCACCATCATAATCATTCTCATCCTCTTAATCATCATCATCATTTTTAACTTTAAGCTATAGACGAGGCTACTCTGAATTTTACAGGTGATGCTATACTATCTGTATGGAGAATCAACGAAATTGGAGATCTTCCAGCAACTGTGAACAATGTGGTAAACTGTTGCCTAGGAATTCAAGAGAAATGTGCAGATTGGAATACAGAATCCGGTGTATCACTTACAGTTAAATTAGGTTTGTATTTCTGGGGCAAGGGGCGATGACATTGAGAGTAGTTATATTTCGAAATTATCTAAAGACCATATAGTGACACCATAAAACGCTTAGTTGAGTGGAATTGCAAGAATTACAGACGTCTGGCTAAATATTGGAATGATGCAAATCAAGGCTCGCATGTTCCTGATGCACATGATACAAGTTTTAAAAATAAACCTTTTTACAATCCCTTTAACCTTTTAGATATTACTTTGGTACAAGTTTGTATTATTTTTTTTATTAGGGGTGGAGGTCCATGGAATCAACCAACCCCTATGGTAGTTAACCACTGTTCCTTTTTACTTCAGGTATATCAGCTGGAGATTTCACCCTCACGTTTATTGGTAATGATGAGTGTCGATATTTTGTGGAAATGGGTAGTGCCATATCAGAAGTGAATAAAGCGGAGAGTTTCTGTAAGTCGGGCTACATCGTCATCTCACCTAAAGCCTGGACGCTCTGTAAACAGACCAGTTACGAATACGAGTTGATGGAAGACAACAAACACGTCAGGGTAGGTACATCGTCACGATGTCAAGGTGTTACAATCACAGTCTAATACTTGACGATGATAGGTAGGACGTCAATGATGATGACGACGACGATTATGATGACGTCAATGATGATCATGTTGATTACGATGATGATGATGACAACGACCGTAGCGATGACAACCACAACAATGATGATGATGAGAACGATGATGATAATGTTGATGAAAGTGATGATGATTATATTGACCTTAGGCGATAATGATGAAAATGATGACACCATGCTATTTAATCCTTCAACTGTATTTTTTTCAGATTTTAGGTAAAGCTGTGATCTCTGCAGTTGCCAGAAGATTTTCGCTCAGAGGTAAGTCTTTCTTCGTGACTATATCTGACTTAATATTCACGAGCATTCAAAACTGTGTTACAATTGACGGATCTTGTCTTTTGCAGTAAGGCGTCTGTCACTCCCACCAGCTCCGGATCAGCGGCCAGAAGTACCACAGCTTTCAACCGTGACAGATGATGGGGAAGCAATTGATGAAACATCTAAAGATAACAATAACACCATGTTGGATAGGTGTAAGTTTTAGATATTCCTTATTACAATGAACAATGGCAAAAAGAGCCCGACCATTGTCTCAGACAAAAAGACCCCACGTTGAAGTGTAAACGGAACAATCGGATCCCATGCCCTTGCAATGTGCGTGCAATTCAAAAATGTGTATAAGGCTTTTAAACAAAATTATCTTCAAAGCAACGAAGTTTCTTGATTTAAAGCGTGTTTTCGGCTTGGGTGTTAATAAAAAGTTTTATTTCAAAATTGGTAAATTGTTGTCAGTGTTGGATTATAACTTCGCGCTTTCACTTTGTATATTACCAGTGAGAAATGTGGTAAAACAGGTGGCCAATCTACATTTGGAAGAAAAACTAAAGTTATTTATCACCACACCGGTATTGAAAAAGGTAACTGCCCTCAAATCTTACCAGAAGTCATCGTGTCCAAACCACGTCTCCATTCGTCATACTTCCTAGAGTGACCATATCAAAACCCGTATTCGTAATACGATGATGACAAGAAGCCTAGTTCTTGAAAACTTAAAGGTTCAAATCATCTGATTGGTCGATCACTAAATACGATTTTGGTTTGTATTTGTCGGTTTGCTCTATGTAACCAAATCTATGATGACCATCCTCATTTCAATTTCCAGCTATCAGCAGGTCAACCACTGGAATATCTGTCAGAGATGAGACTAGTGTCAGTGATGTTTATGAATCTAATAATAGACGAAGAAGCGGACACAGCTCAGCTGTTACAAGAGGTCTTTGAGATTATCCATATGGAGATCAAATCTATGGGCGGTTGTTTGAATAAAGTTTTTCTATTTGATAAGGTAGAGTGGGAATTTTCTCCATCAACGGTGTTATTGGTCACATTTTCTCAGTCAATCTTGCCTTTGAACTCCAGAGATAGATAAAGGGTTCCGAATACATCATTAAAATTATAAGGCCCATCGTCTGTCATTGTTTCTTAGCTTAAGTATCGATTTACTATATAACACCATAATTGTTCTAAAGATTTTAAAAACGGCGCTCTGCCCTCTGATACTAAAATGTTTCCGTTTCTCCAACCATTTTCGTAAATCATGACCCGAACCTTCCTGATAATTCCACCCCTACGCCTCTACCCACATACCAAATCACATGTCAACCTCAGGGCTGCACCTTTATTGTATTATTTAGTCCATCTGGGATTAAAGAGAGAGGTTTGAATACAGAACAGCTCTCTGCATGTATTCGTGTATTTCAGGGCTGTACCTTTCTAGTTATATTTGGTCTACCAGGATTTAAACATTCCAATGACAGTACCAGAGCTTTACAGTGTTCTACTCGAGTTAAGAAGATTCTAGATTCGGTTACTGGTGTCTTGTGAGTATCAAAACTGATTTAAAATAGAAGTACCTTGCTAACGTTTTGTCTATTCAAGTGTGTTTGTCGATGGCATACTCATTTGAGATAACGGTTATGATTGTCTTGGTTGGCTTATTTAACACCGAATAGATTCAGTCATAATCAGTAGTGGGTTAGATTGGCTAGGTTCTTATGAGCCATCAGTGTTAACATAAAGAATTTCTTCACTTAGAAATGCAGAATCATTTCCACACTTATCTTATTGATCACGACCGCCTTTACAAGCAGGTGTGGATGCACCAACCTTGGGGAAACCAATTCAGCAATTTTGTATTTTAATATTGCGACCATTGTGTTTCAGTGGGTTGATGACTAATGTGTAAATGGTTTGTTTTGTTTTCAGGCATGTATCAATCGGTGTAACTACAGGTGATACTTTCTGCGGGGTTGTTGGTCATAAACGTCGACACGAATATTCAGGTATGTGAATCACTTTAGTTTATACATTGATATAAAATAATAATACCTGATTTTAACATAATGTATTAATTCATATCGTAAGAGAGATATGCTCACTTTACAGTAGCTAAAGGGTTTATGTCTTAAACGCACCGAAACATTTAAAAGAACAATACATAAACTAAAATGTAGACAATTGTAAGCATCTACAATTGATAGAATACCGTTAATACTCTCTTTCTTCTTTTAATCCTGTTGAATGTTTTTATCATATCAATTTCATGAAGTCAAATTTATCTGTTCTCTTTAGTTATTGGTAGAAAAGTAAACATGGCGGCTAGGTTGATGATGCACTACCCCGATAAGGTCACGTGTGATGATGAGACCTATAAGGCAACTAAAATAGCTTCTAGAAATTTTGAAAGGTTGATAACCAAGAGAATGAAAGGGTTAAGAAACGTTGGAGTAATCAGAGAATTCAGATTCAATGAGGATGAAGAAACGGGTCTAGAAAATACAATTCCATTCTCGGACTTTCCAATTTTAGGTATTAGAATGTTTTTCATGTAAACGTTTGTATTAATTGGAGGATACCCATTGTCAATGTGGTAAAAAGGGCTTTTGATAACAGAATTTGTATGGATTTTAGTTAATTTGCCGTCTTAAATTTTTGATATATTGACGTATTGTTCATGAATGTTCTTTGGTAAGATTTGAATGACTATAAAGGTATTTTTTAACATTAGATCTAAAAACTGGATATTGGCAGGTGATAAACAAACTTATTAAAGACAGTTTTTCTGCTTGTATGGTTTTTTTTTTCATATTGAGCTTTATTTATTTACAAGCAAGATGGATTATGTTTGCATTTTCGGATCAGAACTTGTCAAAGCGTCAAGTGAAAGCTAAACAAGTTTTTTTTTTGGCATTACAGGCCGAGAGAAGGAGATCGGGCTCTTCACAAAGGAACTAACTAAACTACTTGAGGACGTTGATGGGAAAAAAATCCATCGCAACCTTGTATTTGTCGGGGCGGCCTGCGTCGGTAAAACTAGGTTGTTGGATCACTTTACAGTTATCGCTGCCAGGGAGAACATCAAGTAAGAAATTAAAATTTTACATTTGAGTCCCATTTCACAAAAATAGAAATTTAACGATAAATGTGTCGTAAGTGTGGTATTACGGATATTAAGGGGAAGGCTAAACTTACGGAGTTGTACGAAGAGGGGAAATACCTACACCTCCACTGTAGTGTGATACCGGCTTAGGAAATTGCAGAATATCCGGATATGTCTTGAGTTGAATGGTTCCCAATAGTATACATACCAAACGTTAAGGCAAATTTTGCTTTTTTCATCGTGAAAATTCTCAAAAAGTAACGATCTAAAAATATATCCGAGCAACACCCACAACATGTGACCTTTGCAGTCTGGCCCTTACCATGACGATATCACATCCGTTACACATGCCGAGGAACGGATAAAGACAGATTTGTTAGGCTAATCTCGACCCTTATCCTTCTTCCAGATTCCTGACCTTTGACTTGACCACCAACGATGAGAAGAAGATGTATTTTGTGTCTCGTCATATCCTGAAGGTTCTGTTGTCAGCTGCGGGCTACTCTCAGGAAGTCGACTCCGAACCAGTTCTTCTCCAGAATCTCCGAGATTGTAAATTACTCGGATTTCTACATTCCTTTTCGGATGTCATTTGTATCAAGGTAAGATCAAATTGACATTAATTTTACTAGGTTTACTGGCTATAATCTTTACATTCTCTCGGTTTAAACATTTACAGTACATGGAACTCTTTAACTGAATATAAGGAAGGTTTCGGAAACAAGCCACTGTTGTATTTACATCCTCTAGACTGGCTTATCGTAATCTTTACACACTCTTTAACCCTCTTTTCATGATTCTTCCCTGTGAGTTAAGCTAATAAGTAAGTCTACTACGTGGCTAAGCAAATTTTTACAACTTATATCTATATTTCAGCTGAAATCACCAGAGAGTTTCACCATGTTGACAGTCAGTGAAGACGTATTGAAAGGAAAGAGACGAGAGATTTACTCACTTCTAATACAAAATGTAAGAGAACACGTATACTTCCTATATCCTCCCTCCATGATATTAATCACCAGCGTCAATTTTTCGGAAACTGGATATTGGCAAGAATTACCTATTAAAATTTTTCACATAAAGGCGTGCGTCAACAAACGTTGAAATTTTCGCTATCGCTCTGAGTAAGGTTTATGGACACTGCGGAGCATTGCCGAATGGTATAGCCACTGATAGAATTTATCAACCCGAGTCCACTTTTGGAACTAGAGATATACGGCAACAGACAATATTTCACAAAAGATCTAAAAACTAGAAATTGCATCCAAATAGTCTTCTATCCGTAATACAATGAACCGACCGTTGTAGTCCTTATACTAAAACATCGAATTTTAATGAACTGGTAACCGTTCAGCTGGGTTTTTTTTAAATCAAAATCATTGGGGGCAAATTTTGCTTTCGCTTCAGTGTTTGGAGAAGATAGGACCCACAGTGGTTTTACTTGACGACATGAGGAGCTGTGACCCCAAATCCTGGGAATATCTCGATCTTCTGTCTGAATCAGCTCTCATTATGATAGTAATGGGTGTCCGCCCGATTATCATTGACGAACCCACATGTCCGGAAGCCCAAAAGTTCTTTGAGAATCGCCAGATCAAGACCAAAGAGGTGGACCTGATGGAAACTCGTCACATGACTCCGCTCGCCTGCCAGATTCTTGATGTTCAGCACATCCAACGGGAGTTAGATCTGTAAGTGTATGTAATGAACCGCTAATAAGCCAGTTAGGGAACTATTAAATCTGTGTAAATGGCTATGTTCTTTTTTGATTCAAATTGAGAAATTAAAGGCTATTGATGTGATTGTAATAACTACACATAACGCAGTAAGGTCTTATAGCACTGTGCCATTTCAATAGCTGTAGCTCCACCGATAACATCTACTGTCGGTGCCTCCTTCCAAACATATCTTCCTCTTTATACTCAGGTATTTGAAAATGTTAAGTCACGGAATTCCAAAATGGACGGAAAGGCTGATACAACACATGTATGAGAGTAAACAGCTGCTGATAGTTGAGGAAGACCACAAGCCATCGGGTATATCAACCCTTTCACCCCAGACCGACCTGCTCAATAAAAAGCCTAGTAAAGAACGAAGAGCTGCCAACATCGACAGAAGAAAACATGCCATTACTTTTGAGACTAGTGTAAGTATGTATCTTCCCTCTTTGTTTGAGTTGAAATATTTTATTATGTAGTGTCATCATGACTTATTGAAATATAGTCACGACCAAACGACTAAAATTCATAGATTTGTAAGACTGGTAAGCTTTCTGTTGTTGACACAATAGTCGATTGTTTTAATCAGAATACAATGGCATCTCTTTAAATGTTCGGTGTTTTGCTCCTGAGCAGTTCGATGAAGCGAGAGTAGTTTGAATTATTAACATTTTCCCATTTCAGTTACAAACATCCAATGCCGAAGAAAGTTCCGGTAACACCAGTGAAATGCTTGGATTCCTTGGGTACGTTCAGCCAAAGACTGGGACCGTGAACCTGAGGTCGTCTGTCATGACCAAAGTGAAGATGGCACAGAGAGTTGCTATTCTGGTCGAGGGAATCAACACGAAGGACTTGAAGATTCCAGAAGCCATGACAAGTAGGTTGTGCTTATACAAACATAACTGAACTGATGATACACGGATGATTTCCTACGGTTGATTGGGCAAATAAAATCGGACAACTCCGTGCACTGTCCGAAGAGGTTACTTTGCCAGGACAATTATACGACTCGTTACAAAAGCGGTGCATAACATAATAATCGTGTCAACTAGATAGTACAATGTAGAGTGACAATGGCTAATTTCTGAGGTCAAACTAGCCGCGTTTTCTTTAGTCCAAATACAGCACCAAGGTCGTCTGTGGCGTTCTGTGTTCTAAACATACCTCTTTGTCTGGTCTCACATAGTATTGTGTATGCGGTACTCCTCGACAGCGCAAGCACTTTTGCCTTGCTAGTATTCGTAGTTGGTCGACATTGGCAATAAGAGTATTTACCATCAGGATGGGGATGGTGATCTACTGTTCTACTAACTATACTACTTATGGCTTCATTCCTTCTTACAACCGGTCTGCTTTTTGTTTCAGATATGGTTACAGCTAGGTTAGATTCAATGCGCGCCATGGATCAGCTGGTAGTCAAATGTTGTGCAGTGATCAATGCTCCATTTTCACTTGACATTGTCAAAGCTGTTCTTCAGAAATCCAACATATTCCAGGTCTCTTTGTCAATGAAGCGTTTATTTACAAACGGAACTTTCGAATGTTCTGAGTACCGACGCGCCCGGAAGTTGTCTTACCTAGATGACTCGGCATATTCTCAGAATCTGTGTTATTGTCAAAACCAAGTGTCGGCTGACTCAGACCACATGTGCAAAAAACTCAGTTTCAGAAACTTCCTCCTTCAGACGATGGCTAGTAATGTTCTAATGGCGACGCAGCGTCATGAAATTCACGTGCGCGTAGCGGACTATCTTCTAGCAGACGTCAAAGAGAACCGGAAATATCTGCCATTTTACTTATTTTCGACTACGTCATCATCACCACCTGGAAACAGAAAGGCTTCTAATGGTAAGGCATCTTGGGTTTTCATTGGGGCTATACATCCAAGTGTGGATCCATAACTAACGATTTTATTGTTTATCAAGGTTTGAGTTACACACTGTTCCATATTGATTGGCAGCCCACGTGAGTGAAAGAGTGCAAAACTGGATCGACGGGTGTCATAATCTATATCTGCCTGGCACACTTCATCCATTTCCATCTATTGTAGATGAGGAGGTGAAACCATTTCTAAACGCCACAGATCTATATGAAGATATATCTCGATCAGGGTAAGTTGATTTTCAGATTAGTTCATGTCCGCTCAATTTCTGTTTGGATTTGCCAAACCTGATCGCATAGCTGCGACTTATATTCAACCATTGTAGGAACTAACCTTACTCTGTTTCTCTGAAAGGCAATTCATCTGCTATGAAGATACTTAACTACAAGACATTTTTATTTCGTAAATGTCCTTTCCAGGAACACTACTGACTATGTTCAGCATCTCAAGAATGGTTTTAACAGTGAGAGAAAGAACATGCTATCAGCTCTTCTTCCAGTATACAGACGAGTCAAGGAACATCTGTATAATGCTAATGAGTACGGAAGACTGTTGTACCTAATGGTGGAAGCTAGTGCTGTATCTTTGTCCTTAGAAAATACATCTCATGTAAGATTTCATTGATTAAAATTTGTAAAAGAGCAATCCTTCTAAACTTGTTACTGGCAGAATCTAAGAACAAATGGCTTTTCGGCGACTGTTAGCAACCGATGAAACCTGGGATATTCTGATAATGATCTAATGATCCATGATACGATAGTGTAGATTGTTTGTACTGGTCATACCCCAGCTATCTTCTGCCATCGGAGTGATCCTAGTCATCTCTTCAACTTGAATTTCAGGGTTTGTTATTTGCGGAAGATGCTGAATCAGTTTTAGAGAAAATCCTTCAAGAAAGACCGGACATCAACTCCACCAATTTACTCTATACCACTGCTTGTATCCACAGATTGTCCGCTCAGGTATTTTATCCAACCAGTTTCATTTCCTTTTGTTTGTTTGTTTGGCTCACTCCTTGTCTGACAAACGAGTGGATCTAAAACGCATATTGGCCTTGGAAGAGCCATAATTTATTGGGTATTTTATACTATGTTTTTCCATGGCCGCTCTTAAGCACTTGATGCCGCTCTGCAAGTTTCTGAACTTGATATCAGAGAGTCCAAGAGCTATTTGTAGAGGTAAGTGTTTGTATATATATGGTCAACTTGGCATTATGTTTGGTATAATATTCATTCCATTGACTCTCAATATTCTCATTTAGTCTTGAAGTCCATAGCTTGTATCACATTTATTTTTTCCATGGTTTGAAGGCTTTACGGATGTCGGGTCGATCTGAAATGGGAGCAGTCCACTTGAGGAAGACTTCATCTATACTTAAATTGGATCATCCTTCAACTCGCTTGAGTTATCTGTTCAAAATGTTGAAATATGACAAATATCCAACAAAGATTCTACAGCTTGAAGAATTCGCTAATATTACGCAAAGCGAGTAAGTTAAACTCTTCCAATGATTTCACTGTATTAGCCTCCCTTCTTGAAACAAGGACCAGAAATCTTCTGTAATCCGTGGTACATTTCCGGAAAAGTTTGAAGGAATACCTCTCTTACGTTGAAAATGCATCCCTAGACTGATATTCTTCTTTATAATTGTATAAAGCTCACTAAAAAAAATAGGCCTACCATTTCTTGTATACATGTATATTCCTGCAACCCATCCAAAGTGGCCATTGTTTCTTCCAAAAATGCCTTTAATATTAATTGTGTGTTTTAGCTCGGAAGCAGATCGCTATATTCTGGAACTAATCAACTGTTTAATAGAGTTCTGTCATCATCACAAAATCAGAGGAGACTTCAGAATGTTACATCTGGATTTATTGAGGTTGCTTACAGTTTTAAGGGCGACATCCCCACATCCGATACAGATCTTGGAAGCCTGTCAACTTTTATTGGAATTCTACAGACTAAAGAAACGGTTTGACATCAGTTTTGATTTAGAATTACAGCTTTTTTCAATGTAAGTAGCCCAAGAAATCATTGCACATACTACGCTTACATTTCTAGGGAGTATTTAGTAATGCCCGAGAAAGCGAAAGCATCAAAATAACAGCATTTCCAACAAGTTTCATTCTCATTAAACGACTCCAGGTCTGTTTAGTGAGAGGGTAGTTACTCCATGATCTATGGGTTACAGTTACATCGCCTCATAATAAATAGGACACGATGTAATTATACGAGACTTGTGCTCCGTACGTTTCGCGCCATAAACATCACCTTTCTGGTTTCTTCAAATGAAGAGTTCTTAATCAGAGTTATTGGCCTTTACGGCTTCCGACTACAAAAATAATATACACTAACTAAAAGCTGTTTTATCTGGATTAAACTGGGTTTATCGAAACGGCAGTATTAAAAATATCTTTTGAAGAGTCCACATGTATATTTTTTTGACATAAAGATTTGTTTATCTATTAAAGGAGTGTATATTACGTGGAGTCTATAAGTTATCACCATATTGAGAAGTTGGTAGAATGTTTAAAACAAAGTATTAGCATCAGTTTAGACCAGGGAATGGTTCATAAAGCTCTTGTTTCGGGTAAGTAAGACACTCTGAACACACTGACCAGTACCCTTTATCTATCATTCCCCCTCTTCCCTCTTCCCCCTGTAAATCCTTACGCTTTCGTGACTTTCTCTGTTTTTAACTGTAATATTTTCCATGCCTGACTGACTAGAACAACTTAACAACAAGGGCATAGTCTGCTTCCGACATCCGCCCCCTTTTTGTCTACCTTATACTTTCAGCGTTCGCTTCATGTAGCATGTAAGTCCCTTTTCAAGTCGCCTAATTAACAACTCTCGAATTAAGAGTCTCATCCGATGATTCTTTTGATTTTAGGACGAACTGCAGCAGCAATATCAAGATTATTTGAAGATGAATTATTGATGATAAAAACTCTACCAACTCTGGGAATGGCAACCATTCTAGATAACAGGTGAGTGGTTGTTGATTCGGGTCAGACATTTTTAGAAATAAAAATTGTAAGTGGTTGAGGGAACAGCGTTTTGCCCTGGTGCAAGACCTCCTCATTTCAATATATGCTCTCCTGCTCGTATGGTAGATAAACCTGGCATAGGATTCTATTTCTGAAAAGGAATACAGGTAGCTGAAATTGAGCCCATTTAGCTGGTAAAGCAAATATTTTCGACCTTAATGTTGATAAAAACTGTAGTAAATATGAGAGTAATTTGATTTCCAATTCGAGAGAAGATGATTTGTGAAGCAGCCAATGATTCCATTCCAGTTTAGACGAGAGTAGAGATATTTTAACCAAATTAAAAGAAACTTGTTTAACTCAGAATAAACGTAAAGAGAGAGCCTGGTATTTCAATCTCACAATGGAGTTGCTGCTCATCAGAGGTTAGTGTTTTTTCTTTTCTCTCTTAAACTCCTTTAGATCTGACTCACTTTTTCTCAAATTCACGTTCAAAGTGACTTGTTAGAATTTGAACGCCTTATCTATGTATAATTATGGGAAAGATCAATGTAAACAAGTTTGGACAATAGTTATACTGTATACCAAAAAATCCTCGCAACATAATCTTGATAAAACCGTCGACAAGAGCTTAGTTTTCTAAGAGGTTTTGGAAAGGACCAAAATTGATGCACAATTCTTTCGTTCTATAATATAAATAGTATTTGTCTTTTTAAGGTTATTCCATAGAATCGTTTCCAAGATGTCTGTCGACACTGTCTCTGTATCTGAAGGACTATGATGTCGTCCACGGTGAAACTGTGGCCAGGTTTTATTCTGCAATGTGTATCGCTACTTGGTACGTAGATCATTTTGGCTCTGGTTTTGTTGTCACAAATTGGAAAGCCTCATTTCTCCTTCTTTATACTCGAATTTTGTATATTGAGAACTATGATCGAAACACAAAAATAAAAGAAAGACGTAAAACTCCATTCCAATTTATTTTAGGTATTGTCGACAGTCTGAATGGAAGCACGGTCAGAGATGGTTCGACTACTGGGACTACTACCAGCCTGAACAGATATCTCTCCTCTCTCTGCTAGCCAGATTGAAGAAACTCGAGTGTATGCTGCTATCTTTATGGCTGTCTCTGAATGAGGATGTCGCCATTTCCTTTAAAAGAATAGAACCTGGGGTCATACAGGTAGGCGGGTGGCGTTTTTAGGGGAACCAGGGAGGGGAGGAAGGATGAGGCAAGTCTTGTCCGGATTTGCAATAGGTTCATCGTCGTTTAATAAATTGAAATGGAATGAGTATATAAAGACATGATATTTTCTGATTCTGACCACAAACCTGTCAATTTGTCAGTTTACTTGCTAGTTGGACACAACACGTTGTATTAATGTATGTATAAAAATACCAAACTTTTAAGTGCCAGGGAGTATCTTTAATTTCTTTAATCTTCTGTTTTCATGTGATTTCCCTTATTATTATATAAATACCAGAATATTGCTTGTAAACTCTAAAGAGACTGTAAAATCGATTGAGAGGATGTGATTTTGAGTAACCGCTTGTCTGCTTGTTTCAGGAAATCAAGCTATTCCAGGCAGCACTAAAAGAAATACCAGGAATAATACCGAGATTCTATCATCACCTCGCTTATTATTATCTTTTAAAAAACAAGAGAACGAAGGCGAAGAAATATTTAAAATCGTCGATGAAGATTTCATTCGAGCAGGGCAATAAATTAGACTGGGGCTGGGCTTGGAGCACGTGGAAATCGTGGCATGACCCAGATTTGGCAGAAAGTGTTTCAGAATGGAATAAACTCATACAAAATCACGACAATTCGTTCGATTGGACTCGAACCACTGATACTTATACTTCTAATATTTATTATCCGTTTCCTCTACCTCCAAATTTTATATATTTCAATAAAAATACAATAAAGTTATGAAATTTTAAATGTTTATATTTCCATGGATCGGTCCGATTCAATTCAGAGTTACATGTATTAATTTGGACACAGTAATTCAGTGTGTTACTAACCAATATCATGGATTTATAGCCACTCATCGGTCATTAAAACTTTTTGAATATAAAACAAAACAAATTTTTTTGAAATTATAAAAACCAAGGGTATTTTCAATCATTTATTAGGATATCACCGATCCCCTTGTATAATTTATTCCCAAATCTACAAAAATATACATTTTTATACAAAATAATAAGATCCCAATAATGAAATGGACTAACCTAAATTAGAGACTTAAAAGCGGTGCGCATTATACAAAATGCGCATTATATAAGCAATTATACAGTATGTGTTCATTAAGCACTATTTAACATTGGTTGTTAAGACTAGGTTCAACTACAACTACAAATTAATAATAAAAACTGTAATATAACATTACTTATGAAAACTTCTTCAAACAATTACAAAGTTAGGGATATTTGAAAAGGATATTTTCGTATGATACTAAGTAACTTGACCTCCATTAAATTTTCAAAGATATACTTCATTCAAATTTAGTAAAGTTAATTGAGCTCAAACAAATCCATGTATTTCATTAACAAGTATTTTAAATTAAAAATAAAATAACCAACAAAGAGACAATTAAAATGACAAGTTTTTCAACAAAAATAGCAGTGGAATACAAGAAGACACAGGCATGTTGATAAACATCTTTACTATGTCAGGCTATTACGTACTGCTTCTTGACTTCAATAGCCACTTGTATCAGGAAAGTTTGTAAATGCAGTGATTTGATTGGATTGTACAAATAAAGCCATTCAGAGCCCTCCACAGAAAGTCTGTAAATCATATGCCATAATGTTTACAGTGTTTATGTTGAGGACTCTGATTGACTGTATTTGCTGGCGTACAATTCAATCAAATCACTGCATTCTGTGATACAAGAATTGTGGGACTATAGCAGTCAAGATATAATACAGTTTGTAGCTTGACATTGTGAAGATGATTGTTAATTGACTTGCAAACAGACAAACAGAAAATATTGAAGACAAAACATAATGGAAAACAATGGCACTAGGTCGTTGTTTAGGTTATCAAATAAATTTGTAAAACTCAGAAATATTTAGGTACTATGAAATAAAAGACTGGAGTGTTTTGGACAGATATTCTTGACCTTCCAGTAGATTTTGTCATTTACAAAACAAAGATCAATATTCACAATAGGTATTCAATAAGGCCAAGCATGTCATACATTGATAGAGATACAGTAATGATACACAATTTTCCTCTAACTAAATTAGACTAGTAATAAAAATCAATACAAGCAAGACAATTCTGTTAATAAAAATAAAAAGTCCAAAGCCTGGCAAAATGGAGAGTAAAAACCTAGAGAACTACCATCAGGTGTTTTCACAACGACTAGTAAGTTAAGTTTTTTTTTTCTAAATCACAAAGAAAATATTTTACAAATATATATATATGTATATCTACCCCATTTACTATTTTAAGCTATTTACAAACTATCTTCTAAATAATTAATTGAAATGGATTGCATATTAAGTAACGTACATGATGATAACAATGTAAATTGTAGAAACATTGTAAGGAAAACCCAATAGAGTAGAGTTTAGGTATATTGGGCCGCTAATCTTAACGTAAAAAATTGTAAAGAGGCTTTCTAAATATTGTATGTATAGCATCAATTTACACCATTCCAATTTTCAGTCAGACGTCTGTGGTTCCTGCAATTCACTTAGTTTGAGTGGAATAGCAGGAACCACAGACGTCTGATTGTAAATTGGAATGGTGTAAATTGATGCTATTATCAGTGTCCCCGATACACATAAAAAATTTGGAAAAACTTCTTTACAGAAAGCAATGCCTTTTCTTGGTTTTTAGACTTTAGTTCTAGTCAGTCTATTGTCCTTTAATACAGGAAAGGCATCCAAATAACTTGGAATGCTAGTGTTATTCCTAATTTCAATGGAACCAAAATATGATGACGGTTTTGTGCATTCAGTCTTCATAGAGAGGCAAGTAAATATCATCTGGCTAAATCACATCTGCAGTAATCTAAAAATTCTAGCCAAATGACTTTTAATACAGGCGAGAAAAAGCCATCTAAATGATTGGGAGGCTGTATTTTCAAACACAAAATGATGAAAAGGTTTTGCACATTCAGTCAAGGCTTAAAAGCTACAAGTAGCCCCCCTACCCTAACTAAATCCCCTTCGATTCACCCCCTGCAAGTATAGAGGCATTAAATTAAATGATGAAAGGATGAATAAACAATGAATTGAATGAATAAAAATGAAAATGAGTATAAAATGAATGAATGAATGATGTGCATTGTTGCACTATTTCCATGATCGTACTTCGTTGACTTCCCAGAGTTGTCGTTGTGATTCTGCGTCGCAGGTTTGTAGGTGGAGTTTATCATCATCACCAAGCTCCACGCACATTTCATACTCAGTATGCTGAACTTGTTTTGTTTTCTGGAAATAAATAAACAATTACATGATAGAGAAAGAAAAACAAGATGTAGAGAAATCAGGAAAGTTAAAAGCAGAAAAGCTTGAAACAATGTGGGGGGTATCATTTATCACTCGACCTAACCCCCCTGAAGTTCCATACTGACCAATAGACTAGGCCGTTCATAAAATAATCCTAACCAATCAGCCTTGGAATTCTACTTCACAAAATCCTTGAGATGGTATCTTTCATTTCTGCAACCTCCCCACCGCCCTGGCAATGCCCAGTCCCCTGACCTTAACCCCAGCCCTGCTTACCTCATCATAATCCCAAGGACCTGTGGGTTCTACATCACAATATGATACATGAATGGTATCTTTATATTTGGCTTCGAGACATCTTTCACCTAGAGCTAGCTGACCTTTCGTGTTTAATCGGAACATCTGAAGAAAAAAAACAACAAAACCACTGGTCAACATACTAGTTAATTTGATTATCAAAATTTACTAAGTTCAATTTGGGGAATTTTCCATCCATGAGCTTTAGAGTGATGTCCCTTGATTTGAAACTTGTCCAGTTGTCACTGTCTCAATTCACTTATTGAGATTCAACCATGAATGTAAACATTGCCACAGTTAGCCAATCATTGGGAAGAATTTCAGTGAAGCGTGATATATACCTGATTGCCTCCACCATGATGACAATAATAAGCTCCGATTGGTCCACCATTTACACCCTGACCAACCGTATCCCAGCATTTATTATCTTCTAATATTTTAAACTATAAATAGAAAATACAAGAATTGTTTATAATAGTGTGTGATATCAGTTATCTTTAAATATTAATCACTGTTTTTACTGATGAAGGAGAATTTTAACAGTGGGATTATCAATTACAAGAGTCAGCTAATTTGCTACTGACTGACACAGCAATTTATCATCAATTTATAGGGATTTTTTCTGATTTCCCATTGGCAAATAGCCAAATGTATCGACAGCCGACAACAAGTTGCAGACTTCAAATCTTGGGTCAATGAGCTGAATATATCACATGAATTGTTATCCAAGTTCTCAAACCTGCAAGCTTGAAAATAAAATACAACTTGCCAGGGAAGAGAGAGTATGCATGTACGTGTATCATCAGAGCATAACAACTAGAAAATTTGATACAAAATCTCAAGACATCTAAATTTCATTGTCATTGGTATTTACCAAATCTAAAAAAACTCCAGGCCCTAATTGAAATACAGAATTTGAATGCCCCCAGTCAGTTTTACATGAAATAAATAAAAAAATAATCTTACCTCTCCCCAAACTTTATTGGGTGGTAATCGGGGAAATTTTTCTAAAACTTCATACGCTACGTTTTCCATAAACCAATCAAAACTTTTACAATTATGTTCTTTTTTAAAAGCGAGTTGTTTTGAGATGTCTCCGATGGGATAGCCTCGGACTGATGGTTCTCTCGTATAAAAATATTCTTTATATTCAGGATCCAACCACACTTCTACTACCCTCATATAATTCTACAAAAAAAAACACCCAATTTAAATATAATTCTTCAAATATTGTAACAAGATAAGACACGAGGTAGAGTTACGGAAGCCGTTACCTCAAATGAGAGGTTTACATCCATGACTCCTCCACACAGAGTTGTAGTGTTTTGAATTCATCCTTGACATATCTAATTGACACGATCTCATCTCATGCTGTCAATGTTGACATGGAAGGAAAATCTAAAATGACCTCCAAATATTAAAGAAATTTGGACTTGGACAATGCAAGATTATGAGAAATAATACTTACTAGTAGGATAACAGGAATTGTAGCCTTGACTTTACCAAAACCATAGGGCATGTGATTTCTATAGACATGCCCCACCCTAGAGCATGGTACCCATTCTATACTTCCTCCACACTGCCAGATCTATAATTAGAAATACCAAAATAAAGATTTATGCGGACTCTCTCAAAGGGATGTTGTGTTATGTTGAGCATTAATACCAAATAACGGTGCAAATAGCCAGTGCGTTAAATGAAAAAAGATGGCTACTCACCTTAAAAGATAACTCAAAATTTTCTCCTCCCCAAATCTGCATACCAGGATCGTAACCTCCCATTTCAAAAAAATATTTTCTATCCATGGCAAATAATCCTCCAGCATGAGTGGGTGATCTGTGAATAAAAAATCATGGAAAATTAGCTAGACTGACCATAATCTCTGTTTTTGCAATTCTCAGCAAAAATTTGGTTTTGTTTTTAATTGAGATATCTATAGTCGTTTTTAAATGTGTTTCTTGAAAATCCTATTACCAAACAAATTACAAAGTCAGTAGTCTTACTTTTGTATATGACTTTCTGTCATAAGATTGGAGTGAAGAAGGATTCTGTTTGTTGTGACAATGTTCACTGTAGTTGAATGCAGTTGAATTTCATTTCAGTTTTCATGATTTGAACAGACCTATCCCTTTTTTCTGTTTTTATGAAGTATATTTAAATATAATATAACTAACGACTAACTTGTAAGGTTCACTGTTGTAAGTTCTGGTATTCAATTCTCGTTGTGGTACTTGACTCTCCTTGTATAGAAAACCCCATTCAAAAATACCTCGATGATGAGTAGACGTGTAAACAGGCCTGTAGCGAAAATTATTCCAATCTATTCCGTCAACTATCGGTACCGCCATTATAGTTCTGAAATTTAAATATAAATAGTGCATTAAGACCAGATTTAAAATCTGAATTATTAAGTTACAATTTAACCTCAACCATAACTTCGGATGACATTTCAAAAAAAAAAAATTAAATCTCCCATTGCCTTAATGATTGGCCAAGAACAACCCGTATAGACAGGATCAGCAGAAGTTGTTATATATATAAACTTTCGTTCCCCTCTTTCTGCTAAAAGAATACATCCCTAAAATGGGGTCATGTAAGCAAACAACATCATATCACAGGGCATGGTGACTTGGAAAAATAAACCAAAAGCCGAAATACTGAAGATCTGTCCTTGATCTTTGCATAGCATTGCCTTCTTCATGAACCCAATCAGAAACAGAAAGTAGGATGTTAAACTCTATTTCATTTCATTTCCATTACCCTTCCTACCATTCAATTACTAGTATATTGAATTTCTTAATCAAATTAAATCAAGGCTTTGTGTCAGTGAAAAATCTTTCTACAAAAACTTTGTTACTTTATCTAAATTTCTCAGTTCATGTTGACAAAATGGAGACAAAAACAACTCTTGTTTACTTTTCTCGACAACAATGAGAATTGTAAACAACAGTAAAAAAATAAACAACCAGGTCCATTGATTAGAAGAGATTTGTTCAATATTTTTTTAACGGTTTGACACCTGATACAACAGTCTACATCAGAAATACAATGTGTTTCTATTATACATCTTCACAATGTCAAGCTATTACCAACTACATCTAATACCTTGACTGCAATAGTCACCTTTCTTGTATCACTGAAGTTTGTAAATGCAGTCAAGGTATAAGATGGAGTAAATGATTGTGAAGAAGCAATAAAATTGTCAGAAACACTTTGTTTTCCAATTTAACTTTTCAAAAGATGTTTTCTAGTCTAGCTTCTATCTATAGATTAAAACTATGACTATGTAATACAATGTATGTATAGGTGTATGTATATTTTATATTGGAATCCAAGCAATCATAGTTTCAGACATTTTGAAAAGATAGAATAACAGCAATCTCTGCCTCGAGTAACTTACCTATCATGAGCGATCCTAGCCAGTAGGGGAGGTAGCCAATTAGGATTACATTCACAATGAGCATCCAGAAACACAATAACTTCTCCTGTAGACAACTCGGCGCCACGGGTTCGAGTCCTAATCAATCCTAGACGTTCTTCATTACGAAATATCTTCACCTTGCCATTAAATCTTGTCATATACTGATCTAGTTTACCTTTTAGATGTTCTAGAATAAAAATACATTCAAATTATTTGGAACTAAATTCGTTTAAAATAACACTTAGTCCAGTTATTACTACAGTATAATTGGGAGTATAGTGCATACCGGTACCCCTTTCTTAATCTTGAGTAAATCTGGACAGATTTGTCATTGTAAATAACAAACACCCTGTTAAGATGAAAAAAGATGGTAAACTGAACAACATATGGAGTTGGTAAACCTTTCTTTTTAAACTAATCTCTCGAAATCCTTGACTTTGATTTCTGCCTTGAAGAAGAAAAGGGTATCTAAAAATTCTACCAAAATTCTTACCTTTATCGCTGAAATCGTCAACCATCACAACCTCTTTTAGCAGGTGTGAGGGGCTGGAATTTATTACACTGTGTACGGTACGAACTAGAGTGGACCAACCCTCGTTATGGAACACTAGAATCACGCTGGCACTAGGGAGTTTCTCTGGATAATGCCAATATTTACATCTATATAAAATATCAAAATATTATTAGCTACGTGGACTCTACAAAATATAATTAAATGTCACAAAAACACATTTTCAAAAATACAACAACAACGTGATAGGGCATGTTCCCTTCCACCCCTACCCCCAGCCTCTTACCCCCACAAGATAGTAAAACTAAACCTACTCATCCATCCTAGTATCAGGTACTGTTCTATCTAGAGATATTTTATCACTGTTAACTAAATTAAAACCATAGTCTCGAATAGATTGGTCTGATTTGGCTCGTTCTTCCATCGTAGAATACACTGGTTCACCATTCTCTCCTGTAATATACAGAATACAGTCAAGTTCTAAAGGGATATCTTTGTGAATTTATCCACTTTTTCAGCTAATCCTTGTTTTGAGTTCAAGGATATTTATAGCTTCTATTTGCATCATTCTAATTTTTAATCAGATGACTGTCCCTGATACACATAAAATAATTAATAAAACCTCTTTACAAACACATTAAATAAATAGATATGAACTAATGTGGATATTCATCACTGAGTTTTTTTAGGTTTTAATTTAAATAATGTTCAACTTACCTGGTCCACCACTGTTTTTAACAGGGGCAGGTTCGTAATTTCCCATCACCCCTTTCTTAAACACAGTATTAGGTTTTTTATCTTCTTTCTGTTCCTGGACGACATCCTTAGGGTCTGGCCCCACCCCCGGGATATCAACTACAGCCTCTTTACCATCATCTATATTATTAGCACTGTGGGGCTGAAATCAGAAAATTAATTTTATGTAAATCACAAATATACCAGTACCAATTCATACAATATAAAGTCAATTTGGGAACAGACTTCACCTATATTACGCTATAGAAGGGCTGGAATTAGAACATAATTAATCAGATTGTTACCTGAATACAGGTGTTGGATCACTTTAAAATTTCATTGATATCCATGACAACCTAAGCATCTTAACAGAAGTTGGAAACAGAAATTCTGAACTGGACATTTAAAAGAAAGAACCAACGCTCCAACCAACTTTGTTTTAGGACCTCACAAAACTTAAGATTAAAATTTGGTACCAATTTTTTAGTTCAAATTCATAAAAATTCCAGAAAATGTGGCACATTTGCATTTAAATTCCTATTCCAACCTAAACAGACAGATATTTGACATTTAAATTCATTTGTGCTACCTATATCACTATATCATTTTATCATTTACCTATTGTATATAACATAGTAACTATAGTATATAATGATAGCTAATACAAATTCTACAATTACTATGGTAATAACATTTTTAAACTAAAGTTTGATTATTCATTAATCATTCAATAACTGATTTAAACGTTCTCACAACTATATAACTGGTATAAATATTGCTTATCAATTATAATTCATTAAGTAATGAAATCGTGCAGATTTTTAACACCAGCTGTCTGCAACAACCATGTTTTTATTGACATTAATATCATATCATGTTTGAAGAAACATGTATAATGGTTGTAGAACCAGCTCAATACATGTATATCAATATCAGAACTTATTAATATTACTTTAAAACAAACATATCAATTGTAATTTGACAAATACTTTGATATCATGCATGTCCATGTAGAACCACGTCAATAAGGCAGTAAAACCAATACACGTATATATTGTTCTCGAAACGAACCGGAGTAGAATCAGATCGATACAGCAGTAGAACAAAAACATGAATATGCTTATTGGAAAAACATATCAATTTTAATTTAATTAGTTAAAACCTATGAAGGTTGGTTGATTGATGACTGATGACAAGTAAAATGATTACAGACTCTGTCTGGATAAAGCTATCTCAATAGTTGCTCTACAGCCTAATAAAAAAAGAAACAACTTTATTTAGCAGGGATAACAACTTGGGTTCACAGTAAAGGATCCTTTCTACCAGTTGGTCCTTGACAAAACCTCTTGGCATTGATCTTTCCCAGATTATCCGTACCCATTTACAACTGGGTCGACTGGAATTATGAGTTAAGATTACTTATTCAAGGTCATCGGATTTTCACCCGCCGACTGAGATTAGAACCCACTGACACCATTCACCCAACGTAACCAAGTAAATGAAATCATGTAACCAATGCTCTAACAGACCTCACAAAGTTTAATTCCAGTTATTCATACCCCAGTTATTAAATGACACTCAAGGAAGATATATAATACATGGTTATCGTTGGCAGAACTTTTCAGAAAAATTTATCAATTTAAGAAGTAATGACCACTTGAAAGCTGATAGCTACCTGTATAGTCATTAAAATATTTACTTTGCCAGCTGATAGAACTCAATTTTAGCTACCTGTATAGTCATCTAAATATTTACTATACCAGCTGATAGAGCTCAATTTCAGCTATTTGTACAGCTATCTGCTTTACAAGTTAATAGAGCTAAATTTCATCAATACACATGACTACCATAATTTCATGATGGCTTTTTTTCATAATGAGTGATAAGGTTTATAAAAATATAGGGGATGGCCCTGTATGGTTAGAAATAATGATAACACAACTATTAGCTTTTTATTAGCTTTTTTACAGAAGCTAAAGTGTATGATTAAAATTCTGCTTGATAAACAAATTATGACACGCTCATAAAATCAAATAGTAACAGCTGTTTGTCAGTCAATAAATCAATTGTAATACATAGTTTACAGTTTATAATTTAATAGATAAGCTTATAGAATATAGATTCAATAAAACTAATTGGCAGACTGAGTGTAGTCATTGGAGGCTGCTGAACTTTGGATTGAAGTGGACCATTCTAGGGGGTGGGGTGCTCATGGAAAGTATTTAGAACATAAAGGTCTACAATCCTGCAATTTTATGCATTTTGAAAGAGTATTCTCTTTCAATATTTACATTTTTACAATCAGATAAGGACTATGTCCTCAAAAAAGTTGTATTCTTGGGCCTTTGAAGCCCCCACTGTCTCCGATTTAGATAATTGGTTTTCTAGATTGGCCAGTGGTCAAGGATATTGATATAGTGGTCAATGTTAGCTTATAACACCTGGCTCGGCCAGTCAATAACAGGTCAATATTGACCTGCAAACAAACTGAAATATTATTGGTCACTGGACACATGGCGTACTGAAGGTCAAAACCATCAGAGAGGGTAGTCCTGTGTTAGACAATGTGTTTTCAGGGGTCAGTTAAACCACCAAATAGTAGGATTATAATCTATACTTGAATCAACTTCCAGTATTAACATATCTACAATGACCACAAGCTAGATTAGGGCTGGATTTTAAAAACCAAATTGAGATTTATCTACGGCAGACTACAGATCAATAATCAAAATATTTAATTGAATTATCTTCTAAATACTAAAAAAGAAGCCAATTTTGAATTCTATGGATTAATTTTGGAACATAGAAGTATCATAATATGAATATTCATTGATTTGATTGGTTATTATAGTTGTAATCTTCTTTGTGGGTATTTTTGTGCTAAAAGGGGAACTTTGTGGAAGAGATTACTACTAGTACTGAACCTCACGATGGGTACACAGAATAAAATAACTTTGACATTTAATCAATTATGAAATAAATTTGATAATAAAAAATTGATACTACTAATTTTTGGAAGAGCTAAAGGGAGGGTCAAAGGTTGGGGGCCAAAGAGAGCCTGTTGAAACACCACTGATCAGAGGAAGTGAGTGAGTTATCAATCAAGTTCATTGTCAGATAAAAACTAACTGATTTATGATTTACAATGTATGTCACACGAAATCCTTTTGTTTTTTACTGACAAATCCTCATTGATCAATTGACCTTTCAAAACAAATGACATACCGATTGATTTAGGGGTTAAGGCTAGAGAACAGTGAATGTGGGTTAATACTTAGATTGGAAAAAATCTTTTAAAAGTTTTGTTTTATTCATTATTTTCCAAGGATGTTATTATTAATTCTGTCAAATTTTGAAGTTTTAAAAGTATTTTCAAGAATGTAACCAATGAATCTGTCATAGAAAACAAAATTTGATTGGTCGAATATTTTAATGAAGTAGAACATTTGTTGCATATCATTTTTCTCAGATCATGGTTCTTGGATGATTTGATGGCAAGTGTACTAAACTTCTAAAAATGTGTATATATTTTAGCAGATTAAATTTTCTTCAGCCTTATTCAACACTCCTTTTTACAATAATCACTTATACACATGGATATCAGCAATTTGAGAAACACTAATCCAGTACAAGAACCACAAAAAAGCCCTACTACTAGTAACTAGATATACGTAAACCAAGGATGAAGAGAAAGGCTTGGTCATGTATACAGTACATTTAATGTCATTTGACATCAAAGACGAAGGAAGACTGTATGGTAGCCAGCTGTCATGTCAGGACATGTCACTTACATCTTTTATATGTCACTTGACATCTCTAAATTAAAGATGGACTGCTATACTAAGATGTTCACTCAATTTTTTGAAAATGCAATTAAGGTGATACCATGATTAATGCATTGTTCTGATTTTGGAGGAATATTTAGTAACCTCATTTCAATTACTGTGACATTGCAGGCTTTAACAGGCATTCCTTCAAAACATGAATCTCAACCATATTTTATCAAAATTTGTAAAAAAAGACTTTGGGTTCCATGGCCTTTAAAAGCAATACAAGATGAAAGGCCAGACAAGGGAATTGACAATATTTTTCCACATGTAGGCGTTTAAAATCAAAGCACACAATGAACTTTATCAAATATTTAAATTCTTTCACAAAATATATCAAACCTCTTACTTACCTGGAATCTAAGTTTGTTGTCGTCAGGATGTCCTCGCTTTCTGACTTCTGATGAATCTTTATCACCCAGAAGATGAAATAAATATGGTCCAATTAAAAAACAAGCTATCACAATGATACCTAGCTTAATCACAAAATTACGACGAAATCCTAAAATCCTCATTTCTAATTTTTTGTATCACTGTTTGTGTATTAAATTTTATGTTTCAATTTCCACTTTATTCTTGAGATCAAGTATCAGGAGATTTTTTAACACAAATTTAATCTTCTTCAAATCTATATCTATCACATTCGTAATAATAAAAATGTTTCCACAATCCTGGGTCTTGTATTTTCAAACAATACTGAATGATTCACAAATTATCCATGTCAAAAAATAGTGATTAAAAGTTTTTTCACTCACAGCCTGTTACTTTTCTCTTCGTTTTTTTTTCAACTTTTTGCTTTTCAGAAATTTTTCACATCTAAGCTTATCATTAATGAATTTAAAACCAAGTTTAAGTCACAGTAGATCTAAACTTATTTTTCCAATGATAAACAGTTGACTTGACACAAACTTTTCTACAAAGCACTTGAAAAAATCACTGTCTCAAAATCCACACACCCTGACAGCAGTGTCTCTTTAAGTTAAAGATTTATGGGTCTGTCACTTTAAAGAGTGATGTAATTATGATGTCGTTATGTATTACACCCACAGCCTGAGGGGGTGAGGCAATATTTCTATCTTGTATATAACAGTTCCAATAGTTTATAGTCTTGTTCATCTGATATCACACACTTCAACGAATATTGAATTTAATGTCCAAATCAATGTCCAAAACACTAAATCCTAGATTCTAAAAACATTAATTTTGTTTATAATTCAATAAATTGCAATATAACCCAAATTTCCGTATCCTAATGCAGATCTTTTTTTATTCCAAACATGTGTCAAAAGCAGATGTTCAGCGTGTCTTTCACACAATTGTTTTCATAAGTAAAATTGGTATCTAGTAATGGATGGATTTTGTCTAAAAATATTGATTTTTCCTCTCCTGTCACATTTTATGTATACTGCTCCTGCAAAAAAACAAAAAACTCATTACGGAAGGAATTAATAAAACTTGGTTTATTTGGGACCTCAGAAGTATTTTCAAAAAGCCAAATTTCACAAATGACACATTTTGTTTACTTCAATGGCTGACCAATTTTTGCTGCTGATGGATAGTTATTATTTGGTGGTAAAAACTCACATTTCATATGTTAAGATTGTTCAAGTTCTTACACCTTGGTTGAAACAATACTTCATTTTTTTGTCAACTATACAAATATTAACAAATATAAAAAAGATTTTTTTTCTGAAACAAGACAAGGCTCATTCGTGAAGCCTCACAAAAGAAGCAAATATTTTACTATATACTTCTACTCTAGGTATTGTATGTATATGTCTTACTCAAATCTAGTTGGCAATCACAAAATACACTGCCTAATACAGTTGAAACATTGCAATGATGACAACTGCTTGAGCCAAGAACAATTTAAAAATGTCATCTGAAATGTTCAATATTGGACTCCAGTCTCAATCAAAACAAACTAGGCTGGTTCAATAGATGACAACACATGCTGAAGAAAGACAACAACATACGATCTCCACATGCCTCAAGCGAGTTTCAACAGACACAAGATTGAATCCAAACAAACACAAACAAACAAACAACAAATCACTGTAGCAAGCGTAGCACTTGAACCAGAGATTGTTTTTGGAACTTTGTCGTGCTTGACAAGTGCCCTGCTTCAAATTTCTCACATAAAATGATCAACAGAAAAAAGGCAATAAGGCAAATCTATCCCAAGCAACAAAAACCAAGATTTTCTTTTAAAAACTCACTTTTTGTGACAAAACATATTTTTTTATTGTCGACGTTGTAAAATTTACTCCATCGTGAATTATTTCCCTTGTTTTAGTCTCGATTATTTTGACACGTGTCTTGTTTATGTTTATGGACAGCAATCTGCGCCAAATTATAAATTGGACGGAACTTACTGAAGGTGGTTTTAAACATTTTCTGATTATCGTTTCATAAATTACACTAATTGGAAAATTTTGAATATTTTCGAAATGTTCAAGATAAGTTCAGAACTTTATCTAAATCAAATTTCACTGCAGGTAACCACAAAATAGCTACCCTTAGAGTTGAGCCGACTTAACAGGTTCCCCTTCTTGATTGTCCAGATACTTAACAAAAAGCTATTTACATTTCACTTCTGGTTGAACAAGACTACCTTGCTTTGGAAACGGAAGTAAACAAATATGGCGGACGTGTGAATTGGAGAATCTGTTGAGCTAGCTAAAACGAAAAGACAGCGAAGTAAAACACCAATTTCGGGAACAAAATGTATTACGAGGATTATGATGATTATTTGGACGAAGCTGAATATCATTCGGAAGTTGATGGCGACTCGGATTGTTCCAATGTCACGATGACTTGGAATGGACCTATTGGACCACCAGAATTATATGGAGAACCCATCCGTTCCCTCAGTCGACAAACAGAATCTAATCTTGATCGCTTGCGACCATCTTTAAGCTGCTCCAATCTCCATTCTCGACAAACTGATAATTCTAAAATGGATTCAAGTATGTATCATTTGTTACAATGTAGTAAAGTAATGGGAGGCAATTCAATGGGGTCTAAAGCTCTTTGCAGTTAAAAACAAGGTGATTGTCAAGTATCACATCATGGAGATTGGGAAATAATTGCAACCCCAAAGCCTCAGATTAGATATATCCTTTGGATTTTTAACCCAGTTTCCTCTTTCAGTCAGTAATGCAGGTTGTATCAAGGGGCAGTTCAGTTGGAAATACAAAACAAGTAGGCTCATGCCACTTTCCAGGCAAAATATACATCTACAAATGGTCTTAGTTGCTACCAGCACTGCCGTTTTTGATAAGGTTTCTTCAAATCTTTATTTCAGTGTTTCCTACAAGAACTAGCTCGAGTTTAAAATCTGGTCCAGTCACAATCTCATCAGTATCTTTTGATGGAGATTTCTCAGATATGTCACAGCCTATAGGTGGGTATTCACACTTTCTCTACTTTCATAAAGGTGTCGTGTGCACATTCTTAAAAGGATCATTTACAAAATGACCTTCATTCATTGTGTGACTCATTTTTCCTTTTTGTACATTAAAACATGCGAAAAATAAGGTCATTAAACAGTTGTTCTAAATGTTTGAACTTCAAAAAATAATCGATTTAAAACATGCTATTAAATTTGTCCATGGTAAGGTTTTTAAAATTTTGATATCTGTCCATAGCATAAGATGAGGTTTTTTTTTAATGTGATATTTATGAATTAAACACTTGTTTTAAATGTTTGAACTTACAATACTGTTACTGTACCAGAATGTATATTTCTGTTCTGTTTTGATTGATAATTATTTTATTCTACAGGATTTAATTTTTGTTATTTGTGTTCTACATTAGAAGAACATCAGAGAAACCACATACATGTAAGTAGATACCTTGTTTAAATAACACATCTACTGTAACTTATCGCACATCTTCTTAAATACAATCAGAAGCTGAAATGAAAAGCTAAAAAACTCCTGCTTGCTTCATTCATTCATTCATTCATTCATTCATTCATTCATTCATTCATTCATTCATTCATTCATTCATTCATTCATTCATTCATTTATCTATATCTATGTTCATTCATATTTATTCATTCATTTCTTTTGGAGCAAATGAATTTCTATTCCTATGTGTATTTGTAACCAAAGCCATAAAACTGCTCTGGTTCATTACAGCATTATCCTAAGAAACCAATAAAAGCCAGGAAACCAAGAATTGAATACATAGCACCAAAACCAAGAGTGAAGAAAAAGGAACCAGAACCAGAATCAGCCAATCATGAAGCTTTATACAGAATTGTGGTGTATGTTGGTAACGTGCCTCAAGCAAGCAGTGATGCTAATGTAAGACATTTAAATATTGAATTGAATCTTGGCATAGGTAGCGAAAATACCAAGCCAACAAAGTAGCAGATTGTGTGTGTCATCATCTGTTTGACACCCTTCAAATTTCTTTTTAACTCTTCCACACATGCATACATTGTATCAATATGAAATTGTATGTATGATGGGAAGAGCTTATTAGTAAAATTAGGGGTGTTTTTTTGTTGCTGCCTTGAAAACATCAAAAGCAAAAGAAGTTGCAAGAACTCCATCTTATTTCTTGTTTCCAATGATATTTCAGGTATCAGTAACTATCGTGGGTACAAGAGATATTTTACCTAAAACTAGACTGTGTCGAGGGAAAGCTACCAAGGCAAAATTCTGTTTTGTTAGAGGGGCAGTCGAGAAGTTTTATGTGAAGGGACCAAAACTCGGAAATCTTAGAATTTTAACTATAGAGGTAAATGAAAACAATTTTTTAGATCATGTATGACATGGCTGTAAGTAGTAAGCCACTCAACCTTAACGATATAATAGACTTTCCCACACATGTTCATTTCCAATATTGTTAAATATTGTTAAAATTGTCTAGAAGAGTTAATGTGCTAAATTAGGGGTTTGTTATTGGCAGTCAGTTCATTTTGGCCGTTTCATTGATATTTCAGCACGATGGTTTAGAAAAGCGTCACTCTCTGTATATTGAGAAGATAGAAGTAACAGACATGCAGACAGATTTAACGTGGATGTTTATGTGTAAAAACTGGTTGTCTCTCCATTTCGGGGATTACTGTCTACGACGAGATCTGGAAGCTCAACAAAAAGAAAGGGTATTAAAAGGTAGGATATCCTAAATTTTGCCTTCAATATGTGCAATGTTTTTTCTAAAAACTGTTTTGACTACTTTGATAACCAGCTCTTGATGCCACAATATTCCTGAGTTTGTTAATTTGGCATTTGAACATTATCAGAGGCTTTACACAGCTAATTATTATATTTGGGTTTGTGTCAAATAGACAACTCCACATAGCTTATAATGTTGTTTTGATATTTAAGTTTGGCCTTTTATAGAGAGTTGCATAGTTTTATCATTTCCATTGGTGACATAGGTTTGTCAACTCGGCATCCGTTTCAGATAGTCCACATAGCTCATATAGTTATTTACCACATAAAAGCGCGTGGACTCTCTGAATGGGGTATCTAGTTGACTAGAGTTATTTACTACTTAAACATTTTGAAGCACGTGGACTCTCTGAATGGGATGCCTAGTGGACCTATATAAAAGTATCAACCATGTAGACTCTGTGAAGAGTATTATGTATTAATAAACATTGAATCATTGTGTACAACATTGTATCATCTTAACCTGTTTGTTTTCAGAGTATGAGATAATAGTCTCTACAGGAAACAAACGATTGGGTGGTACAGATGCTAATGTTTATATCACGCTCTACGGAACAGAGAAAAATAGTCACAAAGTTCATCTGAATAGGGGTAAAACTGGGGAACATTTTAATCGAGGACAGTCGGATAGATTCCTGGTGTCTGTAAAAGATTTAGGAGTTATAAAATCAATCAGGTAAGATGCCATATCACAACTTTTTCATCTAGGGAAATCAATGAATCACTGTACCTACCATACGTGACATGACAAGGTTCAACCCATGGAAATCATCAAAAATATATGTATTGATATGAATGGAAAAAACAAGAATGATTTTACCAAATCAACGGAAATTGGTAGACTTGATGTTGTAACAATTCTTTTTAAAGAAAATTATTCTTTTTACTTCCTTGAATAATTCAGTGTGCTTTGTTTGCTATGTTTTAGAGTAGAGCATGATGGTCATGGAATGGCAGATGGTTGGAACCTGGATAAAGTAAGTTGTGTATAGTACATGCAATAACTAGACTGCTGTTGTAAATCTTTAGATTGGTTGAGAAGAGGCTTTCATCTTACCTGTTGATTTGCTGTGGAATACGTTACCTTCATCACTGTCACTTTCAAATGTTTTGTGTTAATGCTGTAGAGATAGAATTTCTGCTTTGTCAAGAAGAAATGAAAAATTTGGACCGTCATAAGTCCACTAGGATGCAGAAAAGTATGTAACTTTATTTCATTGCATTAGTCCAATACAGAACAGTAGGCCTATGTAAAAATTCATTTTCCATTTCATTTCATTTTTCAGATTATTATTAGAAACACAGCTAACCAGAAGGAGATATATTATTTCTTGTATGGAGGTTGGATAGCATCAGATGAGGGTGATGGAAAATTATGGAGGGAAATCAAAGCCAAAAAGAAACTGGACAAGATATTATTAGAAGGTTTGAAGCTTTTTAGTTTTCTACTTTTGGCTGGAATAGTTTGAATAACTAAATGAGTGCTTTATAACAATTTAAATCAAATAAGCTTTAGCATTGCAATTTCAATCTTGAATTTTTTTAATAATGTTTTTGATTTGAAAATTGTTTATCCTTACAAACAGCCCTAAAGCGTAAACTGGAGTTAAAGAGAGGAATGGATACTGCAGGTTTTTAAATATAAAAATTATCTGCCTGCAGTCTTGTCAAGTCTTGTGATGATGTTTTTAGATGCTTGCTGAATTTTTGCTTGTATGATTTTCACAAATATATCTGCATGTGTATCCGTCATATTAAAAAAAAAGTTAAAATAAATTATTTTCCGTAAAAAACTTGCGTAAATGCATGAAAGAATGATATAATTCATTCTACAATATATGTATATATATATATATAATCAAGCCAAGTTATTTCTGGTCTTGTGGATCCAATTCAGAACATGACATGACCTGTCCACTTTGTTCAGGTAGAATGAATAGTAATAGAAACTTTTCAATCTAAGTTAAAATTGTGCTTATATCTTCTTACACTTCCCAAAAGTCAAGTAGATTGCTCATGTCCATGTCTTGAATCATAGGCAGAAGTTCATAAATAACTTTGCTCTTCTATATCAGATAATAATATATTTATTATTTTTTATTTTCACTATAATTCTAGAAGGTAGTTACTAAATGTTTTAATTGTTGTTTTTAGTTTAGATTCTTTTTTATTTGGCTATTGGTGTAAAACTTCATTTTATTTGGCTTGCTATGACATCTTGTTGTTTGGGAAATTTTTTTTATCTGAGCTATTTTTTGCCATTTACCAGAAACTTCAAAATTCTATTTGTTTCCTTCCATGACTGTTTATGAAATTAAAGTGACCGAGTCATGCTGAAGGTACAAACCGCCCTGGAAGTGACGATAGTCTAGTCAGTGCATTTTTGTTGAATCCTAGACTGGGTGTCAATTTTTGAAGTCCTGTGCTCTATCACCTGCTAAAGAATAGATTATTTACAGTATACCTTTAGTTACAAATGAATAGTGTGCCCAAACAACAAGATGAAGTAGGCTTGTAAAGAGGTTTTCTAAATTTTTTATGTGTATCAGGACACTGACAGCATCAATTTGCATCATTCCAATTTTAAATCAGACATCTGTGGTTCTTGCAATTCCATGAAAATTAAGTGTTTGATGTGGCACAAATTGCAAAGTGCTTTATGTGATGAAGCATTGTTTGCAATTAGAGACATCATCAAACATTTGGTTTTAGTAGAATTGCAGAAACCACTGAAAAAACACATAAATTTTTTAGAAAACAATTCCTTCAACTTTAGTTGTTTGGCTATTCGGGTATATTTGCATGTAGAATTTGGTACTTTTATTTATTGTATTTTTTGATTTTGTGTATATTCATGAAAATCTCACAAAATTTCACCATTTTGCTTCAACATTTTTATTGGAGCTAAAAGAGTCTTACCCCTGCTTTTCAAAATTTTGTCTTTATTGAGCACTTAACACCAGAGCAAATAGTACTGCGTAAATCAGATTGTATTATTTGATGTTGGGCTTGTAGATTCTATCATGCACAATATTTTGACTATGTAAAAAGTAATGTTTATTAAATTACATAATAGAAAATTCACAGTTCATGTACATTTCTATAATATAGTCAACCTAGAATTTTATTTGTACTAAAACTTCAACAAACAAACATTTTTTGCTAATCTATTAACATATTCAAAATAAATCCTTACTTATTCATAAAGTTTCTGCTATATTATATGAATACAGATTAAGATATTTTGTTCCCTGTATTATCTCTTGTTTAGTTCACTAATGTGGTTTAGCTGGATATAGACCTAGATTTAGTGAAATAAACCATAGAAGATATAAGAAACTAAATATCTAGAGCTTTATTTTGATCAAAGGGAAATATTTGATGCATTTAACGATATTTTGAATTTTGTTAGGGAGAAACACAAAATATAAAGTAACAGTACAGACAGGAGATCGTCAGTTTGCAGGAACAGACGCCAATGTCTATATCCAGTTTGTAGGACCTAAGGGTAGCACCAAAAAGTTGAAGCTCGATGATGCCCGGAACAATTTTGAAAGAGGGGTTAAGGAAGAGTTTGAGGTCAGTGAAAAAACTTTTCAGCAGGGTGTTGGTCTATAATGGGTTATAGGAAGCCCATTGGCTCATCAAATGTGATGCTGGCTTACTGGACCTACAAGAGGTTCCTGGCTCTCTTCTGGAAATACATCAGCATAATTTTTCAATCTGTTTTTCAATCTGATATGCAACTCAGAGGGGATGACATTGAAAAAACTTCTAGTCATTTGGACGGGACAATTATTTGAGCCTTTAAGTTTTACAGACAGAGCACATAGGATCATGTTTTAATCTGTTTAACATAGATATTCTGTTTCCTAGGTAACTGGTATTGATGTGGGAGAACTGGATCATATTATAATTGGTCATGATAACTCGGGGCCAGGGGCTGGCTGGTTTTTAGATTTCGTAAGTATTCAATGTTCCAATTTGTGCTGACTCATGACGGGAAAAACTTATTGTAGTCCAAAATACTGTTATAATGGTTGGAGAATGGATATCTTCACCTGTCCCTCTTCATCTGTTCCTCTTCCTCTTCATCTGTCTTCGTTTGTTCCTCTTCATCTGTTACTCTCTATCTGTTCCTTTTCATCTGTTACTCTCCATCTTTACTCTTCATATTATGTTCTTCATCTATTCCTCGCCATCTGTTCTCTTCATCTGTTTTTCATCTGTTCCTCATCATCTGCTCCTCTTAATCTGTTCATCATCTGTCCTCCTCTTCATCTGTTCTTCATCAGTTCCTCTTCATCTGTTCTTCTTCATCTGAGAATAGAAGGTCTGAAGAGTCACACAGGCCACGACCTCAGAAACTTGGTAGTTGTCTACATGAACTTATATATTAATATAATTAATCAATATATTATCAATATTTTAGATTGTTGGGTTCCAAGTTTTAAATCTAACTAGAGATGTTATTTTTGTTGTGATACCAACTGTCACTTCTTTATTATTCCTAATATCTTGATTTAATTTGTATACTCAAGGTTGAAGTAGAAAAATATTTTTCCAAGTCGGAAATACGAGAACGATTAGCAAAGTTACGCAATTTACATAACAACAAAGAAACAGAGGATAAGGACGAGGCTAGTAAATATATTGCAATGGGGCGACGGCGAAGTTCGTTCAGTCGCCAGAAAGCTATCAACCAATCAGACGACGACACAGAAGAACGTCCAATCAACAAGCGTTTAGAAAGACGGAGAAGTAAAGCTGAGTTCCAGGAAGTCTTTGACGAGGATGGAACCATCATCAGGATTCCGTATTATCAGAAATATTGGTTTAAATGTGAGCGCTGGCTGGCGGCAAACGAAGATGATGGACTATTTCAACGAGAACTCAAACCTCATGATAAAAAAATATATTTTAAGGAAAAAAATTAATACTAGTACTAACTTAAAAAAAAACTTTGAATTCAAGTGCCAGTAAAGAAAAAATGTGTTAGTAGGTTGTATTTATCAGTCATGTCTGACTAGTATTAAAATATTAAATGACTATTTCAATCAAATAAAACCAATCCAAATTCTTTTTTTTTTTTTTGCTCAAAACTTCCTTAACCTTTATATGTGTTTTTGATGAAACCTTATTTTTATTTTTGAAGCGTTGTAGTTAATTTCTATCATGTGTACCTGTAAAAGACGATGTTAGTCAATGTTCATTAGCCACTTTAGGAACTGAAACCCCATTTCATTTGGTTTTTTTTAAAACTGATGGAACTTCAGTTTTGTAGAGAACGAATCATAGTGATCCATATCAGCTGGAAGAAAAGATATTTTAACGATAATATCATTGAACAGATTTTTATTATATATAGCATATTTGAATTTTTGAATTTTATATTAATAATCAGAAATATTGTGATATTTTACAGATTTTGAAACTGTTTTTTTCTTATTTATTTATTTATAATGAACCATGTTGTTATTTGTTAAGATTAAAATAGATTTTATGTATATTGGAAAATTACCTCCCTTGACCTCAAGGACCCGAGCTCCCCGGTATAGTGTCGGGTTCTCATTCCAAAGTTGACAACCAGCGTAAATATAAATACTAAGGCTGTAGGCTATCAAGTCACTCCCTCTGTGACGCATGCCCCCCTTTCTTCACAACGCCACTGTTACTGATATAAAGACAAAATGCATACATTTGGTTTGTAGGCGATACATATACTGTCGGCTGTAGGCTATGAAACATTGACCCCAAAACAGCCCTCCTCAAAATTGAATTTTCGCGGTACAAAATGTAGGTCTAACGTTATAACCAGAAGTAGTCAACCAGTATTGCATACTAGTAATTTCAAAAATTACTGCTCAGGAAGGGAAATTCCATTCTATTGCAAATTATTGTTAAAAGCATGGACCAAGGTCACAAGAAGAGAACATAATCAATCTTAGTCTCAAATATGAGAGGAATCACAAAAACCAATTAGCGACCTTCACCAAAACAAAAGTATAACAAAACGAAGGCCTATCATATTACTTTGGTGGAGTAAATTAATTAAATACTGCATTCTATAGTATACAGAAATATTAGCTAGGCTATTCATTACCAATATCCAATAACACATGGTCTAATCGATACCTATTGATTTCTCATTAATACTATTCAATTTGTCAATCAGTATTTCAATAAGGCACATGTCTTACTGGCTTGCAGCCAGACTGTCAAAGGTATATAATCGTCTAAAGATTTTCTTTACCGACTATATGTATCACTTTCGGAATGAAGATTTGACGCCCGGTACGTTTACAATTAGCTAAAGTATGATTTTCATTCTAATGAGTGACTTCTAGAGATATATAGTCGTATAAACATTAGCTTTATCGGTGAATAAAACCTTTGCATGTATCAGTTTTCGAAATAAAAATCTGATGCCTAAAACGTCTGCAATGAAAGTAGGATTTTTATTTTGAAACGCTCTAGTCGCTTGACTATTCAAACATTGCTTTTTAGTGTGCCTTACACCTTAGGCTTATATAGTTCACAGAAGGTCTATAATATGACACATTTCTTGTTGGCCTAAATGTAATTCGTTTAAACTTTACGATACAAGGGCGACTGTTTTCCTTTAAGAATATAATATATTGATCTATATCACAGGGTTAAAAGAAGGTAGGCCTTCGTATATACTCATTATATTGTTTACTTAGATCTGTAGACTGGAAGAGATAAAATAATTTCTATTAATAATACATATATTATTATATGCATGCCTATCTTTCGGTGATTTAAATCACGTGAGCTTTTAAAATCAAACTTATGATAGACAGTTCAGAAATGACTTAAAATTTAAATGGAATTATGTATTATGAGCCTTTTTGTGTGCTACCATTGAATCGAAATAATTGGAGCTTTTACATTGTGTTACATAATTTGTGCACTGAGGACACATTTATGGCCTTTGTGTGCCGTTTATATTATTATCATTGCTTATACTGAAAGGATAGGAATGAATTGGGATAGGCATTCAAGTCTGATGATGGATACTAGGAAATGTGGAAATTTCGAATAATTAGAATCAAAAGTAAGTTGGACAATTCCTTGTTATAAGAAAAAACATATCCTTTAAGCGCGAAGTAGATAAGGTATAGCTTATCTCGTACAGTCAAATTACTTGACTTACTCAACTTGAAAATGCATCTGATCACATTCATAAAAACTATTTTGCCAATCACCATCTTCAACCGTGAAAACATTTATTGTGCTCTGCAAGTTCCACCTCGTAACCGCCGAGATTAGGAACTTCGAGAGCAGAACTTTTAATGTGAATAGTTTGGCATGAAAGGATGGGAGCTACCCTGAAGAAAGAATATTTACAGTTCGAACTGTAAACACGGCTGTTAATATCTGTAAACCTACCATACATCATGAATGTGGTAAATCCATTAGTCTAGCCTACTTCGGTATTTTTGTTTTTTTCCCCTCTCTAAGTAATTTCACAGTAATTTCTGCTATAAGTTTTTTGTGTCTTATTCAGTAATTAAGTAGCAATACAGATAGGAACCTTTTTCAACAGAAACAAATAGGTAAGCTACGTTTTGAAGTTGTTTTTACTTTGATGGGGAGCACTCGATGCCCCTCTATTATTGGGTTTGTCAGCTCGTCTTAAAGAATGTCAATTTACAGGGGACCTTTTTTTAATTTTTTTTAAGTGTTGTTTACATGTAGTCTGATGATTTTTTCATGCTGACCACTGGGACACTGATATTCCACTAGACATGATTTTCCACCAATATATTAGAAATGAAATGAGCTTTTGTGCATCTGATTGGGAAAGTTTGCCAGAACATCGGTCGAGGGATCATTAACGTGCTCAGCCTGTGACACACAATTACTCGGTTTATTGTCTCATCCAAACATTTAAAAAGAAAAAGAGAAAATATTTTGGGTCATGCCCTGCTTGGATGATATGTCTGCGTGATCAGAGTGGGACCTAAAAATTACATAAAAATAAATAACGACTTATCTAACCAAAACATTTTATAAAATCAAACAGATAACACCCGAGGATTATCGCCTGTCCATGGTGATGTAGATATGCCGGAGGGGTGGGGCAAAAGGTCATATTATGGATTGAAATGATATGTCAAGGTAAAAACAAAATCAACATAGATAAATCTTTCCTACAGCGTATTTAGGGAGAGGGTCACTGGGCCATGCCCCCCCCCCCCCACCACCCCCTCGGGCATAGGTCTATGATAGGTCTTTTGAAATAAAAAAAATTGTGACTGGGTATACTTTTAAAGACCTGAATGAATAGTAAGATTTCTCTTTAAATCTCCCAACTATTGAAATATTGAATTAGCCGAGGTGTAAAGGTGTAACCCGTAGAGCTGTTTATATTCTCATTAGTACGGTAGTTTGTTTGTAGGGTGAAAACAGTAATAATAGGGGCCATAACAAAACCCTGAATAATACTTGCTATTCCTTTATTGACTGTAGAATAACTAGGGTCAGATATATACAAACATGACAATAACTATAGACAATAGGTACAGATATATTATAATCACAGAGGTCGACATATATTAAACTCTGGTTTATAAGAGGGGGTTGGTTTATGCGTGCTGAATGGGCGTTTAAACATTGTTAAGAATGGGGATGGAGTTTCGCATTTTTCACCAGTATGAAGAACTAATGACCATGCTTACTCTTTGGAAACACCTGATGGTACCTTGGAGAAGATTTTGATTAACAGAATTGTCTTGCTTGTATGGAATATTATTGATATGTATCGGGCTGTGATATTATGTATCTTAGTAAGAAATTATGCTGTTGTCGGTAATATCTGCGATAAAATGAGTGTATAGATTGTTTGAAATTTGATAAAAAAAAAAAAAAAGAATCGAAGGAAGTGATGACAATATCCAGGTCGTTTTATCACGAATTTTAGAAAGTTATTTTAGAATTATTAGTAGCCAATATCCCTTTATATATTAGAAATTCTGCAGTAAACCGAACGTACAGTTCGTCTTCAATTTAAAACGATGGTTTTAAAAATATCAAAGCGAATTATGACGACCATATTCTTTAAGCTATGATAATATTGAACTATCTGTAGGTTATATTATATATTGAAGTAACTTCTGATTGGTATTAAGAGGGGTCGGGGTAGTTTTTGACCCCCGTTAATTTAATCTTTTGTTGACTATTGTTTATCTCGATATACTCATATATCATACATTACGGTTAGGATGCAGTGCCCTTCTGCTCTCCACAGTTTACTACAATAGCCTAATGTAAAATGGTAGAATCTACATAATAGACTAAAAAAAGGAGTTTAAGTTCCACCTGAACGTTATGGTGAAACAATTTTTAAATCTGGCTGGTTTTTTTAAAAAGTTTTAAGCAAAACAATATCTATTGTCATTTATATAAAAATCAAAATTCACTTCACATTATTTTTAATATTTAGTGGCCATTAAGTGACAGGGTCTAGGACTAATTCCCGTTTTCGTGAAAGTGGCACACAAGTCAATCCCGTTTAGTGTGTTCGCTTTCTTTACCCTAAAGTCTCCAGTTTCAAAAGTGTAATTTCATCCCCTGATCAAATTCATTATTAATGTGGATATACAGCTGTGTTATCTATATTTAATCCTTAGAAAAGGATGTAGGGCATATCTGGCAAACCAGTCCTATAAGTATTGTGTAGTGTAAACGAAACGAATAGATCATATTTTATATATCTTAACTTAATAGCTTTTATATTGACTCGCCTTGTAATACATTGAATATTCTATAACTACAAAGGTAGGGTTTTTTTATATATCTTCTTAAATTTTGATTTATCCCTGGATTTTACGGATTTTTTCTTCGAGATTTTGAATGGACTTTATATGTAAGAATTTACTACAGTAGTTTCCAACACAGGTAATTACATTGT